GTGTTCTTTATGAGCTAGGCCACCATCCTTCGAGATGGAAGAAAAAATTCGCTTCTTGAGTTGGTGGAAGATCTGCCTTCTCCCTACGCCTGTCCAGTCATCTGTGAGTGAGGCATTCCTACTGCTTCCTGACTTCGAGTCATTGGCTCTGCTGTTCTACCACTACGTCTCATCGTTTCACCCTACCATGCTGATACCATCACTCACCTATAGTACGATGACATGAACACCAGGATTCCATTCCGTGGTCTGCTGAGCCTCACCAAGTACCTGTCTTACCCAGCCATTGCCACCAGTTGCTGGAGTATCAATGTTTCTGCTATGTCTTCGTTGTCCGTCCACCCTGTCACTATAGCCGATTCCGTTTGGTACTGCACTTGCACTAGTACTGCTATGATGTCGTCTGTTCCCTACTACCCTGAGTGCACTGTTCCAGTCTACCATCCTGTACTGCCATCATCTTCTATAGTGTCTACCGTCGAAGTACTGTCTTCCATGTGCCTAATAGTGTCTGCTCAACTTCATTCAAGTACTGCCGTCCACCATCATCATGAGTACCGTCCACACTGATCTCTGTCTGCTACCTGAGTGTCACCAAGTAAGACTATCTATGTACGAACAATTGTGCCCCATATCGTTAGTTCTCTAAGTTCAGCCTTTGCTCATAGCTACCTCTTGAGTGCCTACTGCCCAACTGTTACCCCTGGTCCTGTGCCTTAGGCAGTGAACAATTAGCTCCTAGCCCCATCGTGCTTTGATTAAGATTGTTTCCCAGCACACAAGATTTTGTGCCGATAGATTAGATCCGCTGTCCATTCTTTTTTATCTATTCGGCATAGCTCATCAGTTATCTTATAGTTTTGTTCTGCTGCTAGTGACTGTTTAGCGTCACAATTTTTCCAAGGTTAGACCCTGCTAGAGATGCCACCTGCCAAAGAAACTAGACTTAACATTGTGTTCGTTAGTTCTAGCCGTAGGTTCTTTCCGATTTCGTTTTCCTGATTCGAAGTCTGAAGCTTTGTTCCCTCTTGCTCACACCCTCTTTGGAACTACTGCGATGTTTAGTTTCCTTTTATTTTAGCCCTTTTCAGTTGCTCTTTTGTGTTGCTTCTTCCCGTCACGAGGACGTGACCCTTTTCTTTGTAGCCGAGGGAGATGTCATGGCCCTGCGTAGACAGTACTACTCACCAATACTATAGTAGTGCTGCACACATTCATTATCAGCCTGTCACCTACCTCTACCGCGGCTCTTCATCAATGTTCTCTTCCTTTTGATTAGGATAGGGTTACCTCTCCTGTCGCCGGACCTAGACTATCCATTACCATAGAACTGTCAGCTATTGTCTCTGTTGCCGGTCCGCTGGTCTGCTGTTCCGCTTAGTTGCTTCAATTCATGATTAGCATTAGCTTCAATACTTAGATACATCACTCTTTGCTGAGTTTAGCACAGCTCACTACTCGTTCGCTGCTGCCTGCTCGATCCTTCCCTTCGTAGCCGCTCGCATAGAGTTCAGCTAGTATAAGTTCGCTGACTTAGCCAGATATCGATTAGTCTTGTTTGAGTCTTGGATTAGTCTTATTCTCTTTTATAGCTTTCTTGACTTTCTTTATAGGAGTTCCGCTACCGCTCAAGCGGACTTGGCCGCTTGAGCCGGTGTGGCCTTTGACTTTGTAGTTTCTTACTGTTCCTTTACTATTATCGGACCTGAGGGCTCCGCCACCCTGACTTCTCTCTGTGCTTTGGGTCTGAGGTACGCCTGAGTGGAACTACCAAGAGGCGCACATATACTTTGTGCAAACGGGCTTGGGATAACTAACACGTAGGGACGATCAGCCAGCCACGACACATGTACAATCATGTATGTCTACTACTTTTCTTTTGTTGATTTGGCCGTGGTTGGCTATCACCCGAGTACTGAGTACTCGGCTCCAATCTGCCATGGCATGGGCCTGTGCGTGCCAGTTTCCCATTCGGTTGCGGGGCGGGGGCGCTTTGCTTGCAAGGGTGCTGTATTACGTGGTATTATGGAATGCCCTCCCCAGCGACATCCGTGCCATCAAGAGTACAATCATAAACATTAATTATTTTATGTACTCTTGGTGCCATCCATCACGCTCGGCAGTTTCGCACGCAGGTTCAGGGCTCACAGCAACCATGCCAAAACCTCGATTACGTGGGAGGACATCTTGGATCTGATCACCATAGAAACGAACTCGCGTGACCGCTAAGCGCAGGCGTAGAACGCAGTCGCGCAAGGAGATTTTGACTTGCTTGGGCTTAGTTCCTGTGACAAGGACTGAGTCGTGAATGGTGAAGGAGATGGCCGGAGACTGTCTCACTATCTCTATTTCATTTCGGTAGTTCTTGTTTCCTTCCAAGTGGATTATTTCGCGAGCAGTGTTGGCCTTGTCGGCAGAAGGCTTCATTCAGACTGTCCGCACACGGAGTCCTGCGAAAAGTAGCCCCGAGCAGAATCCTGCAGTCGTTGACGAAAGAGTTCAACATCTACAGCCGGGCAGCTACGCCGCTGATGCACAGGCGCGGGTGACGGGGGAGGGAAAGGACTAGCATTCCTTGACGGCATGGAGCAATGACTCACGTCGTGTTCTAGTTTTAGTTTCTCCGCCGTGAAGTCCTGTTGTGTAAACGTAAATATACGGCTGGTCTGCGAAGAGCCGTGTAGCGCAGTGGTGACGATATGGAGTTGTGAATTATTTGATTCGCCACTCCGTTTCGTTGCAAGAGAACAAGTCCAATGGCTTCGCCGTTGTGCGGGCCATGTATTTCTTCGGTCTGCCATAGCCTTGATAACTCCTGGAGGACACAGCGATGAAGCGCCAGGCGAGTAGCAAAAACATTTCAAAAAATTGCTTTGCTGCTAGTGTTGTTTCCGCATTCACAACAAGTGCAGCGCGCGCGGTTCTTCCTCGCGGCTGCACTGCAGATAGGGTTGCCTTTGAAATGTTCGTTTGTACCCGTCTCTGGCCCGATTTTGATGGCCAATAGCTTAAAATTTTCAGTAGGAAAATTAGAAGAACTTCTCCGAGCGACTTTTCAATTTTAGTACAGTAATCCAAATCAGAATTACGCCTGCACCAACTGATACTTTGGCTCCATATATATGCCAAACCGTATCGATTTTAACAAAAAACTCTCGGACAAATCCTTACAATGGGTATTGAGAGTATGTTCCTAAAGTTTCAGAGGCCTAGGGAAAAGCATTGGTACAAATGAACATTTTGAATGCACCCCACTTTCAAGTTTTCAGAGATATCTGCCTGATCGCATGTACACGATTCTGGCATGCTGGCTGGCTCGTGTGACAGCGGCCTGTCCAAAATGGCGCCCACGCTTTTGTGTGATGCTGTGAGCCCTGAGGTTATCCCCTATACCTGTGCCTTGTACTGTAGTGTAGATGCTGAAGACAAGCGAAATCTTCTGTTTTTTTCTGTTCTCTTTCTGTTGTACCCGATCTCCCTCTGATGTTCCGCTGACTCTACCCTGAAGATCTAAGCATTTTAATTCTCATTCTCATTATAATTTTCATACTAGTATTCGCTTTCATGTTATTGGGTTCTATGCCCGTTTGAATAAACAAAAATGTACATGTACAGTAGCTGATATAACCTAACACTGGTTAAAGGGGAAGTACAGTGTATACTCTAAAATCAAATTTTCACCAGTTGTAGTCTTCTGGGTGCTGAGTCGAATGGTCTTGGTCCGAGGAAGCTGCGACGCTCCCTTCCTACTTGAATCCCAATCGAACTCGCGCACTTCCACCGAAACTGGGTGACTGCGCCCCACGAGATGGGGATTTGTATGCAAAATGTCACTAAAAGCGCCATTTCGTTCTTATAAAAGCACGGATGACCGCGATTGACCCATATGTTGTAGTCTTTTGGACGCTGAGTCGACTGGTTTTGGTCCGAAAAGGCTGCGATGCAGCGTTCCTCCTTTATTCCCAATCGAACATGGTTGAACAAGCGGTCACGTGCTCCTGGGTGCCCAAATCACCTAGTAGCAAGAGTTCATAACCCCCAGGGGTTATGAACTCTTGCTAGTAGTAGTAGATCTACCTGGTCACCGCGCCAGCAGGCGACAACTACACACCAAGGTTCAACTCGAGTTCAACTGACAACTCGAGTGACAGGACTGCACCCAAAAAAGGTCAAACAGGCTAGTAAGTAGTTAGTTGTACCAAGAGTACATATGTACTCTTGGTTGTACCCTGCAGGCACAGGCACAGGCACGGTGACCAGCTGACTGGTGTACGCAGGAGCACGTGACCGCTTGTTCAACCATGTTCGATTGGGAATAAAGGAGGAACGCTGCATCGCAGCCTTTTCGGACCAAAACCAGTCGACTCAGCGTCCAAAAGACTACAACATATGGGCCAATGGCGGTCATCCGTGCTTTTATAAGAACGAAATGGCGCTTTTAGTGACATTTTGCATACAAATCCCCATCTAGTAGGGCGCAGTCACCCAGTTTCGGTGGAAGTGCGCGAGTTCGATTGGGATTCAAGTAGGAAGGGAGCGTCTCAGCTTCCTCGGACCAAGACCATTCGACTCAGCACCCCGAAGACTACAACCAAGAGTACGGGGGGTTATGTACTCTTGCTACAACTGGTGAAAATTTGGTTTTAGGGTATACTTCCCCTTTAAAAACCAGTATTAGATAAACCAAGAGTACATAACCCCCCCCCAACCCCCAAGGGGGGTTATGTACTCTTGGATAAACCTTGTCATAGTTCACGTTAGATTTTTGTAGGTGGAGGACTTGTTTCATGCTTATGCATGCTGTCGACATGTCGATCTAGCATGTACAGCAGCAGCTGCAGCGGAAATGAGTGGCGCTGAAATAAACGTGACACGTGACAGGGTTCGCCATGGCAAATAACACTGTGACGTCACGCGGGGAAGTCGAGTCTTCGTGCAACTGCATGCAAGATAGATAGGCGCTAGGTGCTTGGCATAAGCATGCATTATTATGAGTAGCTTACGGCCCGGCATAATGCAGTCAGTTGTCATTTTCGCTTGGTTGTTCGTATTATGTACACTGTAGTTGGGTCACTGTCGTGTTTTGTAGGGTGAGGGAATTACTTGTGTTCGACTACTTCTACGACCCTCTCGTTGTTGTTGTTGGTGCTGGCCTGTGCTGCGCATGTATTCCTGTGGAATGGTGTAGGAGACGGGCCAAGGCCTCAACTGGTTTCCGTCATGGCTGTGTAAGAGCGTATGATTTGCGGGAAGTTTTTTTAATGAATTGTTTCCATTGATTTACTGTTTTCAAGGAAATAATTGGCATGACTGTCTCATTCACGGTTAGACTGAGCGTGATTCGTGTGTTCTTTTCCCTCTATTGATACTTAGCAATGGGGCTCAAGGCCAGACTAAGACGTATGGCACGACATCCGCCATCAGCGATGCACCCCCAAAGCCAAAGGCAAGTCTTCATGTCTCCTCTTTTCTTTCTTTTTGTCCTCATTTTCAAAAAACAGTTTAGGTTTAGTATCGCCATTTTGTGGTTGTGTTCGGGAGTGGATAGAGCGAAAGAATTTGTTTGCCAAGTATCAATTATGCACAGGAAGTAGTTGGGCAGAGGCCTGAGGTCGAGCCTCTTCATTGCGTTTTCTGAGCTTCATTTTTTCAATTTGCTAAATTTCTAAGCCAGGGTGCGTTACGCTTGCCCAGTGCAGAAGGCTCAACCCATCGAAGAAAACGAAGCACTTGTGCACGCATAGATATAGCACAAAGTTGAAAGAAGGCTTTCTGCGATGTTTTTTAAATGTTTTTTTTTGCTATTTGCAGGAATCATCAGGCTTTAGTGATTTTCTATAGATATTCATCAGCATTGAAAGGTATTTCTATGGCTGAGACTTCCAGTTCTGTTGGTTTGTGGTACTTATTTCAGGATCTAGTGTTGACAAAAGAGCTGGAGGAATGTTTACGCGCCCGGAATTACTTTGAAACACCAGACGAACTAGAGCAACGGTATGTGTTCGTGTTGCTCACTGAGGAGCTTTGTAACCTTCACTAACCTTCACATATCTTTTCTGCAGGCACGTGTATGTGTGTGCGTATGTGTGTGTGAGTGTGTTTGTGTGTGTATGCGTGCGTGCATGTGTGTGTGTGTGTGTGTCCGCGATATGCATGTCTGAGGTTTGAAGTCGGGAGGTGTGTGTTTGTGTGTGTGTGTGTGTGTGTGTGTGTGTGTGTGTGTGTGTGTGTGTGTTTGGATATTGATAGCCCAGGAATGGTTCTTTGTTGATTGACTCGATGTGTGGATGATGAGATGGCACACTAATCATGGTGGTGGGCAGTGCAGTGTGTGCATAGCCTGCCATCCAGAAAAGCACAGTCACCGCCCTACACACTGTGCTGTACACTTTCTCACACCGAGTATGTGTGTTTGAACTGTGTACAATGTACCGTGCCTGTATGGGTGTGTGTAGTGTACATGATTGACTATCATGTGCCAGGGGCCATCTGACACACTGCATTATTTCCCTCTATCCAGGCGACATTGTGTCCTGCTTAGCCTACCGCGAGCGGAGCTAATTTCCGCTTCCCATATTCGCACTGCGCGCGCACGCGTGTGTGTGTACATGTACCTTATGTGTATACTCGTGCTGTTATCGCACTGTGCTTTGTCTCATCCAGTGTGAACGTCTTAGCTCGTTTAAATGCCTTGGTGAGAGAGTGGATCGTCAGTGTCAGCATGAAGAAGGTACGGCGAGAGTTTTATCTATTAGGCTGTGTAATGCTGAACTAGTGCTGCTATTTTGGCTTGCCCGGGAACTAGTATAAATCTACTGTAGTATGTTCGATTTTCGGGAAAGGAAATTCTTTGTCATTTACTCACTCAACACCGTTCGTATCTCTGTAGATTGATGCTCGTTGTGTTTCTGTTGTCTTCCTGCCGCCATGCCAGCCTAAATGTTTTTTTTTCGGGTTTTGTTTTCTCCACCTTAGCTGCCTGAGTCTGTGGCCCGGGAGCAGAACGGGAAGGTGTTTACTTTCGGTTCCTATCGGCTTGGCGTGCATAATAGAGGTAAACTCTTGGTTTATGCGATGTGTTGTTTGCTGTTGTCGTAGGACTGTGGTCGTTTGTTTTCTCCTCGTCTCCGTCTTCAACTGTGTGTTGGTTGTCTGAGCACATTGGGATCAGCCCCTGTTTGGTAGTGTGACAAATACGAATAAAATAAGCTCCATGATTCCATACTGTTGCACTGGGCGAGCCACGTTACGAGGTTTTTGCTTTTGGTAGTACTACCAACCCTCTCTTATCTGGGAACCGTGGGAGTGAATGGTGTCTGCGCCACAGAAAAGTCCCAAACTTCGAATACTGGACATGTGTATAACTTGTGACGCGTCCTATGTCTCTGCTTCAGTTTTCTACTAAATTTCTAGTCATTACTGATTGAAGCCATGGATGGTCCTTTTCTTGATTGACTCGACGTGTGGATGATGAGATGGCACACTAATCATGGTGGTGGGCAGTGCAGTGTGTGCATAGCCTGCCATCCAGAAAAGCACAGTCACCGCCCTACACACTGTGCTGTACACTTTCTCACACCGAGTATGTGTGTTTGAACTGTGTACAATGTACCGTGCCTGTATGGGTGTGTGTAGTGTACATGATTGACTATCATGTGCCAGGGGCCATCTGACACACTATGTTAATCCCATCTGACATTGCTATAGCCAAGTGACACTGTGTTCTCTCTGTTTTCTGTGTGCTGAGCTTCATTCATCTTATATCTTTATTTTCATTGTGTATGAATTTGTGTGTGTGCGTGCGTGCCCGTGTCTTTGTGTGTGTGTGTGTGTGTCTGCGTGTGTGTGTATGTGTCTGCGTGTGCGTGCCCGTGCGTGTATACCCGCCGTGTGTGCAGGTGCCGATATCGATACGCTGTGCGTTGCTCCAAGACACGTGGAGCGGACTGAGTTCTTTACCGAATTTGTCGAAATCCTGCGCAATGAGGAAGGCATTGAAGATCTCACCCCTGTGGAGGATGCATTCGTGCCGGTGCTTAAGTTTTCGCTGAACGGCATTGAAATTGATTTGCTCTTCGCCCGCCTTGCCTTGCAGTCCATACCAGTCGACCTGGACTTACTCGACGTTAATTTATTACGGAACCTTGATATGAAGTCGGTCCGGAGTTTGAACGGTGAGTTCACGTGCGGGCTTTTAGGCAATTGCTGCATGTTCTCATGTTTATATGTACATATACTGGTATACTAGGTCTGTGCGTCTGCAGTATGAATGCTTGGCTAGCTGGACATTGCCAGGTGGTGATGTACTAGTACCCAGCTATTCTTCTCAAATCAACAGGGCTGTTGGACGTGTGTTCCTAATTTCCTGCAGTGCCCTAGTCATTATCTGTGCTAGGCGGGCAGCATACAGTATGGCGTCTATTCAGTGTCGTGCTGACTATAGTTGCGCTCGGTGAAATCCGACCCAAAGTGCCTATTTTGTACTCTCAGCTTGCACGGCCCTCGGCGCCCTGGAAGTGGTACGGTTGCAGCTGGACGTACACATGTTCAAATACAATGATGTACATGTGATCAGAAATGACCCGGGGTGCCAGTTTTGCACTCTGGGTCAGATTTCACCCAGTGCAACTGTACTATCCAATATTCCTGGCACGTGGATCAACGGCTTGAGCTCCTTTTTCTCTCTTGCTGGCCTTGTGTTTGGTGTTGCAGGATGCCGTGTCACGGATAAAATTTTGCAGCTCGTGCCCAAAGTGGAAACGTTCCGTTTGGCTCTCCGATGTATCAAGCTCTGGGCGAAGTGTAAGCGAGGTCATGGAGACTTATGTGTGTGCTAGTCATTAGGTAGTTCTGCATGATGTGGAGCTTTTCACTTCTCCTGATTTCGGCCAGTTTCTGGTGCCATTGTACCGATAGTTCAGTAGTTGTATCAATACCACAATTAAACTGTGGTATTGAACTATTTTATTGCAGGATTTGTGAAACATGCCTGTGGTGATTTCCTATTACTTGGACCATTACCAGTAACTCGATTTTTCATGTCAGAGCTGGCAGCGGGATTTCTGCCTTATTACCTTTGACAAAAGGGCTGCTCCGAAGCTAATCCTGGAATCATGTTCCGCAAGCTGTGAGGCAAATGTACAAATGTGCGCGCGTGTGTGTGTGTGTGCATGTTTTTCTACCAATTCCCTGTCATTACCAGGCCGTGCTATCTACAACAACAAGCTGGGCTTCTTAGGCGGTGTGTCCTGGGCTATGCTCGTTGCTCGCACTTGCCAGCTGTATCCCAATGCAGCTGCCTCTACTATTGTCACGAAGTTCTTCCTCCTGCTGTCGAAGTGGGAATGGCCGCGCCCTGTGTTACTGGACAATCTTATCACGCAAGGCGAGGCCCCGCTGGATATGGAGATCTGGGATCCGCGGGTAAGCTGCTGGCCACTTTGCAAACGCTATCATCTCCTTCTCTGCGTACCCACATGCATTACATGTACTACATGGAGGGGAGAGAATTGTGGTGCTGCTAGCAGTTCACTATTGGGTCATGCCACAGCTACTTGCATGCCTCGCCTTTGTGTTAGGGTATTTGGAGCATGTGATTTGCCGGCACTTGTCGTAGGATGTGAAGCAGCGAAATTCCAATGACTGCTACTAGTACATATACTGCTGCTGGCACAGTTCCTGTTACGTGCTGATGCGTGAAGCCTACACGTGCCAGTATACCTCAATAAACCACAGATGATATTGAATGCCCGAAAGTTCCGAAACCCAAAATGAATGAAGAGATTCCAAAAATACCACATGCGAAGTTCGGAACAATGTGACCAGCACAGCAAACACAAGTCGAGAATCCAGTAAAAAGTAGTGAATAGGTATGCTAACATTAATATCCGTTTCATCGAAGTGGCACCTGGGCCTCTGACACTGTAAGCAAAGCTGAGGCAGCATCACCCTCCAGCGCCACCCAACATCCGAATAACTTCCAGCAGCCCCGCAGATACGTGATGCAGGATCGATGGAGCGAGGAGGGTGGCTTACGTTGATGCGTTTTCTCCTTGCTTACTTTGCCATTGCCCAGCACAACATACAGGACCGCTTTCACCTCATGCCCATCATCACGCCTGCGTTTCCGCAGCAGAACTCAACGTTCAATGTAACAAGGTCAACATTAGAGGTGATGAATGATGAGTTTGAGAGAGGTAAGGTCTGGCGGAAAGAAGACAGTGCGTCCTATTTATATGTCCTTGCTTTGACTCCTGTTCACGTTATGCACAAATGTGCATTCAGAAAGCTGGCATCTTGTTAGTGGTGAAATACCAAAACTCACTCTCCCTCTGATATTCTCTTACTTTTATCGAGGGAACAAACGTTCTGTATTTTCTATAGATTTAAGCGGTGTCAGTTGCAGCGTGCCGTTAGCTACAGTTCGTTCTGCAGCAGTGCTAGGCCTGTGACTGTGGATAGAAATCTGAGCATAGCAATTAACTGATGCATTAGGAAATTCAAGCTACCTGCCAGGTTTTCATAATTGCTGAGCTGACGAGAGAATGGCGACAAGGCTTTTGCCAGAGAACAGGCGTGAATACGGCAAGGATACCAATGAAGTAGAACGCGACAAGGTGTGTTGAATGCTGCACAGTTGCGGGCAGTGATAGGGAATGGAAAGGACTAGCTTTCACGTATGTACAGTTGTGGCAAGCGAAATCCGGTACTTGTCATAGGGTAGAGCACCACAAATGGACATCAATGCTGCAATGCACTGTGCCCTAATTTGTACATCAGAGCCGTATGCATCCCAAACAGGGCAAACGCGAACGGTCACAGCGTAGATAGTATCTACTGTGCGTATCTGATACGCACAGTTCACAGATTAAGTACACATAAGGTGTATTGCCATCCCGTGTCCAATCATATTTTGGGAGCACTTGTGAACCTTGACTGTGAGTACGAGTTCTGTCACGAGATAGATAAAAAGTTGTATGTAACACATGTGCTACGTATGCAGGGCTGCAGTGACTGCACACCGCATGGTGCAGTCCCTTATGCCAAGTGTCGGATTTCGCTTGCCACAACTGTACTTTGAAGGAGCTACATATTTGCATGCATTGTCCAAAGTCTTGTTTTATTTCGAATCGAAGACCTACATGATTGTGTACTTCTTCGAAGGAGTAGATGGTGCAGACAACACCCAAGGGTGGCTCACGGTCGACTGGGTTAATGTGTGCAAGTGTATGTTGCTGAACGAAACCGAATATTTGCGTCCGTGAATATTCATTTGGTCAGTCGTTTCGTAGGAGTATTCCAATATTCAATAAGTTGATTTTACCACTTCATTTATGTATCACTCACTGTTTTGTTGTTGTTCTCGTTCCCTGTCTCTGTCTGTCTCTCTCTCTCTCTCTCTCTCTCTCTTTCTCTCTCTCTCTCTCTCTCTCTCTCTCTCTCTCTCTCCCTCTCTCTCTGTCTATCTCTCCCTCTCTATCTCTCTCTCTTTCTCTCTCTCTCTCTCTCTCTCTCTCTCTCTCTCTCTCTCTCTCTCTCTCTCTCTCTCTCTCTCTCTCTCTCACTCTCTCTCATGTCCTGTGCTGTTAGGTTTGGAGGTGATGCAACAAATAGAAGAGGGTGCCAAAGACTGGACTGAGCTTTGGCAGCCTAACAGCTTTTTCACTTCGTACAAGTAAGCTCTAGCTACGGTATCTTGTCTGTTTTTGTTTTAAATCTATTCCTGGCTCTTTGTTGTGTTTTCTTCATGATTTCCCACAATTGTTGCCTCACCTGGTGCATTTGCTCGTTCATATCACCAAGATTACATAAACAAGAGTGTGCAACTCTGCAGCTAGCTAGTACATGGTATGGTCCACAGCAGAATTTTTTTGTTGGCGTCACCTTTTTCAGAACCTATGTCACATGTCGTGCAAAGCCGGTGCTATATTTTTTGTAGAAGATCACCTTCGTCACGAGTTTATGTTTTGCCGCTTTCGAAATGAAATTTTCCCATCTTCTCCCGCTTCTGCAGCTTTTTACCGTACTCATAGTGCAAGTTTAGTGAAACCCTGCCGAGTCCGCGCGGCTGCAGACTCACAGTGTGCACACCTCGCACGGTATAACTCATGATCCTCAGAAACGGTGACGTCAACAAAATTCCACCGTGGGCCAAACCACGTGGATTCGCATACCCTTTGTTTATGTACTCTTGATATCACCTATTGGCATTGTCTGGTTCGTCTTTATATCATTTACCTCGTAAGTTGTGACATGTGTGGTGAGAAATCTGCAAAACCATGCGCGTAAGGACACGGAGCATGCTGTCCTCGTGGCTTAGGGCCGGGGCTGCCTGTGTGCTGATGCAGGGCTTGCTTCCCTGCTAACTGGTGTTGTGATAAAACAAATTTCTTCTGTTTTTTTTCCCCACTCTCAGGCACTTCATCGTTTTGACAGCAGTTGCCCAGACTAAGAGCGATGAGCAGGCATGGTGAGTGACTGTTGCCTGACTTCCTCCACTGTACATGTACTATCGTCTATGCCATTTCATCTCCAGTGTTGTAGTTCGTTTCAGTTCCCGAGCCGCAGTAGTGCCTACTGCGGCTTGGCTGTGTTGTGAGGCGCCGCTCCTGTCGTTGAGAGTAGTTTTACTGGTAGTGCATGTACTGTTATGGTTGGCGTTAACATCCGGTGGAATGACCGCAGGGGCCGGCGGCCGGCCTTGCGCATGCGCACTGCGAAGATGGACACATACAAGCACACCATGGCCCCAGTCATATGAATGTGCACCGTATGCGTACTAACGGCTGCAAGGCCAGTGCCCCTTGGCCGCTTGACTCACCGGATTTCATTGTCCACAACAGTACATCCTCATTCAGTGATGTAGACACATGGTGACTAGTTTTATGCTTTTTTTTGGTTGTTATGGCTCATATTTTGGCTAATCGACAATGTGCATTCCACATGATCTGTTCTTCTCTTAGGCTTGGCCTAGTGGAGTCGAAGCTGCGTAAGCTAATCCAGTCTTTGGAACGCAACGGGTATATAACACGCGCTCACGTCAACCCCAATGCGCATGGTCCTCTGCCGACAGAGGAGTAAGTCCGGTTCTAGTGTTGCCACATTGTCGTCTAGCACTTGTACTTGCGCATGCACTGTGTTTGAAATGTGTGCAGAGCGCATGCACTATGCTTGAAACGTGTGCTGAGCGCAGAACACTTTCCCCTTGCCATGTTGTGTTCGTTGGGCTGGGTTGCAATTCAGACGGTTGTTTTCTTTAGAACTGCCCGCGCACGCTGCATTTGAAGTGCAGCCAATCAGAGTTCTGGAATATTCAAAAATCAGTGGATTTGTATTTGATTCCTTGGTTGTCGTTTTCACTATAGATTTATAGGTCAAGTACGCATACACCTATTGAAAGAAATTTTGAAATCGGGCAAGTAGAAGGGGAATACTTGTGTTGAGCTATTTCAAGTAAATGTCCAATTTAAGTCCATACATCTGTGCAATCTAGATGTGTGTCATGTTAGCTGTAGGCTTTTTGTATTTGGCTTGCTTGGGGGTAAATAGCACTGAAATATTCAATCAGAGAAATCGGAGTACTCTAGCTCTGGACTTTGCTACAAGTCTTTCACTCCTGGTTGACATCCTTGGTAATGGCTGGCGTGTGTTGTGGGGCGATGTGTCTCCTGCAGGCAGCAGTTTGCACTTCGCTGGTTCATCGGACTGCAGTTTCAATCCATGGGTGAGTTCCTCTGGTGGTGGAGGTGATTGAGATTAAGCATTATGGCCAAGCACATACGGTGCGGGTTGCGCATGTGGTATGCTGCCCAGTTGCTTGTGCAGTGAGTTTGATTCCATGCACACCTGCAACCCTGGTAGAAGTTGGGTGTACATCGTGTGTGTGTGTGTGTGTGTGTGTGTGTGTGTGTGTGTTTGGTGGTGGGGGGCTAGTCTGTATGTTTGGCTATGTGTATGATAAATCCTCCTCCCACGTTTCCTTGTCCTGTTTCGTTTTCTGCAGAGGGCGTGAGTGTGGATCTCACATATGACATTCAATCATTTGTCAACACCGGTACGTCATTGATGTGCACAAACTGGCACTGCGCAACTTCTGCATTGCACCAGATTTGACTTCGGAGTTTGGAGCTGCAGTCTGAGGCGCTGTCGGGAAAAGGATGCAGCCGTTTTATCCCGAAGCGGGAAGAATAAATGGAGTGATATAGTAGCTTCATGAATTCTTTCTTTCAGTCATGCTGGTGTTGCGAGCGTTGGCAACAATTTCTTGCTTCACGGTTTTTATAGCACAATTGTCTAAATCATGTTGGGCTGCTTTCGATGTGGAACACTCTGTCCTTCCTTGTTCCGCATAGCAATGTTGTATCCAGCGTTAGTCAACCTGTGTGTGTGTGTGTGTGTGTGTGTACGTGTGTTGTCCGTTGCAGTCCACCGACAGGCCGTGAGCAACAAAATCTTCCGTGAGGGTATGGCAATTGATGCCAAGTACTTCAGACGGTCAGTACTCGCTGCAGGCTGTGTGTATTGTGATTTCTGTTTTGCGGACCAGAGCGGGGGACTTCCTGTTGTACAGCATGCTGGCTTCGTTGCTTGAGAACGTGTTGAATGTGTGTATGGTGACCCAGTGAGTGTATTCGAGTGTGCCCGCGAATCGATTCATGAATCGATTCTATTCACATCACCCCATGTGTTCCGAATCGATTCCAGGGCTCATTACATGAAATCGAACGGCGAGATTCCATTCATGAATCGATTCAAGTGCGTAATCGAACGCAGCCAGTGAGAATGGTGATGTACTTGTTTTGAGAATACTGACTTGCCGATGTCTCCTTTTGTGTGTCACTTGGAACCCTTGCAGGAAAGACTTGACGCAATTTTTGCCTGCAAGCTTGATCAAGGGTAAAAAGCGATCTCTGGTGAGTCGGCTCTGCCTTTCTTTCTTCTTTTTTTAACCCTTTGCCATCCGACCAAAATTCCCCTGCAGTCCCAAATGCAATAATTCTTACCTTATTCTGAAAATATCTTCGGTTCTAATCAACCAATTTTCACAATCTTGGGCATTCTGGAAAGCTCTCCACGAGCTGCGTACTTTGAGCTCAAACAGGACACTACCGAGATCACATATCCAGCGCCAGGGAGCTTCAAATACACCCCATCGCTGGATATACGAGGAAATTCTCTCCTCGCCAGCCATTTCTCGCTCCTTCATCGTAAACATTCCAATTTTTTGCTTGAGTTTCTTTTCATGCTGCCCACGCGCTCAAAGCATGCCAAAGTGACTCAGCATGTCAGGAGAGGGGAAAATCGCCGCTCAAGGTCAGTCACTCGGAAAGAAATTCGACTTTTGCCGTAGCTGAAATGTCGAGGACAATATCTTTGGAATGCGACATTCCAGCTCTTTACCGATTGGTGCAATGGAAAGCGGAGCTCTTCGGCTACTTCCTAGATACTTAGTTAGGTCTTTAAATTCCGACAAGAATCGATCGAGTTACGAATGTTTTAGTGTATGCATGTCCATCGATCTCTAGAGATCGATTCAAGTACGCACGGATGGTAAAGGGTTAACCAGTACACAAGTTTTGAGCATACCAGATGTATGTGATAATCCTCTCTGTCAGTGTTCCATAACGGCAAGGTTACAGGCTGCCGCACACGCATACAATTTCAGTGGCCGCTTACCCAAGACTGATTTAAAGAGTATATTTGGGTTGGTTGCAAATGCGAAACACATCTCTCCAGTGTGCCTCCCAGTTCCCATCAGGCTTAGAGGTTATGCTATTGAGAACCTGAGAACTTATTCATGTGCATGTGGGAGTATATGTAGTGTGGCGACGCGACAATATCTGTTTTTGGTGAAGTGCACAGTAAGAAACCTGGTACATGTATATACAAGCCTTGCTCGATAAGGTAACATGTTTTGATGATGACAGCATGTAACAAGGCAGAGGATGCACAGCAGTGCTCCAGTCTACAACCAGGAACCGGTTGGCAGAGTCCCGGTCTTGCGACCATCTGAACCGTGTTGGGGACAAACCCCGGTTCGGCCCGGGACTCTGTCAACTGGTTTATGGTTGTAGTCTAGTCAGTAGTCAGGAACACTGCTGTGCGTACTCCGCCTTGTAACATGTTGTCAACATCACAACCCGTAACTCGTAAGAAAACCTGTTGCTCACTTGTGTTCCGCTGCAGGGTAAGTCTGACACCCGCAAGGCAGCGCTATCGGCCACGGTGTCTGATACACCAGAGTCCTCATCGGCACCGTCAACTCAATTAACTCAGTCCTGCCCGGGAGAGCAGTCTACGGTGAGATTGCAATGTGCCCTGCATGGCCGTGGGGTGTTTTGTCCTCTGTTGGGTTTTTTGGTGACGAGTACACATCTAAGCGTGCAAGTCCTATATGAAAATCAGCACTTTGCCAAGAGAACCTACAGTACTGTAGTGTCTTGTATAAAAGCCTGTCTTTTATAGAAGCCTGATAAGATACACTGTCAGCACATAAGCCTGGTTTAGTGTTGACATACATAGAGATACCTGGTTTGAATAGAAGCCTGACTTGAATAGAAGCCTAGCACTGACATCGGCTTGTACGGCCGTAAGCACCTGATGTTATATGCGACATTACGGTATACGTGGCAACAAGGGACGTATGCGAGTAGCCCCCGTTCGTTTTCTTTCGATACAGTTCAGAGGTTAGCATGTGCATGTAGCATGTGTGCTGCTTCTCTTTTGTGTTTGTGCATAGGCCAGTCCGGAGGATGACGACGACTCTACAACACAGAAGATATCGGAAGTAGGGGAACCTGCAGCACGGGTAGCGACCAAGGACAGCGATTCCGCTGACGCTGCATCTCCTGTGTCTTGTACTGCTGACAAGGTGGGTGTACAGGTATTGGTGGCTGTGGGGGTGTATGAGGGGGTAGGTGTGAGTATGTGGGTTTCGTTATTTATAATGGTTGTTTACAATGTCCTCTTCCACCTGTGCGCGTGTAGAATGCTGCTGCTACAGACGCAAAGACAGACCCGCTAGCCATGAAGCGCCCTGCACAGGGCCAGGACAGCCAGCCAAAGAAAAAGAAATACGAAGAGGTGAGGTCAAGCTGCCGATTTTTCTCATTTAGAAGCTTTTTTGTCTTCTATTAAGTACAGGACTGCCATTTTTGTATGTGACCAGTGGTGGTATGATGACTTTGTAGTTTGGTGTGAAAATGCGATTCTCTCACTCGTGCCTGGATCAAGGAAAGACCACCTTAGGACTTGAACTCAGTGTAATATTATGGCTATAAGGAGGATGAGCTGAAGTGACGTTTGTATTACTTTATTAAACAATGTTAAGTGATGGAGACGATACGTCATTATTATTATTATTAAATAATTTTATTATTATAATATGCATTCCCGCGGCAGCGTCAACAGTGCAAGTGCAAGTCACCCATGCACGAACACAGTCCACACGTTCGCTTGACGCTTATGCTGGACATGGTAAGAGAAGCAGTTGATATAGGAGACATAAAGACAACAAACACAACCGTAGCTGTAAATCCTTTGTGTATAGAATGTTTAAAGTGTATTGAGCGATATTTCCGTGATCTGGGAAAAAGGTAACAGCGCGGTTTCATCGCCGAAACCTCTGCTCGCAGATCATATCCAATAGCTGCCTCCATTCGCTTCGAACTGCAGCTACGTCTGATAAGGCGCTCCAGATCTTCCAGGCTCTGCAATCGCCCGCACGCAGCTCGGTTGAGGTCGTCGAGCTTCACCGGCAGGGTGATGCGAGGGCGGCCTCTCCACTTGCGGTCATCACATTCAAAGTAGCTGACCATGCTTAGGACGGCGGGGCATCACTGGGAAGTCGAAGGATATGGCTAAATAGCCTCCACCGAGCTCTGGTGATGATGCGGCTGATCGGCTCTGCCTTGCACATGTCGTAGAGTGCTGTTGTTGCGATCTTCTGCGGCCAGACGAAGCCGATCAGTGAACGGAGCTGGCCGCAGTGGAGTGCGTCGAGTCCACCCTCGGCAGCTGCCATCAGTCCCCATGTGCCGGCGTTGTATACTAGCACTGGTAGTACAAACGCATTGTAAAGACGAAGCCTCAGTTCTTCTCCAGCGGTACTGCGCCGGCTCCATAGTGACCAGAGCGATCGAAACGCTGCAGAGGCTAGTTGTTTCCGCCGAGAGACATCCTCGTTATCCCCGAGGAGTGAGCCGAGCTTCTTGGTGGTGCGCCACTATTCCGCTATCCTGTCCAGGGATCGGCCCAGAACGGTAATTTCTGTTTTATCCGGGTTTACCTTCAGAGCCCATCCGTTGAGGACGTCACCGATAACCGGCTCCAGGTCACCCACCCAGCCAGACTCTGTGCTGATGAAATCCGTGTCGTCGGCGCACGCAATTTCAAATGGCAAGCCGAGATCCGATGATGGCCGAGCCCTGGCAGTAGCAGTGCTCCTTACATCCCGCAAAGCTGCCTCGAGATATACCACAAATAGAACAGGGGACAAGGAATCGCCCTGGGGCGTCCCGATAGTGGTATCGGCGGATTCGGATGTTGCTGTGCCGATGCGTACACAGAAGGACGTGTTGGCTAGTAGGACATGGATGAGACGGATCTCGTCCTCGTCCAGGAAGGAATTATAATAATTATACTTTTTTTGAAGTAATTTTCTTTTTGCTCTTCTCCTTTCTGTTGTGCTCTTGCAGGTCGACTCTACTGTTCCCTGCAGTTCAGCTGTGGAGGCTTGAAAGCCATACCATGTTCTGCTGTGTGTGTATTCTGTCGACGACCGGATCTACGAACCACTATCGAAAATGACTCAAAGAAATCGCTTCTGTTTAGTCACGAGGCATCGGATGCTGGTGGGTGCCATGCATACTATCTCCTTCTCTCTCTCTTCTGTGTCACGTCTGTCATTGCTCTAGAACTCCTTCCATGGCTACTCTTCTTCTTACTCCTTTCTTTACCAAAATGTGGCCACTATGTTCAGGCGCTCCTTGAAGTGCAGTAGCCCTCTTGACCCTTCTCTGCCTCCTAGCTGTATATACTCCACTACTTGGTGTTGTGTGTGTGTGTGTGTGTGTGTGTGTGTGTGTGTGTGTGTGTGTGTGTGTGCGTGTGTGTGTGTGTGTGTTGTGACCCTCTGTTGCCTTTCCCGCGAGCTTACGTCTGTGTCTAGATAACAGTTATTCCAAGATTGTCATTCTCTCCGTGCTGCACATCGTTGTTCACCCCTCGTGTTGGCGTACATGTTGCTTTTCATCTCGCTTGTTATTTTCCTCTTGACTTGTTCTAGCTGTGTTGGCGCCGGCGCCAGTGTTGCTAGATGTGAATGTCCTTGATTTACCTGCCTCGTTTTGTTTACTCTTGGCTTGCTTCGTTTTCTCTCTTGTTGCTGCGTGTCGTATCCTTTGTAAGTGTTGCACGATCGTTCTGCAGTGTGATGTGTATCATGTGTGTGTGTGTGTGTGTTTGTTTTTTGTTGTAACCCACGCTAACCCTGTGCCGTACACTTATGCTGTGCATAACTCCGTACCCTGTGTGCTGCGCTGTGTGTGTATGTGTGTTGTGTGCACCGCACTGTTTACCGTATACATAGAGTGCCACCTAGAGTGCTGCCAGTCTTTATGAAACATCAAATTTCCTTGTCTTAGCTCTTTCCTATTATTACAGCCCTAAAAAAAGAAACATAACCTGAGAAGTGACTCTACATAGTTTTTTCCCGTTCTTTGTTCCCCTTCTGATAAAAATCCAGAGAGGAAACACCTTTCCGGTTTGGAAATGACAGATGCCAGCATACCTTTTCTCTCTCATTTTTTCGTTGTTTTTTGCCTTGCATATTAGATATCTGATTTGAGCAGGTAAAGCAAGGTTACTCGCATCCGTCTTAAATCAGAACTAAAAAACGAATAAACAGGGGTCGGAAAATTGTAAAAATGACCTCAAAAACCAGCCGTGTGTTTCTTGATGTGTTTGGTCTGTGCTGTGTGTGTGTATGTGCAAGATATGAGTGAAGTGCACTTGACTGTGCTTGCTGGTGACATAACCCAGCATGCACTGGGCTCTGGTCACTGGTGACTTCTAATTGGGTGGGGCATGCCCAATCCGGGGTTCGAATTATCAGACAGTAGACAGGTTGCGCTTGTAAGGAAGTTTCATATAGCGTTCGTTCGGCGGATCAAAAATTGAGTACCACTCTCATTTTTAACCCATAAAACATCTGACCAAAATTTCAATAGAGTTCTCTTACTAAATGCCCTTGATACCTGGATTGATACCTGGATGAGTTCCATCTCTGAAAAGCTAACTGTTTCGACCTTTAGTGGCCTCGTCGACCGCAGGGCTGGTAGTCGCAGAGGACTGGCCATAGGGCTCTCTAGCCTTGGTTTTGTCATGAAGATCATACTTGCACTTCTCTGGCCCTCCAGGAAATCGCGATTCCACGGATGCCACAAATTTCGCGATTTTGCCCCAAACCCGCGATGTTCAGCAAAATCCGCTATTTCCCCGGTTTTTTTTGTCGTTTTCTGCACTATATCTCACATTTTTATGCACTTTTCACGCAGTTCTTTCCATGAACCTGTAGGTAATTTGCACAGTACGACTCCGGAGTAGACATACGATGCAACAAATTTCGTGATTTGGCCCAAATCCGCAATTTTCTGCAAATAATTCTTGGCAAGTTCTGCATCATTCCGCACTTTTCGTTGCATTTTTTGTTACTTTCTGCCGCAATTTCTTGCGCAAGTTTCCGAGAGTTTTTCCGCAAATTCCCGCAGGGACAGGCTTCTGTGAAATTTTGGTGGCATTAAAGGGGAAGTGCATCGATTTTTCGAGTATGGTCCAGAAGAAAGACAATTTGATATCGGTTCGAATGGCATATCTCTCGCTTCCATACGATAAGCCAAACTTGCCAAATCGCCAATTGTATGCTCACGTTGCCATAGCGACCAGAGCAGTGATGACGTATGAAAGGCTTAGCTCCTCCACAGAGAAGGTCGATCACTGCATAAATTGGTCATTTTTCAATTGCCTTATTGTATTTACGATGTGAAAGAAGTGCTGTGTTCAATGCTGTTAGTGCCGTGAACTATTTATCGCCCTTCTCATGCATTTCCCTAGGCTGACTGTGCCTAGGAAATGGTTTCCTCCAGGACAAGATGCTTGGAATTCGCCATCTCTCCTGAGACAATTTTCAGCAAACTTTCAAACCTACGACATTATTTCATTCGTCAATCTCCACCACCCGTCGTCTCACCTGGCTTCAGAAGATGTTACGAGAGATAGGAGAGTCGCCAGGAAGCATCTCATTCATCTTCAGGAGGTGGAAAGAGCAAACGGCATGGTCCTTGGTTGGGGAAAATGCTGAACGTCTGATTTGTCCCAACCAAGATTTCAGCATTTTGTTCGTCACTATTTTCGCTTGTCTGCTGGTGTCTCCGCACTCCAGCTTTCTCCTGTCGGTGTCACGTCCCAGTACACAACCGAGAGGACTACTAACAAACAGTTCACTGCACTAACAGCATTGAACACAGCCCTTCTTTCACTTCGTGAATACAATAAACCAATTGAAAATGACCAAATTCTGCAGTGATCGACCTTCTCTGTGGTGGAGCTAAGCCTTTCGTACGTCATCACTGCGCTGGTCGCCATGGCAACGTGAGTATACAATTGGCGATTTGGCAAGTTTGGCTTATCGTATGGAAGCGAGAGATATGCCATTCGAACCGATATCAAATTGTCTTTCTTCTGGACCATACTCGAAAAATCGATGCACTTCCCCTTTAATTCTCGTGCCTTCGCTCTCGATATTAGGGAGGTTTCCCAGTAACGAGGTGATTTAGCTTTTTTTTACCATTTGGCATTTTTAACAAAATTGTGTAAAATTTGCTTTTCTTCTGGCTGTTTCTCTGCTCCGGATGGCTGTATCGAAACATGGGTGGTGGCAAATGAGAGCCAGTTTATCGTAGATCAACATTGACCAGAAAATTTGGTGCATATAATTCTCCCTGCCATGTCGGTGTAACTAGTGATGGGTGCTTTGCCATTGTGTGTAAAATAAGCCCTTGAATGGACGAGTGGGCAGTAAATTGCTTCCGCAGGGCCTTTGGATGACGTCAGGCCGTCTTGATATCGCTATAAAGACAACAATGAAGAACAGTAGGTCACGGAATACACTCTGTGAGAACGAAAACAGGGCTGCGATGCTATGCTACCTATCCAATTCTACCGTATGACACAGCCACTAGTTACATTTTTTTTTTTACAAAACACGGCATTGCGGCAGCATACAATGCAGTTGACAGATTAATTTTCATCCACTAGCATTCCTTGAAGTGATATCTATCAACTTCAGAACATTGATGCCAGTTCGTTATGCCATTTTAAAAAATTGTTAAAAAATGACACACCAATTATTTGAACCCTGAGAATACTATGAAAGTAGGACATGATTCAAGACACTTTCCAAAGTGGGATCATTCCCATTATTTTTAAACAATGGGCATGAAGGATAGCACTTCCACTTGCAACAATTCGTTTGGACATAGCTTGCCTAGAAGTGGCTGAAAAAATGTCATTTTACAACAATGTTAAAAAAAAGCCAAATCACCTCGTACGTATGAAAATAACGTAGAAACTGCACGGAATTTTCATACGTAAAAATCAGAGCTGTTGGGTTTCGCTCTGCGTGATTTCTCCACGACTGCTTAACATGCGTTGTTGCTTTGGAGACGCATTGGCTGCATGCACCATGAACCGAAACCGCGTTTTCCATTTTATTTTGCACGTGCACAATGCGTACCTTGTGTTTCGCGCGGCTTGAACGTTGCCATGGACAAATGCGGAAAATGCGAGAAAAATATTTCAAAACGTCCTACGGAGGACCCAACCTAGGAAAGAGCTTTCCTACGGAAATCCGTAGAGAGACTTATGTATGAAAGTTGCCCTCGCTCACCGGCGCGTACGACATATTGATTTTCATACGTAATTACGTAGAGCGAAACCTCCCTATTACCAGTCCTACCGCAGCTGCTGTAGATCTTGCTGGTACGTCTCGTACAGTATCACACTACCAAGAGTCTGCAATCCCATGGTCATGGGGCAATACTAGTAGACTCTTGGAAGAACATGGAGGGGCGAGCCTTCTGGGCCGAGGCTGGAAGCACGGGTGGTCATCCTCCTTGCAAGGTGCCTGGCACATGGTGCAATCCTGGTACGATAAAAGCCACTATAGTGCTTTCGCCAATTCCGGGCCCATATCTTTTTCACAGTTTCACTTCATTCTTATTCAAGATGGTGAAGGAAGTATTATTTCAGATACAATACAAATGATAACTACAGTCAACTTTGCATATAACGACCGTGACACTCGGGGGGGGGGGCATCAGAAAAGTGTCTTTAAGTGTTGTTATACCCGTTATACCCGAAGTATTCAGTTCGATGGGACTTTGCTCTGGGCATGGAAATCCTGTTGTTATTTGCAAATTGTCGTTATATCCGCAGTCGTTATTAGCGAAGTTGACTGTATTAGGCCGTGATCGTTTGGTCGGATCCAGATCCAGATCCATAGGATCCACTGGATCTACAGTGAGCGATTGGTCGAATCGTGGTATCCTGTGGGGACAGACTATTGTGCAACACATGGTTCCGCTCTGTTCCTCGGCTAGAGATTGCCCGCACGCGTGCTATACAGGGTGCCTCATCAAGCTGCTCGATCCTGGGCCATCATGGAGAGTTTGCCAAGGTGGTACACATACATGTACATGAAGTTTTAGCGTATCAGGGGCCCAGAATTGGCGAGTACACTTTAGAACGAGGTCTGTCTCGTTGTCCAGGAAACGACCAATCAGCGACGTTCCCGCCACGGGCCTTATCAGACTTTAAAGCCCGCTCAATCGCAATTTTACTACTCTTGATGACGCGTTGAGGGCCTTGGATTAGTTTAAAGCCCGCTGAATAATTGTACGCACTTTCCACTCGTACAACTTCCTGTACGCATTATAGTGCAGTGGAGACAATGAACTCTGCATAAAATGTACGGTGTACTTCTAAAAGCTACCCATTTCGGAAGTGTGTATGGTTTTTACTTCCCGTACTCTTTCATCTGTATGATTTTCCTTTCTCAACAGCTGGCGAAAACCTATAAAAACCGAAGATCAAAAGTCATTATAGGTATCAAAAAGGGGCTCTCGAAGCCCCTAAATAGCTCTACAAGCTAAGGGTGCGTTCTTATAATCTCTAGCTTCTAGGAGAAGAAGAAAAGAGAAGTCGAAGAAACTGGGATAATTCAAGAACGGGTCCGGAATTCGGAGATATTGTGCACATATCGAGCAAAATGAAGCGCCAAAGGGGCCGCGATCTTGAGTGCCACGAATATAGTATGCGCTGTGCGCATGCGAAAAGGGAAATGCGTACACTCATGATCAACACGTGGCTTTTAGCCTAGTTCACATGCGCTGATCCCAAACCGCAGGAATCTCCAAGTTGTAACCAGGTAACCACCTCTGAAGCTTGGAGGGCTTTGGAGAGCCTCCTAAAATTCGGAGAGGATATAAGAACAGCTCCCGAACTTTTTGGAGTGTCTCCAACTTTTCCGTGAGGATTTAAGATGCCACCCTGAGAATGAAGGTCGCAATAAGAGCCCAGCATTTCATTTCCTTCTATTCTACTTTTAGTAGTCCTCAGTGGTGCTGAGTTGCCAGTTACCATCATACCGTAGAATCCCGCGGATAAGCCCATGCCCGCGCATAAGCCCAGGGTTTGTTCGAACACTGATGATCACAAAGCTTCATCGTACAAGCCCATGCCCATGGGCCTACAACACTGTAGGTCATACCAAGAGTCCATAAATTATGGACTCTTGACCATACCATGTACATGTACGTAGTACATGCACATTATAGTTTTTTCCGTACATTTCAGCACAATCATCGGTTGTTTTTGTTTGCACAGTGGTTTTCAGCAATGTACTTCTCACTTCCTTGACACTTTTCAATAGCACAACTTGGTGTCGGCGTATAAGCCCATGCCCGCGTATAAGCCCATGTTCTCGTATAAGCCCACCGAAATGTCCTTGTGAAACAGATAAGCCCATGGGCTTATCCGCGGGATTCTACGGTACCGCACCAGTTCTCTCTGCACACAAACCACAAAACTACCCAATATAAGAGTACTAGCATAATGCAAGTGAGATAATCCATGTAATCTCGTTCTAAAATAGTTAGTGCATGGCAAGGGAGGGCCTTATGGCTTGTTTGTGCCCTTCAGGTTAGCCCTCGGGCCTACAGCCCTCAGGCTAACCTGTCGGGCACTAACAAGCCATACTGAAGGCCCTCCCTTCCATGCACTAATCTACTAACAAGAGTAAATACCGTATTATCTCTAATATAAGCACGGTCCTTTATTTTTTCAATGTACCTCCGCCCCGTGCTATTATTGGAGACGTTCCTTTATTGGAGACTGTTCCATTATTATTTCAACCTCATTTCAGAGGCATGTTGCCATGCCAAATTCATGTCAGACACACACATTTCAGGGTTTTTTTCGCCGGTACAGATAACTAATTTACACAGTGTGCTTATAATGGAGACTGAGCAATTTTTTGAATGCCGCCCCAAGGTGTTCTATTATTGGAGACGTGCTATTATTAGAGACTGTGCTTATATTAGAGATAATACGGTAAGCTCTAAGTTGGTACTAGTGGTTGACATGACGCCCGTCTATCAACCGGCCACAACTCTCTTCGATCACAAGTTCGTGAGTGTCCCCGACTGGCAGTCTACGGTGGGGAGATTGAGGTTCAACACGGACAAGGACGGCCTGAGTGTGGTGGTGGTGATCAGGTGGTGGTCGGGGGGGGGGGGGGGGGGGGGTGGTGATGGGGGGGGGGGGGGGGGTACTGTGTTTCGGTCGGGAGCTAGCTTGTCGCCGGGTCACTCTTGGCATCATCAAACTGAAAGGAAGTCGGAACTATCACTCACTATGTCTTGATCAGTCACTGGGAAGCCACTGCTAGACGCTGGGTGCCGGGCTGGGATAGACATCGTTCAGCACTCAACTCACTGGACATAACAGGTCTTCGACGATTTCCTTGCATCATTCAGTAGCTAGCTGCTGAGTCCATAATGTGGGTTCGTCCTTCCAGTCAGGGAGTCGTGGTTTCAAGTAGAGGTTAGCCCAGGGCCACAGCGGAGAGAGTCGCACACTGCTGAGATAATGCCATGGAGTCGTTCCCAAATATTTCAAGCAAGCAAAATATACAAGCAAAATATAAAAAATACTGAAAAGGATCGGAGTGAGATCTACTCGAATCCTCACAAGTCACAGTCATGTGACGTCAGTGCGGGTCGTTATGCGATTATGCGATATGCATGGTCATGCATGGTCTACAACTAGAAGTAGAATGATGTGGCATGTGCACAGACACTGAGACAGTGCACACCGTTGCCGTAGTTGCACTCATGTCAGATTTTGGCAAACGGGGATTTCCCAGTTCTGCCACGCTCGATACAGGCAAGCGGCCAACGTGGCGTTGGCCTATCGAAGTCAGCACATCAAGTTCAACAACCAAACTCCAAGTCCAAGTCGTAGAACGTGGCAACTGTTTGCGAAATAATGTGATTGTTGGAGACTTGCATTGTATTCCACCCAACTAGTTACTTGATTTGCCTTCCCAGGTGTATCGTGTTCACATCTTAGTAGGAGTAAGAAGAGGGACAGTCGAGATGCTTTCGCGGCAGCTGACTGGATTGGCAGCCAGGTGTTTCAGCACCTCTGCAGCAGCGGCGTCTACCAATCCAAATGAACTGAAATATTGGCCCATGCCATTGCCTCCATCTGCAGGTCAGTCCTGTTTTTTTTTAAGAAGTTGGCTCAAGCACACAGACACGTGATGATAAAGTCAGTACTGTGGGTCGAGTTATGGCCTGACTGTTGAGTCAGGGGTGCGTCATTTATTCATCTGAGTTTTCATTACTACTTTTGGCCTTTGTCTTTTTAAAATACTCCTTGTGGTCCTTGATAGCTATTGGTAGAAAGCACATGACAGTCTCCTGGTCTCATATGGCCTTTTCAGAGCATTAATTGAAGCCTAATTCCCACCACCTGACCGTGGGTTCGACCCACACTTCCTATACAGCCAGTGGCATTGTTTTTTCCCCCTTTTGCCACACGTCCATTTCTAATGTTGGGTCAATCTACCGTATTCCCATAGCGCACAATCAGTGCAGTAATAGAACTATTAGATGTACAGTTAAACTTCCCAGATCCAGAACCCCGAATATGGGCACGTCCGGCCGTCTACCGGGCACCTTTCTGACCTATCTGCCGTCGCAACAATTGGCTTTTCAACGAAAAAGAGCCCCAAAAACTAGCGATTGGCATAAAAAATGTTTACTTGCGTGCAGTTTAGAGTATGCAAGTTCTGAGCTACGGGCAATTCCTAGTTACAGGCAGTACTTGGTCCCGACCTGCCCAGATCTGGGGAGTTTTACTGTATAGAAACTTAGAAATGTTGCATGAGATGGCAAGAGCACTGTCGTGCTTTTCTCACAGGTCCAGCCGCCGCCCCCCCCCCCCCCCCCCCCCTCTGCATGCGGATACTGTCTTGCACTCACACCTGTGGGAGAGGCGAATTCATAATTTCAAGCAAAACAGAAGTAGCAGACAACTCAAGTATAAAGCACGGTGGCCTCAGCAAGCATCCGTACTAGGTGTAGATGAAGGCCGTGGAGGGCAGTTTCCCCATGTAGCTCAATGGGGTGTCACGCCCCGAGTGTCTGGATAATTGAGGTGGCTGTATTCAAATAACGCGTGTTGGATAATCGAGGTGCATGTATTCAGGTAATGCGTGTTTGGATAATAGAGGTGGCTGTATTCAAATAACGAGTGTTTGGATAATCAAGGTGCATGTATGCAAATAACGCGTGTTTGGATAAACGAGGTGCCTATGCCGGTATTCAGATTATGAGTGTTTGGATAATCGAGGTGCTTGTACCCAGATAAAGAGTGTTTGGAGATAATCGAGGTGCGTGTGTTCAGATAACGGGAATCTGGATACTTAAGGTGGCTGTATTCAGATAATGCGTGTTTGGATAATCGAGGTGCCCGTATTCAGATAATCGAGGTGCCTGTATTCAGATAATCGGGGTCGAGAAGGCCAGGATAGGACTGTACAATCATGTATGAAGCAGTCATGTGTGGTATGGGTCAGCAACCGTATTCCCCTTGTTGAAAGGCTGGGTTTACAAGGGAGTTTTCAACCCGGGAAGTTTCAACCCGCCACGTACCGTACTTCTACGCACAAGAGAACATGTGCTTTTGCGAAAAGTCGCTGCTTTTGGCAGAATCGAGTCATTTTTGATCATGGTAAAGAATATTCGTATAGTATGGGTGAACAGCGGACCATAAAATGCGTGGGGCCCTTAATTTATGGATGCAGAGACCGGTCTTCATGCACTTGTATGTGCTGGTGTGGTATCCATCGGCATTCCCTGCAAGACCTGGGTGAAAATGATTCTGGCACCCATACATCCGATGTCAATAGGTCAACTGGTGAATCATGTAGAACTGTTTGGTGCTGGCTGAAATTGAGTAACTGTTTTCGTCCATGTTTGAACATGCGTGCTTTGTGCGTATTTAGGCACACTTACTTTTGTGCACGGACATACAGGCATGTGCACGGTTTGACTGGAGCGTTTATGTGATGCAGTGCGCTTGACCCGGGTTGACTCAGAGAAAACGTACCGCCGTAGAGTGTTCACTACTCAAATGTCAATTGTCCGAGTGATTGATTATCCGAAATGCATGGTCACACAGGGTCGAAACGAGTTGTTGCTGTGTTTTCCCACCTGCATCACCATGATACGCTGGTGCGCAAGATGCGTGACGGCAGGGTGTCGTCAAAGCGTGTCTCCATGGGTATTTTCGAGAGGCTGGAGGGTATCTTATTCTTGTGGCACTACGAAAAGAGAGCTACACATGACTTAACACGGGGAGTGTGCATGTCTTAGATGAATGTGTGCTCGACTCCCCCTTTCCGAGCATACTCCTGATCTGAACCCCCTGAAGATGGCCCTGCTCTCCCAGGCCAGGGTTGGGGATAGTCAGCACTCTACTGTACTGTATTAGCAGACATATTCGTCTGTAATTAAATTTCGTCTTTTTCGTCCAATGAGCTTTTTGGACTAAATCAAATGCCGGACTAGTGTCAATTTTCCAGCTTTTCTATACACTCTTATGATCCATGGACGAAATTTTCAACCGGACGAACTCCCTTTCTTTGGAGTTGGACGAAATTATTGACCGACGAAAATGTTCTGCCTGTACAGTAAGTACGCCACCACCCATATGCACTGTCAAGTTTCTACACAGGCGGGGAAAAAAGACTTGTACAGGAAAACCTGTCCAGGCGACCACTCCGATATGGCAAGGACATGTTGTAGAGGACCACTACAACCAGGACCAAGGGAGCCTGCATAGTAGAGTATCACCTGTGCGCGGGGACCATAATTATGATAGTAGGGTATCACCTGTGCGCGGGGACCATATGATGGGGTTTCCTTGAGCTTTGACATGATGGTCTGTAGTGTACATGTGTGTTGATGTATGGTCTAAGGAATAAGTTGACTACAGTGTAGTCTCTAATGGCAGATGTTCTCTTGCTGCAATTGTTGCGGACACGCAATGTTTTTAAGAACTGGAGTTGACAAATTGTTGCGTCGTTTTTTCTATGAACTATAAAGGTTTAAATCCGCAAAGTGCTACTTCATGCACTTGCTTTCATCTAGATATTTTCCATAGTGCTGCAGATTGCATGATGAAAGTACATTGTACTAACAGTCTCTAGCTGCAGTTGCACATGGCCTTCAGTACGCAATGATGGTGTTATGCTGCTACTTTGGTCTTCAGATGTGTGCGGTGCCAGGTTGCTAGCACCAAGCTTGGGTTATGCATGCATGCAGTACATTCCTCGTTCCTTTGTGCAGCAACTACGTGACTTGTTCCCAGCCTTTCTTCTCAGAAAAGGTCAAAGATTGACGCTATCCTCAGCATCGTTACAATCAGAAGTACACGGCTTCCCCCCTTGGGTAGGGGATGAGGTGTACTTGGTGCAGTGTACAAAGAGTATGGGTCACAGATTTAAATCGCCGTGATCTAATTCTTTGAACTTGATGATATAGGTTGGAATTGCTGTTCAATATTCTCCACCTGACGCTCGTCAAACAAACAGATTCCCCTAACCACACTACAATTTGATGACAAAGTTTCGGTTGGCAGTTTCACTTGATATGCGAAGGGCCTTGGCAGTAAGCTTGATCGATCGTTTGATCCATAAATTATGGGCAATGCTACACAAAACACGACAAGTGCATCATAATTATGAAATTTTGGTATATAATCCACTGGTCATGCGGACCAATAGAACAAATACGTGTGAGTATAGTGGCGTTCAAACAAACGGAATAATTTATTAGCAGATATCCGGATTCTGACAGGTTTCCTGTGGTTGTTGAATTAAAAGTAGATGTAGTGTACGTTGCTGGCGGAGTTGGTGCTGAGTTCAATTTCGATTGGCATGTGTTACTGCTGTCGCTCGCAATGTGAGCTGTTGGTTATGTTGACTGGGAACACACGCTGACGCGCTGGGGGATGTACTGCTTACATCATTGCACATGCTCTGCTGTCCTGTACCTGGTCTGCCAGCCGCGCCGCGTGAACTATTGCCTTGAACTGCGTCTTCGTGGACAGGATTTTTTCTAGGTCCGCCACGCTCACGCTGGTCAGTCCCTGCTTCTTGCTCTGTTGCACGAGCTCCTTGATCTTCTGCAGCTTGGCTGCGTGGCGTTCCTGTCGGCGCTTCTGTGCGCCCACCTCGCATCTCAGTTGGTACAGCTCATCAGCACTGCTGGTTACGCTCAACGTGTGATTGAAGCCGATCATTGACCGGTCGTTACGCATCAAGTCCTTTGTCATCGTGCTCATGCGCGACAGTTTTCCGGTATTGCTGTTGCTTGGCCCGCGCTGTCGTCCAAACACGCCGATGCGAAGCTTCTCGTTGGTGATGTGGTTGAGCAGCTCCTTCGTCACTGATTTGTACGTCACCTGCTCGGAGAAGCTGAAGTCCGGATTGCTGGTGCCGGAGACCAGTTTGGTGGTACGCTGCTTATCCATGAAGAAGGTGAACTGGCAGTGGATGTCCTGGAAGCGAGCCTGTATCCCGCGCACGTTGGGTATCTTCACCAAGAAGTCCATGCGCTGGCCAACCAGCTCCGTGTCTGGATCCTCGATGAATATGTCGTCGGCATCGTCGGGTTCCTTGCCGTTCGGCAGGCATGGCATCAGTGAAATGTGCATCTGGCCAGCATCGTTTCCCATGTAGTTCGCAATGGTCAAGCTCTCGTCCATGTCCAGCATGTAACTCAGACACTGCGTGTACACAAACACGTAGCCGATCTCGACCACCTCTTCCGGATCGCCCCAGAACGGGTCGCTGTCGGGCGGCTCGTCCCAGTCCGGGTCGCCGTCGACGTAGCGCTGGTACATCTCCTGCATGACGAACTTGCGGTCCAGGAAGCGGTTGCGCGGCCACAGCCACTCATCGTCGGTCGCCAGGCCCTTCATGCGTACAAACACCTCCGTGCGGCTTTTGACCACTTCAAGGGCCTGCGGCGAGACGAGCACCACCTCGAACTTCACCTTCTTGTTGAGCTCCTCGCTCATGGCGTTTGCCTCAGTGACCATGGGGAGGATGGTCATGAGATCTTCCTGAATGAGCAGATCCTCTGTAGACCGCGCAGAAGAGAACAACAACAACAACAACAACAAAAACAGGAACAGGAACAACATATAACACACATCAACAGAAGCAGCATGATATGAACTCTGGCCGGGCTATTACTCAAGTACTAGCACTAGCATATGTGGTAGGGAGATGCAGATGGACAAGGGAGAAAGGCGAGAGAATGCGAGATAAAAAAAAAGAAATGAGAGAATGAGAGTGATAGATAGAGAGAGATAGAGAGATAGGTAAAATTATATTTTGCAGTGTTTTTCCGTACTACCAATGTACTGCCGTGTGCATAGCTTGTATTGTGCTTTTTTTGACACTCGCATGCTTGTCCGTGGCTGAATTTACTAGTGCAAAACATGTGTGACTGTACCACGACATTATATTTTGTGCTACATGTAGTCGATGTATGGCATGCACTCGTTTTGGCACGGGGATATTCATCGCTCAGCTTGCGCTTGCCGTGCTTCTGCATACATACATGTATCTGTAGCTCATTGATCCTCTTCAATTTTCCGTACCATTTTCCTCAAATTCCGTACTGCGGACGAATGAGTGATTTTCCGTACAAATACGGAAAAGTACGGAAGGTTGGCAGCACTGTACTTCGGAAGTAATTAGAGAGGTTCCGGAGTACGATTTTTCGTCCCAAAATCCGTAGAGGCGCTACGGATTTTTTATACGTCGTTTTCGAGCAGTGAAATGTTCCGGAGTATGGAAATTATGTGTTTGCCGTCATTGTCTAGGTTACGATCGCAAACACGTCACATTCCCGTGCTATGCCTTTTTATTTTGAAAATTTGTACCGAAATCAAAACTTCCCGCGGAAAATCGATGTTTCTCGTACCAAATTTGTACGCGAAAAATCTTTCTGCACCCGATGACGCAAGATCTCCATACAAAACATGGTTCGTATGAAAGCCAGTCCACACGGATTCTCCGTGCCGAAAAATCGTACGGAGCACGCCTCGAAAAAATCCGTATAGCCCATACGGATTTTGGCATGGAAAATCGTACCCCGGAACCTCTCTATTGATTGTTTGGGCAGTGGGCACATAAGCTCATAACATCTGGTACTAGCAAGAGTGTCCCAGAATGCTAAAGGGTCTCTTCGTACTTATACTTTACTTTACTACACAGACAGGTGACAGTTAGTTGTCACGTGCTCGCAGCACCATGCAACATCCACGACCCTTAATCATTGGCTTCCAAACAGTGACAGCCGTTCCACTACATGTAAGTATACGCACGCCTCTGAACTAAGCCAAGTAGCATCAAGAGTACTTATGCGCTGTTACCAAGACCTGTCACTAGTACTTGGCGATCCCTTGGCTCATTGACGGAATGTTTCTGATATCAGTCTTTAAACAGAAGGCGAGGAGACAAAGGAAAATTGAGGAACCAGGCAGCAGGTTGTCGACCAAGTCAAGCGCAGTGGATCAGTTCAGGAGGGCCAGAGCAAACACGGAATCGGCGGAGGAAGTGGATGGTAATGCATGCAGTGAGTCCTGTAGTAAGGAGGAAAGTGGTCGCGAGAGTAGAGGTGAGTCTTTGTTCTGCACGCAAGTTTTGTAGTAGAAAATCTTCAGTGTACAATCATCTTGTGCTAGACCCGATTGTTGCAATTCTACTGTTGTTTTAGGTGTTATATCTCTTACTTTGGTTTTCTATAATAGTTCAATTGTCTTGCAATATCCTTTAGTACAACAACGATTCTTGATGAGTGTTGTAGAAAAACCTGTTCGAATCGTAATTACCGTAAAATAGCGTTGATCCGCTCCCCCACGCCATGTCGCTTCCCAGCTGGGTTTTGGGCAGGGGGCGGGAATTAGATCAAGGCTGTCAAGTGCAGTACGATGTACAACAGCGTATAAATCAGACTCGATGTGCTGAATTGTGCACATTTCCATCCTGGATTGGCACGTATTGTGTACAGCAGGGCATGCGTCGGTTCAACATCGTTTTTCGTTGTATACGCCGAAGTCGCTTCACAGGTAGAAAATCGACAGGGGGCGGGAATCAGAGAGGGGGCGGGAATTAGAGAGGGGGCGGGAATCAGAGAGGGGGCGGATCAACGGTACTTTACGGTATTCGTGTTTTCTTCACTATTTCTTCCTACTTTCATCTTTTTATTGCACATTGTCTCCACCGTTTACACTGCATGGGTAAACTATAATTATAGTCAACTGTCGATTCAGCTGGTCTTATGGATTGTGGTTATATCAGTCCAGGGGTGTCACAGCTGCATGTGTGTAGGATGGCAGGTGCATGTCCTTCATGGTCATTATGTGCATGCTGAACCTAGGTCAAATTTTTTTCACGGAATGCACATGCACCCCGTGCCCCATGCGTGCTACGCGCCTGCAGTTTTTCACAACTATTTGGCTCGCAGATACCATCGTGCGTAGCCAGATGTCAAATGTACAAAGGACGTTATGTTCAAGTTATGATGGTCGAAAGCAGAGCAGATTGTGGTGTCCCATGTCCTGAACCTGATGTACTCACACCGAATCGTACGTGATATGTGCGGAAAAGCTACGCATTTGATCGTACCCCATACCACGAAATGACTTTTTTTAACCTCGTCCGGCATGAGTTAGTTCTACACTGCAGCTCGAAATTGGAGCTGCACCTTCTTGCTTATGTACTCTCACTGGTATCCACAGTATCATTACGTGCATGTACACCACGTGGAGAGTATGCGAAACACAAGGATCTATACATGTCAGTTTGTTCAGTTCAGTACCTTTGGATTTGCCGCTGGTGTCCATGTCGAAGCCGGAGTTTTTGGCAATCTCGGCTTGGGCCTGTTCGTACGTGAAGGGCGTGACCTTGTCGCCGCTTTGTTTCAGTTTGTCCAGCTCCTCTGGATGGTGCACCAGGTAGAGATGGTTGTTTCCGAATAGAATGCGGTCGTTGTGGTGCAGCTCAGTGCTGCTGCTGATCAAGTCCCCGTTCACCAGTACCTTTGCGTCTTTGCCGGGCACCACTGTGAACGTTTTGTCTCCAGTGTTCTGCAGCTCGGCGTGTTGGTTCTGTATGCTGAGACCGATCATGGTGATGTCGGGCTGCGGGTTAGCCTTGTTGTTGCCCACTGTCTGCTTGCCGTCACCGATGACGTGGTGCACCATGTTGCTCAGCTGTGGGTCCTCGTTCAGGTTGGATAAATGCAGCTTCTGCGTGCAGTCCTGCACCTTTGCCGTGCCGCCCTGGTCCTCTTGTTCGGCGAAAGCTTTCTGCGTCTCGGCCAGCCGTTCCTTCCACGTCTTTTCCATCTCCTCCATTTCACGCTTGGTTCTCTCAATCTCCTCGCGCCGCTGCTCTTCGTACTCCTGTTTCAGCCTTTCTTTCTCCGCTTCCGATATCTTCTCACCACCAGGACTGTCCTTGATGATCACCTTGCCGTTCTTCAACTCGTTCATCAGACGCTCGTTCTCCTCGCGCAGTTCCCGGATCAGGCGCTCCGTTGGACTCTCGTTGATGACGGCCGTTGTCTTGATGCTCTTGGCGCGGTCGGCAAAGCGCAGCGTCGACAGCGTCTCGTCATAGTTGATGTCAGCCGGGCTGAGGGCGGCGATCATGATGGTCTTGCTGTTGCCTCCCAGGGCATTCTTTAGCAGCTTGGTGAGTACCGAGTCGCGATACGGTACCTTGACGCTGGCCGGGTTCTTGGCTGAGCATGCATCGGCCAGTGCCTTGATGACGTTACCAAGTGACGATAGAGACAGGTTGATGGCAGATCCTTCCTTCAAGCGATCACCGGTGGCGCCAGTCGAGTCTGCGCGCTCACTGCCGGCCAAATCCACCAGGTTGATTGTCGACTGCTTGGTGGTGCTGGTGCCGTCCTTGTTGAACTTCTGCTTGAACGTGATGGCCACCACGGTGTGCGCACGACTGCTCGTGGCGTTCATGTTGGTCGACGCCACGGTACGGTTGCGAGTGCCTTCTTGTATGCGCTGGTCTATCTCCTTGTAGCTACTCACCGGCACGTTCAGCAGCTGGTCGACGTAGAAGCCCAGTTTCGGATGCTCGCGCACCTTCAGTCCCGTCTTTCCGGCTTTCTTCAGGCCCTGGAAGTTGAGCAGATCGCGCACCTGCTCGTTGTAGATTTCCAGCATGCTCAGCGAGACCTCAAACTCAATCTCGCTACCATCCGCACGCTTCTCCTCGATAGCTTTGAAGAGCTCCTCGCACGTGATAGGCACAATGCCCTTGTTATTGCCGTATCCCACCATTGAGTAAGACTTACCGCTGCCCGTCTGTCCGTAAGCGAACAGTGAGCAGTTGTAACCGTCCCAGGCATTCGCCAGGACGCCTCTACCCAGGTCGTCAAACACGCGAATCTGATCGGCGTAGCGAGCCGAAGACGCTTCCAGATATCCGTCGTCTCGTTCATTGAAATCGTCGTGGCTCCAGTACGAGTAATCGAAGGCGAACTTTTTCGGTTCTGTGCCAGCTGGTGCCTGCGGATCGCGGATCTCTGTGGTCTTGCCATGCATATCGATGATCAGCTTCGAATCACGTTGTTTCTCGCGAGAATTGAATGGCCGCACGCGGACGGCTACTCTCACGTTTTCCGCCATCTCGGCAATCAATGCGGTGGTGGACGCCGGGCTTGCAGTTCTTCCCTTTCAGCCGACCATTTACTCCTTCTCTAGATCTCTTTCTGCCTGAGCTGTTCTGAGATGAGCGAGCAGAGTCTGGCCTCTGTGCCCGTGGATGTTTCCATCAAAGGAGCGTCAGCTGCTGCTGCGCTACACAGTTGTTGGGAAGCACTTAGTTTTTTTACGAAGACGGAAAGTAGTGATGAACAGCTTCGACCGACCGTCCCACGAATTTTTCTGCAGCGCCCACGGCCACCCGGGCCGCGTACATGTATCTGCCACAACTAACGTTAACGTTACTTGCACAAACATCACGAATGTAGATCTAGAATGGATGTTGTTATTCGTTACTTGTCAAGCTGTCAGGTGATCGTGGCTCCTTGTTGTAGTTGTGGCTATGTACAATATTGTCATCTGCTTCCCGTTTCTGCATTACATGTACACTACACTACCGGTAGTCTACAGACTTGTCAGTCCAGACTGTCTACACTAGTCACCACAGACTCAGTACAGTTCAGTCATCAGTAAACCGGTAAACACGTAGCACTCCAGCTCCGTGCACTGTAACTGGAAGGGCTTGGGTATCTTGGTGTTCGCAATTCGAACTCCCGCAGGTGATTATATCATCGGATGTTTGTGGTGGAGCGACGTATGTTCTTTTGAAGATCCACGGCCACTAGTGCTGGCAACGCGTCTCCTTGCCTTTGGCTTCGTCCAGTTGTACATGGTGTACAGCATGTGGGCAGTTGCTGAGTCTTATCTGTACAGTCTACAGATCGCTCCAGTGTGACTGAGAAACATCAAGAGTTGTATTGGTGACAGTGTGTCAGTCCTGCGTCCAGAGTCTAGATGCAGTCACCAGTGCTCCATCCAGTGTGGTGGCAGAGGATCAAACCAGTACATATCTACGCGTTGCTGTTTGGTGTGGACCGGTGTGGATGAAGCTCAGTGTGTGTGACATATTAATAATATTATTATTTGCTTGAGTGATCTCCAGACTCCACACGGACCATGTACTGCATGGTGTATCACTGTGTGCATAGCCTGTTTGCATGATTGTACATACAGTAAAACCTGTAATGGCGACCACTCGACCATGGCGACCACTCGACCATGGCGACCACTCGGATATGGCGACCACTCGACCATGGCGACCACTCGGATATGGCGACCACTCGACCATGGCGACCACTCGGATATGGCGACCACTCGACCATGGCGACCACTCGGATATGGCGACCACTCGACCATGGCGACCACTCGGATATGGCGACCACTCGGATATGGCGACCACTCGACCATGGCGACCACTCGACCATGGCGACCACTCGACCATGGCGACCACTCGACCATGGCGACCACTCGACCATGGCGACCACTCGACCATGGCGACCACTCGACCATGGCGACCACTCGACCATGGCGACCACTCGACCATGGCGACCACTCAGATATGGCGACCACTCGACCATGGCGACCACTCAGATTATGGCGACCACTCGACCATGGCGACCACTCGGATATGGCGACCACTCGACCATGGCGACCACTCGGATATGGCGACTACTCGACCATGGCAACCACTTTTCCTTGTCACGGACGGACGCATTCACATTCAAAACACCTCGGATAAGGTGACCACTCGCTCAACACGTCACTAGCGACTCACTCTGTATACATTGCGCCCAAAAGCGGTTCCACTGTATACATCACTTAGCACTCATAACTGCAGCTCTGGAATTTCGCCGACTCTTCGTTGTGACTTCTTTCGCATGATCTCTATCCCTGCACTGTCTCATGAGTCATGTCACTGTGATCACCCTGATCACTATCACAGCCAGCTATGATGTTTTCAGGCTAGCATTGTATCAACAAGCTTCAGAGTACAAAACCTTGGTACAGGCCAAACCGATCGCAATGAAGTCTAATGAACAACGAAGCAAGCTACATGTATTTTAAACCAGCTCAAAGCATCAAAGTCAGAGTGCTCTACACTGCGAAACACAGCGAGCTTTGCACAAACGATTCCATGCCATTTCGGCACCCTCGGCTCCAGTGCCAACCAGGTGAGTGCGACCGGTTCGGCGCCGTGAACGTGAGCGCGGAATTTTACAGCGCCAAGTATTTCAGCACCGTATACTTCAACACGCGCCATAAGCTAAGCGCCAAATATCTCAGCTCAACATATTTCGCGCCAAATACGTCAGCGTGAACTTTCTCATCGCCACAGATCTCAGCGCCACAGATCTCAGCGCCAAATGCTTCCACAGACATGTGAAGGAAATTATAGTGAAGTGTGAGTGAGTAGTGTGTTTGCATGCGACACTCAGGCAGGCTGGCTGCTCATTTGTTCATCACCAATGCATATGATTGTGCTGATTCTGAAGAGTGACACAATCACATGTCATGTAGTGTGAAAGGCCTCGTAGGACTTCCCAGTGGTTTCTGTGCTAGGTGTCCCTGAATTTGTCTTCCTCCAACAGGATCTCTATTTTTATCATAGAAGCAAGTCTAGACGTTTAGCCTGAGCTTGCACAAAAGCCTATTATAACATGCCATTGTGTAAGTTCAGGTGCTTTGTTCACAGAAGCTTATCTCTCTAGTCTTTAAAAAAGGAAAAGAAAATAAGCATTATAAATTTATAATACTGACTGGGTATGCACATTTAGATGGTGGCATACACTGCTGTTGACCAGTGTTATGCATCTCTCCAATGCCAAACATTATTGACTGCAGGTGCTTCCAAGAAGATGAACATGTTTCAGGCACTGAACAGCGCGCTGGACATTGCTATGAAATCAGACGACAGCGCCGGTATGGATTGCTTTGTAATTTCCTCTGCCTGTCTTTGTTTGTTGCCACGTCTGCTTTGTTGTTTTTGGTTTTGCCGGTGCAAGTAGACATGTTTCCTTTTGGGTTGTTGTTGGGGTGTTGCTGGTTTTGCATGCTTGCTTCTGATGCTGTGACTGCCATTACTTTTTCTTGCCTGGGCAACTGCAGTGGTCATGGGTGAGGATGTTGCTTTCGGCGGTGTGTTCCGGTGTACGCTGGACCTTCAAGACAGATACGGTGAGTCTCTCTCTTTCTTACTCGCCACCTCTGGTTGCTCCCCTTTGCTTTCTTTCCTGGGTATCAGTGCTGAAGGAGAGCATCGGGAGGTACTAGTGTTCTCTGGTTTGTGCACCCTGTTCATTCAGCCATTGCCCACTTGCTGAACTGCCGCACTGTAGTAAAGCTACTCAGCTATCTGGCTGTGTCTGATGGAGATATCACTGAGGATGTACTGCTGTCCAATCTTGCTTTAAAATGTAAATGCCAGTGGTGCTCGTGACTCTAGCCTTGATGTAGAAAAGCAATCCTCTCAGCTTTATTTATTATTTACAGTATTGTGGTCTCAATGTAATCATATTTGTAATTTCATCACAAGTTGAGCTTGTGTACATTTTGCGCACTTTCTCACCTACATGCCTCCATGCATGATCATGTGGTGTGTGTGTGTGTGTGTCTGTCTGTCTGCCTGTGTATATGTTCATGTGTACATGCATGCCTTGCCACTGCAGGCAAAGAGCGTGTATTCAACACGCCACTCTGTGAGCAAGGTATTGTCGGCTTTGGCATCGGAATGGCAGCCATGGGGGCAACGGCCATTGCAGAAATCCAGTTTGCTGACTACATCTTTCCAGCTTTCGACCAGGTAGGTCCACGGTATAGCATGATTAAGCAGTCTTGGGATGTGCTGCTGATACCAGGCTGTGTGATGTACCAATCACAAGTGTATTAGACTGAATTGGAGAGCCAAGGATTAAAATAAATAGAGGTCATTTGTGTTTTGTTGTTGATGGTGGTGTTACTTACATAGAAGACAGTAAGCAGCAGTATGTTGAGGGTACTAGTATCCTATAGACCGTCTGTTTGTCCATTGTCATCTTCAATGAGTGGACATGCCACGTACCTTCTACTCATCACCCGTCACCCCTGTGCTACTCTTGTGTTTGGTTTCCCCTGCTGCCGCTGCTGCTGGTGCTAACAGATCGTGAATGAAGCAGCCAAGTATCGCTATCGGTCCGGCAACGAGTTCAACTGCGGTTCGCTGACGATCCGTGCGCCTTGCGGTGCTGTTGGCCATGGTGCGCTGTACCACTCCCAAAGCCCAGAGGCTTTCTTCTCGCATTGCCCTGGTATAAAGGTAATGCAAGTAGTAGTATTTATTCCCGTAGCTATGCAGAAGACGTTACTTCAATAACGTCTGGCGCGAGCCAGGGTCCACACAGCTTTAATTTGGTATTTGTGTGTTTGTGTGTTTGTTTGTTTGTTTGTGTCACGCCTGGAGCTATCCCGTATCTGTCCCGTATCTGTGACTACAAAGGCTCTACAGGATTGTACATACCAGCTGGCCACAATATTTGCTGGCTCTCGTATCTGTCCCGTACCGTACCATCAAACACAGCTAGCTGGCCACAAACAGCTGGCCACAATATTCGTCGTATTATGTATACGACTCCCTGATGTATAGGGAGATTTGGAAAGAAATAGGGAGCGAGAGATCCCGTCGTCTCCAAAATAAGCGTGAACGGGCGATTCAGCACCGGTCACAGGAAACGTCGGAAGAGAGATCCCGTCGACTCCAGAACGCCCGTGATCGGCAGAGTCAGCGCCGGTCCCAGGAAACGTCAGGACAGACATCCCGTCGACTCCAAAATAGTTATTTTTCTCTAATTTCGTCCGCTTTTGGTTTGCTCCTTTTCTTTTTCAAAACTCCAGTCGGCCAAAGTTTAATGACGGTGAAAAGTTTCGTTTCGAGATCGGCCAAAGTTTCTCATCAGCCAAAATTTGTTGATTTACAGTATAAGGAGATAAAATGAAAAGAAGGAGCAAACCAAAAGTGGATGAAATTAGAGAAAAATAACAATCCGCAGTAAATTCTGCAAATACTTTTGCCTAACTCATATTCAAACTGATTGAAACGTTTTTGCAATACAATGATGTGGCCAATCAACGGAAAAAAAACATTTCCATCAGTTCTAATAACATGTACGATGAGCTAGGCGAAGAAGCTCTTCATGATAAGAGCATAGCGTAGGGCCCTGAGCTTCCAAGCTCTCTCGTTTGTTGTGTCAACCTGACTGTAACGGTTAGAGTCGGACTATGTCCACGTTCTCTTCCTCCTTGCCTGAACCAACAATAAGAAACTCATCTGAATTTTTAATTCCCCTGGGTGGGTGGTTAGCTCAGGGAGCGAGCTGAATGTTTTGGTTGACTTTCTTTTGTACTGGCAATTCTGTGTTTGTCTCTTCTCCTGCCTGGCAGGTGATTGCATTGCACGGCGACGCGCGTGTGTGTGTGTGGGGGGGGGGGGGGGGTGCTTCTAAACTGCATGAGCTGTAGCAATGAAAAATCTTGCATTTAGTAATGTAGACGACAGAAAGAAGAATTGTGTGTGGTATTGTGATGTTGGTCTCAACCTAGGTTGTTGTTCCCAGTGGTCCAGTTCAAGCCAAAGGCCTCCTACTGTCCTGTATTCGAGATCGCAACCCTTGCATTTTCCTGGAGCCCAAGATTCTCTATCGGCAAGCTAGTAAGTGGAGATATTCTGAGGCTTTTATTCTCTTTCATTGCAATTATCTGTACGGCATGTGGATCGAGAATGCCAAGCAACTTTTGCTTTCTTCTTTTGTGGGTTTTGAGTCGTGATAAATTTACAATGGAGAAGGGTACATTCACACACGTCTGTAAGGTTGACATGTAGAAATGTTTTTGCTGGCCCTCTGGCAACACCTTTCATGCCTCTTGCACTTACGCTTGCGTGCGTACGTGCACCGGTATGTTTGTAGAATCGCCGGAGCCTCTGGATTGGGAAGAATTTTCCCCGTATGCGGGAGTAGCACCTATATTTGACCAGGATGTACACTGTCATTTCAAAATACTCTAATTTCAGAATTTTTAGGTGCTCAATATTTTCGGTATGAGGGCAAAAGGCCAGGTTATTATTATTATTATTATTATTATACGCATTCCCGCGTTGAAGTGTAGCAGCAGTATGCTGCGTCCACAGCTTCGCTTATGCAGAATGGCTTGGGTGAGAGGAGAGGGGAGAGAAAGCAACAAGGCAACCAACATCTATGAAATTGGTCACAATAACATGAAGAGAACCAACCTACATATGCATGATTGCACAAGAATGGAGACGACCAAATATAATGGCTATAATCATTGTGCCACAAAACCGGTACACAGGAGATCTGACGACAATGTAACGAAACATAAAACTCAGTTACTCAATACAGGTTCCACTAAATTACAAGAGAACAACGCTACAACGTTAGAATTGCCGCTAAATTATCGCAAGTGTAGAGAACGAGTCCAATACAAATGAAAAACATGAACAGACTGTCCCGAAGTTATTTTGGGAACAAATTGTACTACATGACTGTACTTGCTAAGGCCAGGTTAGGTGAACAGAAATTTTAGGTACACTACATGTACAGAGAAGCACTTCCCTATTTGGATTATTTTTGTTCGTGTTTGTTCGGTGTATTGAAATTTTAGGTATGAAACAGCTGCACCGAAAGTACCGAAAATAAAAGCACACCGAAAATTGGTGAAATTATAGTAGTCAACTCTCTTTTGTGCACTTTTCTCCTCCTCCTCGCTTGTCCTTCTGCAGAGGAAGAAGTGCCGGAAGAGGATTTCATGCTGCCACTTGGAAAGGCCAGGATTGCTCGTGAAGGTATGTGTGAAGGCACAGAGCTGTTAAGAGTGCTGCTGTAGACAAACGTCGCTATCTTTTGTGAATTTCACTGCCAGTAGCTGCCTTGTACGGTGGATGTTTGATGAGTTTCACCAGTATCTATCATGTCCTTTTCTGTTGATCTTTCTGGTTTTATTTTTTTAAGGGATTCCCCAAAGGAGGTCAGCCTAATACGAAAGCCACATTACGTAAATGCAAATGGTAGATGAGTGAGGTGGGGGATGAGGGAAAAATGGGATATGACTAAACTTCTGCTACAGTGTGCCCATTGTCTGGGACCCGCTCTTCCATTCCGAACTACACTTTGTTCTCAAGTTCCTGAATTGTTGTCTTATGTAGACTTTGACTTCTTCACCTGTCTGTTAGTGGCCCATGAGTACCATTCCAACATTTTGCATGCTGTTCCTATGTCTTGCAGGAACTGATATCACGCTCATCGGCTATGGTACACAGGTACATGTGCTGCGGACGGTTGCAGAGCTAGCCCAGGAACAGCTCGGCGTATCATGTGAAGTTATCGACATGCAGACTATCCTGCCCTTTGATGAGGACACCGTCGTAGAGGTACGTACCTCCCCACATACTGATGCACAGCCCCCCCCCCCCCCCGGCCACACACACACTCTCCGTCTCTTTTTCTTCGACTGTGTTGATGTGTGTGTATGGGTATGCACAGATGTTGTGTTCGTACCTGTTTTGTGTGCTTCTTCTGCTCTTACTCACTGCGCAGTACATTCTCTTTGTATATCAACTATTTGTTGTAAGCATGCAACCCTGGTAGCTCTTGGAAACTTCCAATTTGTAAGCTGCAAACTTTCATGGAATTGAGTCTATTGAGCATAGACAGCTACCTGAAGCACTGGTATACATAGAGGTATCATACAGCATTTTCGTATAAAGCATGCCCTGCTTTTGCTTCTTCTATTTCGCACAGTCCGTGAAGAAAACTGGCGCCGCCATCGTATCACACGAAGCACCGGTGACATCCGGATTTGGTGCCGAGCTGTCAGCAACGATCCAGGTACGGTGAACGATGCAATTTTCATTTACTGGCCTTGCACTACTCGGGCAGTAAATCGTACTTCTTGATTTCAAGCCTCCCTTTAGGGTGCGTTTACATGAGAATTTTCAACCTGGGTCAAGTTCAACCCTGGCTGAAAGTATGCACTGTAGAAAAAGAATAGCGGCTGGATGTTTACATGGAGACTGTTGATTCGGGCTGATGTCTGATGTGCCGAAAAAAGTCCGTTTTCTCTAGACTGGTACTGTGGTGTGACTACATCCGAGGGAAATTCCCATCTGCTGTGCTGTGCAATCCTGGCACGCGGTATGCACCTAACTACGGTACATGTAGTACGATCTCTCAATTTCAACCCGGATCAAGCACAATGCTTCATGCACCATAGCCTTTAGTGTACCGCTGCCCAAGAGCCACAGTCCCTTGGGCAGCTGTGCACGACCAAGGGCTACGCTCGCAGGCATACATCAGCCATCATGTCCTCTGTACCGTGTACATTGTATGATTAACTAATAATTTTATGCTTAACGCCCCAGTAGTACCTGCTCCAGTCAATCTGTGTGCAAACCAGGTTGAAACGGCAGCCTGTATTTCTTTCCCAATCACAGATCACCGCCGTTGACTGTACTGTGTGCTTGTGGTCTTGCTCTTGCTTGTTACAGGAACGGTGTTTTCTTCATCTTGAAGCGCCCGTGGAGAGAGTCTGCGGCTTTGACACGCCGTTCCCGCATGTATTTGAACCGTTCTACCTGCCCAACAAGCACCGGTGCTTGGAAGCGGTGAAAAAGATCATGGACTTCCGCAAATGAGCCCGCCAGTCTGCTATTTCACTGCAAGCTGTCAAAGAAACCACCGCACCACTGCTGGCTAGTTGATCGGGACTTTGGTGCTGCGTTTTTACTAACCTCTTTTTTTCAACCACAGTGGCCGTCTTCTCCACATCCTCATAATGCCGTTTTAGATAATTGCAACTTTGTTGATGCGATGTCTGCTGGTCTCGCCATAATAGCACCCTGGTTACATCCACAATATAGTTAACATATTTTCAGCTTACATGCTGTTCCATTTTTTCATAATATTTCGTACAGAATTCATGAGCACATAAATAAGGGTATCGAAGTATAGAGGATAAAACTGTTGAATCGATTCATAAAAAGCAATAGTAGCTGACTGACCTGTCCTAAAGTTGCATCAAGCAGCCTGATGGGGGAGAGAAAACATCAAGATGATGGGGTGAGACAGAAAAAAAGGCTACAGGTATCAAACTGAGCGCGTAAGAAAGAAATGACAGCCGGAGAACGCTAAAGAGTTTCGGATTTTAGACCTAAGGCATATAAGAATTGGCTTGGTACGCACGATGCCTAACCCAAGAGAGCAAAGGTAAGAAAATGCGCAGAGGAAAAGAGGAACGGGGAAAGAAATATGGTAGGGGAAAGGAGAGGGTGGGGGCTCTGGGAGATCCAACAATTGAATGGATTGTCCGTATTGTCATGAATATTTTTTTTTATCGCAAATGGGCGACTTGAAAGCTAAAAGAAGAAAGTACATGTTGGTACTGTCGGTTTTCAATAAACAGGAGTATCAATTTGCCCTACGGGGGCTACTTTCATGCATGGGAGTAAATCTAGCCTGATCACCATAGAAAGTCATGCATATTGAACGCAAATGTTGCCATGAGTAGGTTGTAGTCATAAATATAAGCTTTGGCATGAGAAATAAAAGTAGTACAGGGGTGCAGACAATGCAGAAGCACAAGGAATAAGCTAAGAATACTTACATGTAATGAAGGACTATGCAAACGGGGCGACAGTGGCCGGCGAGGACGTATGGATGCGTGCCACGCGCGCCATGCACGGGCGGTTAGAGAGGCGCGGTGACGATCGTCGCGCCGGCTGTTGAATGTAGTGCGTGATGACGGGGCAGAAGCCGGGCACGACGCGCGACTGGTGCGGTGCGGTGGCGATAACGAGTGGTTGGTGGCATTGCGATAGCAGGCTAGCGACGGCCATCAGAGCCTCGGAGCGATCCTTGCTCATCAAGCACTGCGATGACCGGTACACGGTGTCATAGAGAAGCTGAAGGAATGGTCGCACCTGCTCGCCATGGTTGAGGAAATGCATATCCATGTAATTACGAATGCGATCCACAACTCGCCCGGACCGCGGGATGTCAATGAAGAACCGGCAACACATGTAGCGCTCCAGCTGCTGCGTTTCAGTGCGATTTCCAGCTGTCAGGTAGCCTAGGCAACGTAGCCGGCAGTACTTGAGGAGCCCGCCGCCGAATATCGCCTCTGGATTGTCGGTCATGATGATTTTGTCGCGGTAGTGGGCACAGGCCTCCTCAAAGTCACCCCACACAGACAGAGCATACATGTCGGGACTTTCTTCCAACAGCAAGTCCTGATCATTGGCTGCCTTGAACTCCATGTAGTCACCAAGTAGAACCTGGAAAGAGTCGATGGAGAACTCAAACTGTCTCTTGAGGCGAGCAGCGAACTTCACCTCGATGTTACAACCACCAGCATTACGTAGGGCTACCATTGACCAGAGGTCACCAACTCCACCTTGATCAACCTTGATCATTTTTCGAATATAAGTTCGAGCTAGTACGAACGGTTTCTTCTCTAAATTGATCATTCCTCCCTTCTCAGCCGCAGTAGTGAAGGACAGCATCAGGGCATCTCGTAGGTAATCCAAATCATCTGAGCTCGACAAGTCAACATTGACGATCATGTCAATATCGTTGTAGTCTGGATTAGTACCTGCTACGACATACGCCGCTGCACTGCCATTCAAACGAAAATCTCTCACGGAAATCGTCTCGGCTCGCTGCTGCAAATTCTCCTGCAAAGCCAACAACAGGTCCACTGGCTTTACGTGAACTAAAGGATAGGAGTAAACCTTGTCCGGGTGGATAGCAATTCGGTCAGAAAGCACGGCATCAAGCTTGATTTTTTGCTCCGCAGAGAGAAGTTGGAGGGTGGAAGTCATCGTGAAACGAACAAGTGATCCAGGGGACAGACGAAACCAGACCGACGAATGCTAATATCCTCCGGGCTAAGAGCCCCAGGTGGTGTTGACCTGTCACTGTCCTATAAAACTATCACCATTGCGAGTTGGGTTTCGACACCTCGCGTAACTTGAGAAAAAGGTCTCCTACGTCTACGACACACCACGCTGAACTGCAAGACGAATGTTGAGAACTCACAGGTACAAGAGAGAAGTGCAACGGACACACCGCATATAGTAGGAATCACACTGCGGAAATCTTCACCCAGCTAGAAGCAAGACAGACTATGATTACACCTGGCACACTCACAAGAATTGTGCTGCGGAGAGGTAAGTAAACAAGGTCAAAAGATGAAGATAACCTGACAATGGGTTTCGCAAGCCAGTTAGCACGAGGTGTTTGATGGTGTCGGCAGCTAACCAGGGGCAGGCGATCGATCGGGAGCAAAGAAAAGGGCAAAAATCGTGCGTGCGTGCCTGAGATCGGAACGTAGAATCCACGCCGTTCATAACGTAACGCCGTGCGCGAACCCAACCGTGCACCAACTGCCACATGCACTTGACCTTTGCGGTTTTGTAGTCTTGTCTCGTGAACCGTCTCGATGAGCAGGGGTAGTAAATTAATTACTACTCCTGGGTGCCTCTTATCTCGTGATATCTGGCCCGGGCCGCGGGCCCGGCGCCCCAGGCCTGCAGCGCAGGCCAGGGGACATGGCGTCGACGTCGACGGTGCACCTGGCAAAGCCGTTTTTGTGCAGACACTTGGTGCATGGTAAACCCCAACTGGCACAACTGCACCGGTACAGCAGTACAGACCCGGTACCCCGCATGGTGAGATGGTTTACTCTTGCCGGTACGCGGTACTAGTACATGTACTGAGGGATCTAGCCTTTCTAGGGACAATGCTTTGGTGAAGAGGATCGCAAGTCTCATGGCAGAGAAGAAGTTGCAGCCCTACTCACAAGTGATGGCTTGGCTGAGGTCGAAGATCAGCATCTCTCTCGTCAGTGCCTCTATCCTAAGCCTGCGCGGTTCAAGACGTCCTAGGGCACGCATCCACCTCAACCCAGACAATATTGGTCTGGAGGTGGTTGAGCCTCGGCTTTCCTCATACTGAGACGGACTCATCTTCTTCTTTTGTGATCAGTGTGCCTTTTTTCTTTTTTCTGTTTATTCTTTTTACCAGGCGTGGGCCATCCCCGGCCCCTGGATTATCAAAATGGGTACTTTATTATTTTTCTGTTTTTTAGCTTCTTCTTTGTGCGAGTCTAGTTTTTGGATGAAACTTTCCCTCTGGTACATGTACTAAGGCTGTGTTTACATGAGAAATTTCAACCCGGGTCGAGTTCAGCCCGGGTTGAAAGTCTGTACGATAGACAAAAGAGGTGAGCGTTTACATGAAGTCAGTTGACCCGGGTCAAATACTGATATGCCGCCAAAAGTCCACTTCTACAGTCCTGCATGGTCACGTGAATCCGTTCGCGCGAAATTTGCATCTGCAGTGCCGTTCAAACCTGGCGCGAGATACGCACAGAAGTACGTTTGTACGATTTTCTTGACCCGGGTTGATTTCAACCCTCCCCTTGGGGGGAGGGTTGAAATCAACCCGGGGCGAAATTTCAACCCGGGTCAAGCGCAATGCGTCATGTAAACGCGCCATTCATTTTATGCACATGGCGGGTTGAAAACTGACCCGGGTCGAACTCAACCCGGGTTGAAACGCCTCATGTAAACACCGCCTAAGGCTGTGTTTACATGAGAAATTTCAACCCGGGTCGAGTTCAGCCCGGGTTGAAAGTCTGTACGATAGACAAAAGAGGTGAGCGTTTACATGAAGACAGTTGACCCGGGTCAAATACTGATATGCCGCCAAAAGTCCACTTCTACAGTCCTGTATGGTCACGTGAATCCGTTCGCGCGAAATTTGCATCTGCAGTGCTGTTCAAACCTGGCGCGAGATACGCACAGAAGTACGTTTGTACGATTTTCTTGACCCGGGTTGATTTCAACCCTCCCCTTGGGGGGAGGGTTGAAATCAACCCGGGGCGAAATTTCAACCCGGGTCAAGCGCAATGCGTCATGTAAACGCGCCATTCATTTTATGCACATGGCGGGTTGAAAACTGACCCGGGTCGAACTCAACCCGGGTTGAAACGCCTCATGTAAACACCGCCTAAGGCTGTGTTTACATGAGAAATTTCAACCCGGGTCGAGTTCAGCCCGGGTTGAAAGTCTGTACGATAGACAAAAGAGGTGAGCGTTTACATGAAGACAGTTGACCCGGGTCAAATACTGATATGCCGCCAAAAGTCCACTTCTACAGTCCTGTATGGTCACGTGAATCCGTTCGCGCGAAATTTGCATCTGCAGTGCTGTTCAAACCTGGCGCGAGATACGCACAGAAGTACGTTTGTACGATTTTCTTGACCCGGGTTGATTTCAACCCTCCCCTTGGGGGGAGGGTTGAAATCAACCCGGGGCGAAATTTCAACCCGGGTCAAGCGCAATGCGTCATGTAAACGCGCCATTCACTTTGTGCACATGGCGGGTTGAAATCTGACCCGGGTCGAACTCAACCCGGGTTGAAACGCTTCATGTAAACACAGCCTAATACTGTAATAGCCTTTCTAGGGACAAGGGTACATACCGGTACGCGGTACAGTATTGGGAGCGTGTGGGTACGTGCACCATTTGCGCCAGGGATGAAGGGTGTACAGTAGTACAATACGGTATTGTACTACTCCCTGATTTGTACGACAAGCAGCACAACAGCATGGATGGAGTACGGGATCGGGAGTGGTCATTGCCAACACCTGCTGACAGATTCTGCTCCGGTCGCCTCGATATTTTGCCGCAAAATGTTGCTGCGAAATCTTCGATATTTTGCCGAGCCTGGCACAAGAAACTCGATATTTTGCTCCATTTTGCTCCGGAAAAACGTGCATATCCACTTCCCGTACAACGTTTCATAAAAATCGCAGGGTCGGTTTCTCAACACGGGTTTCCACGCACGTGGCCCTGAGTTCTTCCAAAATCTGTCCCCGGGGGAAAATTGCGGAAAAAAATCGCAAAAAAGGGGGGGAAACGCGGCATAATATGGCATAATTTGCGGTAAATATGCGGTGAATAATATTGATGTGCGGCAATTTCCAGTGAGTATGTAGTGAAATCAATCAGTTACAAGTCTCTGGTGTAAGCACTCGTCATATTTAGTAAAAAGCCGCCACGATGAGACGTTGCTGACCGAACAGTGCACTGTGTGTACATGTACGTGTAGTGCAACAAAAAAGTTCAAAAAACGCGGGGAAATCGCGGAAAACGCGGTCTTTTAAAAAATCGCAAAAAACGCGGAAAAAAACGCGGCCGCGGAATCGCAGTTTTCCCCGGGGACAGCAAAATGCTGATGGTTGCATGCCTGGCACCACGAACTGGCGTGGGAACATTTGCGGGCGACAACACGCTGCATGGACGGGTGAATAGATAGATGGGTGGCTGGATGGATGGACGGGTGGATGGATGGACGAGTGGATGGATGGACGGATGGAGGGGCGGATGGATGGGTGGGTGGATGGGTGGGCCACAGCCCACACTCCACATTATGTACATAACTTCATAAGTCATTGTACAATGTACAAAAACTTCGTGATGGATTTTTGAGGGGCTGGTTTGCGCACAAACTGCCGTGAAATGAGTCGCAATCACTTTCTTGGCCTTTACTTCCCTGGCGCCAGTGGCGGGCCATGAAAGAGGTACGATTCAAGGAAAGCGACCTTTCACAACAAGTCGGTTGGGGCGGCGGAATCGATGGTTGCGCTGTGGAAACATACCGGTAGGTGATGACAGCTATGGCGAGCGAAACTGAAATACCACTTCTCCGAGGGGATATTGCGTTGCTAAGCCTCTCTACTACTCTAGCACTGAGTAAGTTGGAGAGTGATAAAGAGCGATCAAACGGAGCAGCGAGTCCACACAATGAGCGAGTGAACAAGGAGCTGCTCCGATCGCACGGCTCAATGAAAATAATTCTGAGCTCAAGTTCTTGTTCAACCTGCGCAAGGCCCAGATTCGAATGCTGCTGACCATGTATTCTTTCAGAAGTCTGCAGTCCGATGCAAGTCTCGTGGCTAAAGAAAGTCGACTGGACTTGCTAGCCGCTGCCGTTCAGTGCTGGCAGGGGTATCCATCAGAGAAAATTGAATCAGTTTGGCTGTGCCTTTACGCCTTGTTTCGCGGAGTTCTGGAGAGCGCAGATGAAACCAGGGAGTCGTAAAATATGTTTACGACTCCCTGGTGGAAACGAGGAATCGCCATCGCGGCGGATGACGCAGCTTGAAAGCCAACTTACTTGAACGACGGCGACATCAAGGTCAGCGGAGTGTGATCAAAGAAGCCGAGGCAAGGCTGAAACGAGCTGAACAATGATTATGTCAATGATTCGAGAGAGATGACGACTCGCGTGCAGCAGATGACAACTCGCGTGCAGCAGACTGATGACGACTCGCGTGCAGCAGATGACGACTCGCGTGCAGCAGATGACGACAGCGACGCAGGGTCAAAAAATTGAAAAATGAGTCGAGCGAAAGCGACGCAAACTCTCTGCTCATTCCGCCAACAGTTTCTCTTGTAAAGACGCTGTACATAGGCTGAATCACCTTCGTCCAGTGATTTGCAGTCGATACAAACTGTTCTTGACCTGTTCTAAGCGTTTTCATATCCATCAAAATCCATCACGAAGTTTTTGTTAACGAGGGAAGTAGATCTACCCTGATCATGATGATTACAATGCCAATGGACGGTGTACTCGTAGTAGATCAGATTGCCTTCTCTCTTCTTCTGTGCTCATATCGGTTGTTTTCTGCCCGTAAAACTGGTTTCTTCACTTTGTTGAGTCACCTCCACCATTACACTGCGCTCTTTAGCCGACTAGACCCTCCTGCACACAACCATCACCATTGCGAGGACGCTTCCGTAGACGATATTGATAAACTCCTTCAGACAGCTGTTTCGCTAATACATAGCTCATCAGTGAAGGTAGATGTTGAATGATAAAAAATATAGACCAAACTGCTATTATAGGGGTTTCCACATACAAAACTGGCATAGCTTTCACTGACTTTGGCTTGTTTATCATTCATGGTTTGTAATACAGTGGTCCCTCTATAATCCGGCACCATTTGTGCTACAGAAATTCTGCTTGATTACCATGATTACGGAGGGTGCTGGATTAACAAATCGGATTTACTGCTGCAATGTGCATGAAGAGGACATTTTGGAAACTGAAAAATTGGGGTGAAACGAACGAACGAAAGTTGGAATATTCGTTCGAAAAATTTGAAAACGAACAAACGAACTCGCAAGATTGATAATGATATCGAACACAGCAAGTAAGCATAAAGATCGCTTGTGACTAGATCACGAAGGAGCCGCGGAGGTTGGGAGATCGGACTGATCCACTGCGTCTGCCTTGATGATCACATGAAGCAAGTTGAAGGAGTTGTCGCGTCAGAACAAAGTTTCCTGACATATTTCTGTGTGTCCGTTTGAGGTACATGTGGATTTGTACTCGAGTCGCTTGTGACATCTGTTCCTGAAAGCAAACGTTCACTCGTTGCAATCATGTCAACACTTTCGAGCCTTTCATCGCGGTCCGGAGTTGGAGCGGAATTTGATAAAGTGGTCGGGAAAGACGAAGTCCTTTTCTCAGTTTCAAAAAGGTTCTATCACGCAACAGAGCGACGACGAGCAATCTTCGTACCCACCTCAAGAAGTACCATTCTCCTGCTCTGACGACCTGAGCTAGCGATGAGAAGAAAACTCTCGTCCGGACGATGGTGATGGACTTTGCAGCTAAGCTAGCTGCAAAACATTGACATTGTGTCTTTTGTGATTCAGCGAATGCTGGCGCGATAAAAAATATTTCTGTTCTCGCAGTGTACATGGTGTATCATGCGGTCAATGAGCATTCTCACTTTCTGCAGTGATTCTGGCCTCTGCCCTGGTTCTAGACTAGAGCTACAGCCAGGCTGAGTACAGCTTACATGAAGATCTACATGCATGATCACAGTGTTTGTTTAGCATCACACCGTCAACATGGTCAATACTGAACAGTGACCAGCCAAGTACAGTCTGTATCGGCTATAGCGTACCCTTTTGATTTCCGTGATTTTATCACTATAACCGATGCATCACTATAATTATGCGATACGATCGATTTTTTTGAGCGACACATGAAAGGCAAGGAAATATTTCCAGCATGGCGTTTTGACAAATGAGCGTGCTGCATAGTTGACAGTGCCCGCATTTCCATAAAAAATTCTGTTATGTACATGTACATGTGTCACTATCAAAATAAGCAACGTGAAGAAAGTTAAAAATAGGGCCTTTGATATTATTGCAACATGTATTTTAAAGTTATCACTATAGCCGATTATAATGTAGTGTGTTATGCATGTTTTGATTCTATGTTGCCATCATAATATCCGATATATCATTATATCCGATAATATTGGTTATAGTGATATTTGTACTGGATAAAATACGTTTTGCTTTTGTTATTTCGTACCAATATCACTGTAGCCGATATATTCTTATATCCGGTCACTCTGTAGCCGATACAGACTGTACAAAGAACGCCTGTACTGACAGTCCTATCTGTATGGTCTTCAGAAAAATACATCTATGAAATACATACCGTATTTTCCGGGCCTATAAGCCGCACTTTTTTTCGCTAAAAATCGGACCAAAATCGCCCCTGCGCCTGCTGAATATGCTTGCGCGAATGAACATGTGAATGCTTAGCATACATCAGTATGTATGCTGACGTCATGTGACATGTCATTCGCGATTCGACTCAGCTTCGCGCCTGTGTTGACTGTTGCTGCAGCGCTGATCAACATCAGTGGCAGCGAGACTGAAGATAGTGCAGATCACATGGAGTGATCTGTACAGTAAGATCGGGCGCCGAAGAACGCAGGGGCTCGAGCGCAGCCTAGGAAAGTTCTTAAATTTTTGATTCTAGCCAGACCGTTCTTATTCACACGCGCGCGCGCGGCGAGTCGAGTGACGTCATGACGTTTGTCATGTACATGTACATGTGCAATGTAGTACTTCTAAACTAGTGGGTGTCGTAAATAGGAATGACTGTACATGTAGCAGTTACTGTTTACACGTGTACATGACATGTACTCACCTCCCATACATGTACAATGTAGATCTACGTGTAAATTTTTAAAGTGTTCTTAAATCTGATAATTCTAGCCTGGACTGTTCTTAAATTTTGCCGGTTTTCCAGCCTGGGTGTTCTTCAGCGAGGTGTTCTTCGGCGCCCGATCTTACTGTAGTCAACACAGCAATACACCAACATCTCTGCAGCAACCTGTGGTGCACTAACACTTCATAATCTGATCTAACATGGTATTTAGCTCCATAACCATAATAAATTTGTAGAAAGGCCATTAAATTTTGTCAATGAGTGTGAAAAATCTTGGTTTGTGGGTGCGGCTTATACTCCGAATACCAACTTTTAGTCAATATTTGCCTCAAAAAGGGGGGGGTGCGGCTTATACCCCGGAAAATACGGTAATGGAGAATGTTCGTTCGAGTTCGTTCGTTAGTGTGAGAGTTCGTTCGTATTCAAAATTCGATGTTCGTTTCACCCCTACGAAAATTGTGCTGGTTTACAAGGTTTATAGTTATACTGAGGGTAAACATGGTAAAGAGGTACCGACTGTATTGACTTTGACTGAGTGAGTCTGATGGATGGAGCTGTCGCTGCATGCAGCTGGTGATTATAACGTTTCCATGGTTTCACACTTCGCACTTCTGACTTCAGCCATGATGTTGATGTAGGCTCTCGCTAGCGCTATTACTAGTAAGTAGTATGGCTATCGATCGTCGTCGTATCGTACTGCTACTACATGTATCGTCAAGACCCTGAAGACAGTATCGATCTCAGCTCAGCCACATGCAGAGTCATACTCATAATTATTTATTAGCGTTCATAATGCGATGATGCTTTGCCCGACGTACATGCCTTTCGATTTTTCACGATTTTTACACCAAGCGTAGACCATGTAGTCATTGTAGACATGCCACATCATGCACACACCATTGACATGGTAGAGGCCGGCCCAGCGTGTGCCGCCATGTGGATTTTCGCTATGACTGTGAGTATGTCTACTCGATCTAGCATGCATGCAGTACATGACTGACCGCGTCTGTAGTAGATCTACTACTAGTAGACCCAGGTGCTCGAAGTCCGTACATGGTATCCTAAGTTCGTACGCCCATAATTTCATGTTCTGTTATTGTATTCGACTCAAATATTTTATGGAGAGGACAGTGTGGTATGTTCTCCTCGCGTACCAATTTTCAGGGATCTACGATAAGCAGAAGTCCCATACCACGCGAGTGGGTTTTCGAGTTTCCATACGAAATACAAATTGGGTTACATTTCATGCAAAAATCAACTTTGCCAAGACCGATTTCGAACGGACACAGCGTCAAACGGACCTTCACTCAATCATCAAGAGCCAGCTTAGAGCTGACAATGGCCAGAGGAGAAGAATTTACAGAGAACCACCAATCCTTGCAGAAAGGTGGACACTCCTGGCATCTCCACCACTGTTTTCCCGCGGTTTTCACAGCGCAGCTGCTTCTTCTCTGAGCCGACTAAAACAGCTTGCATTTCGGCAACAAACTACGCTTTTGCAAGAAATACTGGTGGAGGCACATGCCAAACATATCCCTTCGGTGCTTTCGTCGTAACCGATGGATTGCTAGTTAGCAATTAGCGGAATATGTGCGTATTTCGAGTCACCTCTGATCAGTACGGACTTAGAGTACCCTCTGCGACACCAAAATTTGATATGAAAAATCAGCGAACTCCAGAGAAACAGATCGGATCGAAAGATGGCCTGGTTCAATCGAGACTGGCCTCAGAACAAACTTGGACAAGATACCTTCCATCCACGAGCAGGATTCTGGCAAGTGATCATTGCTAGTGTGAGTTTCAGCTCGGCAAACACACACTGTAAAAGTGTACGGACTTCGAGCACCTGGGTCTACTAGTGTAGACTGACTGTAGTGTAGACCATGGTAGACTGTAGTGTAGTGTAGACCATGTAGACACAGATCTACAAGTACAAATCATGTACGAACTGCAAATGTAATGTCGACATGACAAAAATTAATGAGAATGAAGTGAGTACAGCGTTTTCCTAGTTGTTCGAGGCACCCGCTAGAATTGCCTCGGAGTTGCTGTATGTCTTGCAATTGGTTATGGACTAGTCGCTGTCGTCATTACCTGCGGAGCGTAGCAAGGAAGAACTCGTCATGGCCAGTGGTAAGAATATTCGCAGGCACAGTAGCCTGGAGTTTGACTTACTCGTTGCAGCGCTTGCCAATGCATATCCATTTTTACAGATTGGAAGTTGCAAATCAAGATGTTGTTATTGTAGCTTTGCGCTGCGAATTATTTGAATGAAGCAGTATGATCAATAGGAACACTGCTAGCACGGGAAACCATTCACGTTTCTGCCCGTAGAATGCGCAGAATCGCTTTCCTGTCTGCACGGCAGAGCGAAAGGGAAGAAAAGGAATTTCAGTGTGCATAGCGAGTGAGCTCGCTCACCGAGTCTATTTTGTTTGTTTGTTTGTGTTCATTTATTACCCTTCGCCCATTAAACGGGAACTGGGCCCAATAACATAAAGGCGAATATTTTTTCATGCGCCACGTCGTGTACAGAATGCCCAGGCTTACCAGCGAAGTCATATTGAAATGCATATTGTTAGCCAGGATGCAGCTCAATCATGCGAACGGTGTGATATCCGTGCTTGCAGCTTGCAGTAGTACTAGCCTCAACTTCTCAAGACTAGTTTGCGTGAACATGTACATGCATGCAGTTGTGCACGCAGAAAATAGTGTGTTCCATATTTCATTGTATGGATATGTGATGCAGGAAATAGGAATACATCTTACTCCCTCTTAATTGATACGACTTTTATAGCTAGCGCTTAGTTCATGTTTCACGGGACACAAAACAATGCGACGTAAGAAGCGACTGGAGCCAACAGGGCACTTGGGACAGCGTTGAGTGAGAACGCCAGGAACGGGAATGCAGGCATACTGGGCCGTACACTTCGTGCAGTGACGGAAGAGTTGGAATTATTCAACTTGTCATGCCTTATCCGTGGATGCCAGTGTACCGAACAACTGCATCTTAAGTGTGAACAGGCACCATGCCGTGATGTGCGCAACGGGAACTTTGCCTTTTCCCGAGTTGAGCATTTCAAACACTATTCTTCCCATGATAACTTACCGAATCGCTCACATAATCGAGTTGAGTTTTGGCAAATTGGGATTTCGTATTGTTAGCTTCGACTTGGGATAGTCCAGGGCAGTACCAGACGAACTGATACATCTTTTTCGTAGCGAGCCTAAAAATCAGAAAGGCACCAAGTCCGTGGCTACGTTTTTGATATTCATGCCGAACTGGTAGTGAGAGTATGATTCCACGGCGTCATCTGAGGAATAATACTAGGAGAGAAGCCTGAAAACTAGAAACTACTGCCGGAATTCAACCTGTACCGGCTGTGCTTCATGCCTGGCGCCGATTGATGTTGAACATTGCAACTTGAACTAGTATGGCATGCTGTACGAATCACGCGAGATTTTACAGCTCACCCCAGCCTTCCCGATAGGCTGTTTACGTCCCATACCACGAGCCACGCCGAACGTGAGCTGGTCTTCAACTCTTTTCACAACTACTTGTAGCACATGTGCCGCCACACAATATAGTCAGCCTGGCACGCATGTTCAGAGCCTCTTGTGGACTGGAAGCAATCAGGCTTTGTCCACCAACACTTGATCTGTCCCGGTTGTGAGGTCAGCGTTGATTGGGTGTGTATCATGGTCTTTCAGCCAGTAGACTAGCGATATTGCAGGCCACATTGTTAAGACCCGGGGCACATGTTCGTTATGGTTTGCATTTGTGTGTTTTGTGGTGTCAATTCATCGTGACGTTATTGCAGGATTGCGTAAGCGCTCCACTGTCATAAACTATGCCTGTTTGGATTATGAAGCAACGGTAGGTGAAACGGTGTGTGTGTGTGCGTGTGTGTGTGTGCCTGTGTGTGTGTGCCTGTGTGTGTGTGTGTGCTTATGCTCACTAATTCACGGTGTATGCATACTGTGCATGGGTTGCTTGACCACTGGCCATTGACACGCTAGTGACGGCACTCGGCCAGTTGGCCTTTCGGCAAAGGACCCGCTGATTGCATTATGTCTGGTGTCAAGGGCATTTGACATTTGCATGGCAGTGGAACTATGGCGGAACTCACCTAGTACGTACAGTTCTCTGATAAGACATACACTTTCTTAGTACTGTAAAAGCCATATATATATCTACTTTGAAGTATAAGGAAGTGCTAACTCTAACGAGTTAACGAGGAGAAATCTGTCGTTAAAATAGAAATCGTTATACAGAAATCGATACATATAATACGGTCCTATTGAGCGTTGAGATTAGGGAGGTTCCGGAGTACGAGTTTTCGTGCCAAAATCCGTAGAGGCTCTACGGATTTTTTATACGTCGTTTTCGAGCAGTGAAATGTTCCGGAGTACGGAACTTATGTGTTTGCCGTCATTGCCTAGGTTACGATCGCAAACACGTCACATTCCCGCGCTATGCCTTTATACTGTGAACATTTGTACCGAAATCAAAACTTCCCGTGAAAATCGATGTTTCTCGTACCAAATTTGTACGCGAAAAATCTTTTTGCACCCGATGACGCAAAATCTCCATACGAAACATGGTTCGTATGAAAGCCAGTCCACACGGATTCTCCGTGCCGAAAAATCGTATGGAGCACCCCTGGAAAAAATCCGTAGCGCCCATACGGATTTTGGCACGGAAAATCGTACCCCGGAACCTCTCTAATGAGTGAGAATCAGAATCGTTACCTTTGGTACACGTAGACTAGTCAATTTTGGGAAATCGTTATGTAGTGCGCCTTGTTAGAATAATGGCTTTTACAGTATGGTCGTTGTCTGAGGTACAGTTGTGTTGCGCCATATACTATATTATAAGTGTACAAGGACCTCGGATAGGAAGTACCTCGAGTACTAAGAACATGTTCCTATTTCCCACAGGGATAGGTCGTATCAGAGTTTCCACTGTACTGCCGGGGGTATTGAGGCCGGCCCGTTGCACCCTCCCATGCTGCACACCCCGGCACATCCTACCCCAATCATGCATCCTCTTCTAGATGTCACAAGGCCCTGCATTAGCGGTCAAGACGTATACCAGTCTGCTTGTGCCCGTTGCTATTTCCCACAGGACTTGGAGTTGCTGGAAGATGACAAGTATCGTGACCCGGATGTTGCCTACAGGCAGCGCCCAGCACGCTGCTCCAGCTCACGTGGAGAGAGCAGCTCGCGGCCCACCTCTGCGCCAGCTGCTTCCGCGGCCAGCCAGGACGATGTACTGACAAGGAGTCGATCCCAGCAGCCGGATGGGGGACCTCGTCAGCACACAAGTTCTCGCTGTGCCAGCTCTGATCCAGTAACATCTCCCTCCAGGTGAGTGCTCGCAGAACACCCAGGTGGTTCAATGGCCAATCGAGTCTTTTTTTCCAGGACTCCTTCTGAATTACGTTCCCCTCTCTTGAAAGACCCTTGTGACCCTTGTTTCTGGCTGTGAGAAAATACAGCACAAAACAGTATACAGTAGTACACTCGGGTGTCTCTTGTCCGGGCACCTTGGAACCGGGCACTGTTCGTATCTTAGATTTGCCCGTATCTCAGGATAACTCATCTACCATGTATCCTGTCGGTTTTTCGAAGAAGTTTATTTGGCACGTATTGCACATGTTCAGGTTACAAAAAGAATCCATTGATAAAAAGGTGTGCATTACACAGGTTGGCAGTGACAAATAAGCACTTGTGCATACGAAAAAAAATCAACCCCCCAAAATCGAAGCATTTTTGCCATAGGAACTCAAGTTGAAGGTGCCCGGTAGAGAGACGTGCCCGCATCTGAGGCGTCCGGATAAGAGACGTTTGAGTGTACTGTATAACACCGCATAGTACAGTACAGTGGAGTACTGTGCAGTACGGTGTAGTGCTGTGCAGTATGGTGTAGTGCTGTGCAGTACGGTGTAGTGCTGTGCAGTACTCCACTGTACTGTACAGTATGGTGTAGTGCTGTGCAGTATGGTGTAGTGCTGTGCAGTACTCCACTGTACTGTACAGTATGGTGTAGTGCTGTGCAGTATGGTGTAGTGCTGTGCAAGATGATGTAGTACTGTGAAGCCGCACAATGTGTTGGTGTGTGTTTGTGCGGCGCAGCACAGTACAGCTTGTTGGTGTGTTTGTGCATGCACATGCACACGCGTGTGTATGAATGTTTATGAATGTGCATGAATGTGTGTGTGTGTGTGTGTGTGTGTGTGCACGTACACCTACTCGTTATCCAGTGACCCTACCAGTCCTACTGCTGCCACTGCCACTGCAGCCGAGTCCATCACCACGCCACCTCTGGCAGTTGCAGGTGCTGCCAGCAGCGATGACGTGGGCACACAGCCTGTGTGTGCTTTCTGTGGCTCAGCCGATGCACCACTGTCCTTCGGTGACTGTGAGCCCGAGCACTTTCCCACCTCCGCAGATTTCCGTATATCGAGCTTGCGGCGTGGTGCTCACCAGGCGCCCCTCGGCTCCCTGAGCATGGACAAGCTTACAGGTGAGATCGCTGCAGTCCGACATGCACTAGTTAGAGTGGTGATGGTGCATATTGCTACCATGTTGACTTAGGGCGTGATGTGGACTGGTGCATGGTGCATGTAACCGGCATCCAATCCTGATGCAGGAAACCATGTACATCATGATACACTTTGAAGTTGTGTAACTTGTTTTTATGAAAATCAACACGTTGGGTATGAGATTCGGCGCGCATTTCTGGCCGATTTTTGGAGAAGGAAATGTTTGGCTTTGTCCCCCGGAAAATACGGCAGTTACATAGACAGTGCAGCTTAATATCGTGCCATTCGAGAATCTATCACAGTGTTCTTCTCATCCAAGACTGTGTTTTCATGCACACGTATGTTTGCCTGTGTATGTGAGTGTATGTGAGTGTATGTGAGTGTGTGTGTGTGTGTGTGTGTGTGTGTGTGTGTGTGTGTGTGTGTGTGTGTGTGTATGTGTGTAAACATTTGCAAAAACAAAACAAAAAAGTAGGAATTTACTGACCAGGGTAAACACTTCTTAAAGCTGTGTGGTGTTTGTTTGTTTAGCTGCATTTTCTTCACGAGAAGCACAGGCAAAATCTGCCTTCTCACTTGGCGTATTGCCACAGTTCTCGCAAAATGATGAAGATAAAAGTGTAGACGAGGGTAAGTGGTGATTGTCAGTTCTCGAGCCTCGCAAGCTGCCGGACCTTTCAAACCTAGCACACGTTGCGGCGAGGTCTATGGAAGCATCGCTATCATCGCATTTGATGATGGGCTTCCAAGTTCAAAGGTGTATGTATGTATTCGTGTTTGTATGTATTCGTGTTTGTGTGCTACCATACCTTGTTTTGTGCAGACTTCAGAAGCCGTCGTCGTCCCGGCGGGCACGAGGCGCGTCAGAGCAGGCGCGGTACCTTCATCTGGGCGCATCGTTTCTGTGCCCAGTGGTCGGAGGGTGTGTTCTCTGACAACGGCAAACTGATCGGCGTGGACGAGGCCGTGCTGCGTGGCCTGACGGAGCGCTGCTCGGTGTGCCAGAACGTGGGCGCCACCATTACGTGTCGCTCCGCACGGTGTCGTCATGCGTACCATCTACCTTGTGCCACGCTCGATGATTCCTACTTGGTAAGTATTCAATATTATGACTACTCGGTGTACCGTGATGTAGAGAGGAGAAAGAGGAATTGCGTAGCAGCCATGGATCCACTTTTTAGACAATGTACAGTCAGAAAGTGCGACAACTAGTCACGAAATTGGACAGAGTACGGCGATATTCAACGACCTGACACCTAGTTTCAACACATACACACTAAATCTCAGAGCTGCACATAGCGTCTCTTGTTACTGGATAATAGTGAGACCAGTAAGTCACTTTATAGCGTATAGATCTTGCCTTAAAGGGGAAGTTAAGGCAAAAATTAAAATTTCACCAGTTGTAGTCTTCGGGGTGCTGAGTCGAATGGTCTTGGTCCGAGGAAGCTGAGACGCTCCCTTCCTACTTGAATCCCAATCGAACTCGCGCACTTCCACTGAAACTGGGTGACTGCGCCCTACTAGATGGGGATTTGTATGCAAAATGTCACTAAAAGCGCCATTTCGTTCTTATAAAAGCACGGATGACCGCGATTGGCCCATATGTTGTAGTCTTTTGGACGCTGAGTCGACTGGTTTTGGTCCGAAAAGGCTGCGATGCAGCGTTCCTCCTTTATTCCCAATCGAACATGGTTGAACAAGCGGTCACGTGCTCCTGGGTGCCCAAATCACCTGGTCACCACGCCAGCAGGCGAGAACTTTCACACCAAGGTTCAACTCGAGTTCAACTCGAGTGACAGGACTGCACCCAAAAAAGGTCAAACAAGCTAGTAAGTTGTACCCTGCAGGCACGGTGACCAGGTGACTGGCGTACGCAGGAGCACGTGACCGCTTGTTCAACCATGTTCGATTGAGAATAAAGGAGGAACGCTGCATCGCAGCCTTTTCGGACCAAAACCAATCGACTCAGCGTCCAAAAGACTACCACATATGGGCCAATCGCGGTCATCCATGCTTTTATAAGAACGAAATGGCGCTTTTAGTGACATTTTGCATACAAATCCCCATCTAGTAGGGCGCAGTCACCCAGTTTCGGTGGAAGTGCGCGAGTTCGATTGGGATTCAAGTAGGAAGGGAGCGTCTCAGCTTCCTCGGACCACGACCATTCGACTCAGCACCCCGAAGACTACAACTGGTGAAATTTTAATTTTTGCCTTAACTTCCCCTTTAATAACCGTAAAACTAACAGAACACGCATAACAGTTGGAAGGCTGTTGGTTTGTGCATTGGAGAAGCAGCACATGCGTTGGACCTAAACAGGTGTCAGGTCGTTGAATGTAGTAGTACTCTGTCTATTTGAATGTCTTAGTACTCTGTCTATTTGGCACCTAGAAGTTTCAATGTCTTAGTACTCTGTCTATATTTGGCGCCTAGAAGTTGCACTTAGTGACTGTGTACTGTAAACCGGGAACATTGGCGCCGGCTTTAGTTCTCGACTTGCGTGCTGACAAATCTGCAACTGGAAATGCTTACGGTTGGAGTCGATTTCATTAGTTTTATAATTTATTTCTATCGTTTTATCTTTTGCGCCGGCTTACTTTTGCGATTTCACACTCATCGTGAAAACTGTGTATGATTCCAGATCGCAACGGTTTCCTGGTCTACAGTATTATCTAGTTACAGTGGTGGTCAGAAATGATGCCCTCCCTTCTCCTCTCTCTATGTTTATATTTTGGCTCGATTTCCGTGCTCAAACATACATTAGCTAGCCAGTGGCAGGCTGTATGGTGTAGGTCCAACAGCACTATCGCTTGCGCTTTGTGACTTTGATTTGGTGCCAGTGCGGCCTCGATGGCATGATGCTAACGCCTGCGATACAAGTACTGTACTTGAAGTTGCCCATCGTCATGGTGTGCTTCCGCCGTTTGGTTTCGCTGGAGCTGGCTGCTCTGTTGCCGATCGTTCCACACTCATGGGAAACTGACACTTGCCTATAAGCATTTCAGCTGTACTGAATAGGTTGTCACTGGTAGTTGCGTACATATGTACTACATCTGCTAGCAGGGTGGCAGCCGTCTGGTAATTTACACCAACGTCATGTGTGTATCTGATCAACGTCATGTGTGTATCTGATCAACGTCATGTGTGTATCTGATCAACGTCATGTGTGTATCTGATCAACTAACTTAAGGTGGCTATTTATTTTAAAATCGCCATTGTTCCATATCAATCTTGTCTGCACTGTGTGCTGTGTGCTGTGTGGTGTGTGCTGTGTGGTGTGTACTGTGTGTTGTGTACTGTGTGGTGTGTGCTGTGTACGGTGTACTGTGCACTTCAGGATGGTGAGACCATGACCATAGCATGTCCTGATCATCTGGGGGACATTGAAGTTTGTGGTAAGCATTGTCATTCTCTATCCAGACAAGCCGGTGGCAGGACCTGACTAGCACTGTCTGGCCTGGTGGCATAGTATTCCACTGCGATTTTGTCAAGCTCTGCACATTTTCTGGCACACACACGCCCGCACGTACAAAGTTCATGCACACCTTACGTGCACGTGCGCTCACACACACACACACACTCACACACACACACACACACACACACCGGCACACGCACACACACACACACACACACACACACACACACACACACACACACACCGGCACACACACACCGGCACACACACACCGGCACACACACACATGTACATCGACACCGTAGTAACTTGATTAGATTTCACCGGCACCCGTGGAGATAATGTACATGTATGTATGTGTATGTTGGCCTTGCCTGAAGTGTCTGCTGCTGCATGGGTATGCAGTAGTTCCAACTTGTGACGTACAAGTAGCTGTGTCTCTAGTGCTGTGATTTATTGCCACCTCCTCACTTTCTCATATAGCTAGTCCCATGATTGCACTGTGTGTGTGTGTGTGTGTGTGTGCGCACATGTGTGTGTGTGTGTGTGTGTGTGTGTGTGTGTGTGTGTGTGCACACACATGTGTGTATATGTATGTGTGGACTGGTGGGCGGGTGCGCACGCTTCCAGTTGGTGAACGCGGCGCTTGCAGGCGTTGCAGCTCTTTCGGCGACGTCAAGGACATGTTCTTCTGCTTCATGTGCGGCGGACATGAACACGGCATGTGTAATCATGACACACGCCAACGCTCTGCGGCCACCGCTACACCGGAGAGCCGTGCCAAGTGGAAGTGTTCCGAATGCAAGATGTGTACGGTGTGTAGGTAAGTCATAGCTGAGCGTGAACAGTGCACAGGAGAGACCATGGCAGCTGCTATCAAATGTGTTGCGTGCCCAGTACCGGGAATGGCTAAGTCCAGGGCATTGTGCAATGTGCACAAAGCGCTCCGCCCACATTCACATTTTCTGTGGCAAACACTTTCTGTTTAACGAGATCAAGATGTACCCTGCTCTGGACAGTGCCTGTAGAGGATTTGCATGCCACTCACAACATCCTGGAAGGGCCCATTTCTTAGGAATCTCTGAGAAAGTCTACCAATTCCTAACAAATTCCTTACCAATTCCTTACAAATTCCTTACCAATTCCTTACCAATTCCTTATCAATTCCTTATCAATTCCTTATCAATTCCTTACCAATTCCTTACCAATTCCTTACCAGTTCCTTACCAATCATATCATACGATTGTTGGTTGTGGTGGCGGCCTCCCTTTGTAGGTCTCTAATACCTGAGGAGGAAATCAGTACTCTGTGTGTGGAATGCCTTGGCTGTGGTCGGCTGGAGCATGTCCACTGCGCCGACTTGAAGAAGAAGACACTAGATTGGAGATGCGAGGTAAGCTTCGCTGTTTCTTCCGCCTTGTGTCTTCGTACACGCCTTTCACAGACCATTTTCCCGGCTCCATTGGGTTGCTACCGGTATCTCTTATAATGGGTTGTGTTTTGCTCAGCCGATTCCCCCTATGAAAGTCACCTGTTTACCAGTGATATACTGCCATGCATTCTTTTGCGGCACTCTAGAAGCCTATCGATTTGAGTGAGGAAGGTTCAATGATGTATTCCCAGCGTCCCATTAAGGTTGTCATCGATTCTCGAATCTGGACTGAGAGCGAGCAGGCGGTGTAGTCCGAGCAACGCTGGCCCAATTGAACAAAGCAAGGCGGCTGTAGTACGCGAAATGTACGCATATCATACAAAGATTCTGTGAAAGCTGTCAAAAAAGCCAAAGTCCATATCCATTCCAGCCACTCCCGGCGTGGGGGCCTGTGTGGTCGGATTCCACTCCAAGTACACCTACTCCGGATTCGATCGGATTCGGCCAAACGATCACGCTCACTCCAAGCGCACTTGCTCGGGATTCGCCCAATCGATCATGCCCTAAGCAGGCACAGTGGGTTGGTCAAAGACCATGATTGAGATACGAGAGCCGAAGTTATGCATTACATTTAAAACAGATAAAGTAATATCAGCTACATGTCAATGTTGATTCTTGTTCTACTCTGTGTGTGTGTCTGTGTCTGTGTGTGTGTCTGTCTGTGTGTGTGTGTGTGTGTCTGTGTGTGTGTCTGTGGGTGTGTGTGTCTGTGTGTGTGTCTGTGTGTGTGTCTGTGTGTGTATGTATGTGTGTGTGTGCGCGTGTGTGTGTGTGTGCGTGTGTGCGCGTGTGTGTGTGTGCGTGCGCGCATACGTGTATGCACGTGTGTGTGTGTTTGTGTGTGTATGTGTGTGTGTGTGTGTGTGTGTGTGTGTGTGTGCATGCGTGCGTGTGTGTGTACACCTTTCTGTGTGCGTAGCAATGTCGTGAGTGCAGTGACTGTAGCTGCAAGACAGCCGGCAGTGGACCAACGGCCCGCTGGCACCGTGGCTACACGCAATGCAGCGCATGCTATCAGCGCGCATTGAAGCTGCGCCCGTGCTCGGTCTGTGAGGAACCCTGCACGCCATCAGAGGATCTCAAGTGCACAACATGCAGCAGGTGAGAACCAGATGCTCAGTCATTACATTCTCTCGGCACTGACTTCTATTTGAATTGCGTGACAAAGCACATCTTTACCACTTTGTTGAAACTTGCGTTGATGCTCGCATCGTGTCCAGAAAAGTACATGTGGAGTTGCATATTGCAAACGGGGGCCTGTGCAAGTTTTGCAATTGTTTGACGCCGGATTTTCCGGCTGTTCTCTCTCTCTCTCTCTCTCTCTCTCTCTCTCTCTTCTCACCTTCTCCCCTGCTCTCTCCTCTCTCATTTTGTTCTTATTTTCTTTCCCTCCGATTCTCTATCTCCCTTTCTCTTTCTTTTCGAAAGGTTAATGCACAGCACATGTGTTGAGTCCGTCCCATCCGACTTGTCACTATTTCGCTGTGACAGCTGCTCTTCCCTGGTCGGCGCTTTGTCTCCTTCACCGCGGCGTCGCTCTGATATGTCATCCCTTGTGAGTTGTAAATGTTAGCATGATGCATCACTGATCTGCTTTGTCTGTAATTTATTTATGTATTTATTTTATTCCAAGCAATACATGGCTGGGGCAGCCAATGACCACTTTGCGTGGCGATTGCAGGGTTTTTATAGCCAACCGCGGCTAATATTCACTTGATGCCAGAACTGTCTCTGGAGCGATGCGTGTGCAGTGGCACAGTGTGGTGTTGTGGGCATGGCAGTCTGTTTGCAGTATCCCTAGGCTTGCCACCATGCCTGCAGCTGTGAATGCCCCGGCAGAACTATCCACAATGCTTGAAGTATTGTAGCCGGGGGAGTGGGGTCTGTGTCATGGTAGCCTAGGTTACTGTGTAGTAGCATAGTACTTTGTGTTGTTCATGCTAGTGAAGTATTCTAACTACAACATTGTCCATCGTTGTTTGTATTCTGTAGGTGGTGAAAGTGAGGAAGGAGCGTTTGAACATCACTGGTCGTGTTGCTACCCTAAGCAGGGGATCCAGGCCAAGGAGCCTCTCCCCACCCGTGCCGCAGCTGCGTACCAGGAGAAGAACGGTGAAGAAGTCATCCAGTTTTCGAGCAGCTCCAAGAAGACCTTCCTTGCCTGAGGAGAGCCTGCCTGCCAGTGGCGGCGAAGTGCCAACAGAAGTAGAGCCACGGGATGCAAGCGCTGGTAATCTGCTGGAATCGGACCCTTGTGATGACAAAGGTGATAAGAACGAGTCAGACTGTATTGAAGAACCAATGGATAGTGTCAGTGAAAAGAGCCGGTCGGCAACGCCGGGAACAAGTCGGAGGAGGACCAGCAAAGTGCGGCTGGGCGCTGCACGCTCCACAAGCGCAATGTCAGAGAGTCAACGTCTGGCCAGTAGGCAGACAGAGCGCACTGGCAAAAGGAACGTGGCCTCTGTGGCTAAGGTCGTAGCAGCGTCTCAAAGAAGACGCAGTGGCAGTGGCTCCCGTTCATCCAAGCCCACCAGCCGGATCGGCGCTGCTACAGAAGGCAGCAGCAGCAGTCTGCATGCTACCGGAACTACGTTAGAACTGACTACTGCAGGTAGTTCCATTTTCATGGATAGCAGCATGGAGGTGCTCACAGAGTCATCCCTGGTAGGTTCAGACGTGCTAGCACCTCAACATTTATTATTGTTTTATGTGCACCTCACAATTTCCTGCTTATTTTGTCAAGAACAAGTTGATTGCATTTGAACTCGAATGGTGAACGAATGTTATCATGGATAAGAAGAAGCTCGTGCTCAGCTTCGTTGCACTTTCCCTCCCCTCATTGCACTTTCCCTCCCCTCATTGCACTTTCCCTCCCCTCATTGCACTTTCCCTCCCCTCATTGCACTTTCCCTCCCCTCATTGCACTTTCCCTCCCCTCATTGCACTTTCCCTCCCCTCATTGGACTTTCCCTCCCCTCATTGGACCTTTCCTAGCCTGAGCTTTCCAAGTTGGAAGGTTGTTGGCTTACGCCTCGTAGATGCGTTGGAGCTACATGTATAGGTGTCAGGCCGTTGAATGTCTCAGTACTCCCTGTCAGTGTTGTGCTCAGTACTCCCTGTCAGTGTTGTGCTCAGTACTCCCTGTCAGTGTTGTGCTCAGTACTCCCTGTCAGTGTTGTGCTCAGTACTCCCTGTCAGTGTTGTGCTCAGTACTCCCTGTCAGTGTTGTGCTCAGTACTCCCTGTCAGTGTTGTGCTCAGTACTCCCTGTCAGTGTTGTGCTCAGTACTCCCTGTCAGTGTTGTGCTCAGTACTCCCTGTCAGTGTTGTGCTCAGTACTCCCTGTCAGTGTTGTGCTCAGTACTCCCTGTCAGTGTTGTGCTCAGTACTTCCTGTCAGTGTTGTGCTCAGTACTCCCTGTCAGTATTGTGCCTTGTTGGCGCACTCTGGCTGTACATGACCTGGTTGGTTTGGTGGACAGTTGAGCATAACTCGTAATTTTGTCCTTCTTCTCATCCATATAAAGTATATGCCTTTCGAGGAGGAGCATTTACCACTGGCTAGTGTTTCCTTTCTGTGAAGTATTCATTCTGTGAGCCGCTGTGTGTCACGTTCTCCATAGGGTGGGGCGGAGGTGATCATGGCCGACGAGTTCTGCACCGGCGGAGACGTTGTGGGCTTTGTGGAGCAAGAGGTCGGATCAGACGTCAACTCCTCTTCGGCCACTGATAGCGATAGCGACGTGGAGAATAGCGTTTCAACTAGCCTGGCCACTGCTCTTGCCGGGAACAGCGCTGATAGCAGTTCCGTCGTTGTCAGCAAGGCATCCGCCATGTTGGATGCCGAGGATGAGGATGCCGATGACAATGACAAAGAAGACGAGATCATGGCGGCTTTGAAGGAGACAAGTGAAGGTCTGGAGCGACCCCTTCTGACTTCCACTCCGACTGCAGAGATTGAAGCACGCAGTCAACCCCCTAGCAGCGGGCCATCAAGCAGCGGCGGCGGTGGCAAGGCAAGCAAGCGCATCCGTCAGCAGCGGCCTCGTCGATCTCGCCAGACCAGACCAAGGAAACTGGTAGAGGTGAGTGCGAGTGATGCATGCAGTGTTTGCATGCACGGGCGGGCCGGGGGGGGGGGGGGGGGGGGGGCGTGCGTGCGGGTGTGGGCTCACTCTTTTGCTGTGGTTTCAAAGCGAGAATGTTGGTGATGGAGGGCATTGACTACACGTATCGGAAATCATAGAAAGAGCATCCGTTTGGGTTAGAGTCTGTGGATTCGCGTATTTTGGGTCCAGATGATTCTCTACATCGTGACAGACACAAGAGAGGTGTTACCAATGTCACCGTAGGAATCTGGTGATTTCAGGTGAAGTTAGATGTATGCCTCCAGAAACTGCCATGTTTGGAACGGGGTATTCCCAGTGCACGTTCAACATGGTTTCATTGTGTTACATAGGGTAGAGCAACGTTGTAATTTGAAGCTCGAAAACACGAGTACTCAAATCTTTTCCCGTGTGTTTCCATCACATACTGGCTGAATGTCACTGTCATTGAACAGGTCCCATTCTATAGTGCATAGAACATTAACGGCATTTGTTGATCTCATCAGGTCAATGAATAATACTTCGTGTAAAGATAAAAGGACCTATAAGTTACTAGTTATGACTAACAGTCCACCAAGGTAACGAGATAATATACAGTCAGATAGTGCGACAACGAGGCACAAAAATTGACAAGGATATTGAGACATTTGACGACCTGACACCTAGCTCCAACACATCTACGAAGCGCAAACCAACAACCTTCGAACTTGGAAGGCTCAGGTAACTTATAGGTCCTTTTATCTTTATAATTATGTATTACTATTGTTACGGAATCTCAGCCATTCCGTTCCCCGGGACGCAGGACACAAAGGACACGACTAGTTTGCGTTTTACATTATATTAGTGACAATACGGAAATGGAGACTACACTCAAAGGGACGAACAACAAGACTGACAAAAGGACTCTCGACTACAAAATCGCGCATGCTCCTATCACACATGCACGCGACTAGACGAGACAGTTTGGGGAATGCCATCACACAGGAAAACAACTCATCATTTCATAACACTATTGGCTCAACATCCGAGTTTTTATATAATACTTCAGTTGTATTGTTTTATCGGTGAATTGCAATGGTCATCTGACAAGCCACCTTGATTGACAGCCGTGGGTTAGGTTTGGTTTAACTCCTTTCCCATTTTTGTTTCCTTTTAGCAAGTGCCAACACCGCCACCTGTGGAGGAAGCGTCGGTTGCTGAGCTTTCACCTGACGATAAGCAAGACTCGAAGGAGGACAGCGCTTTCTATGCCATGGAAACGGCCGTGCTGATTTTTGCCAACATTCACCGGAATATGATGATGAGTGTAAGGAGCGTATGAACAGGTTGTGTATGTGCTATGCAATTGTCCCAGTTCATGCATGTAGGCCTACACTGTACATGCATATTGCAGTGTAGCCCTGATGTGATATACCTCACCGGGGATGGGGAAACATGTACCTGGTATCCTTGGTACTTTGTAGGTAGGGCTGGCCTCATTTACCAGGGTGCTAGCCAAAGGGGATGGGGGGGGGGGGGTAGAGGGTGCAGCCCCCCCCCCCCCCCTCCCCTCCTACCCTGATGGCGCACCACCTTAGGGTTCCCAGCAAAAAGGCAAAGCCTGTTGGGAGTTCCCTAGTAAAATAATAATTTCTACTTCTACTACTAAAAGGTGTTTTATTGAACGCACAAACCACTGATGATATGAATGCAGGGAGATCAAAGAATTCAAAAAGAGAACAGCAAAATTCATTGAAAAATGTGAATGTGAATATGACTACTACTAGTAAAGCCTCTTGTGCGGGCAAAAAGAAATAGATGTGAACTGTCAATAATGATAAAAACACCAACGCAAAGGACCTCAGCAAGAAGGACGACCGCATGCTCTAGAGATCATCCGGCAATCATTCACAAAACTGTATCACTGTGACCGGTATGATGACCGAGAGCCACGCAGGCAGGTGATGCACCACCGAAGCAAACAAAATGAAAGACGGCATCGCAAATTTCTTACAACAACAGAATATGCTAAATCAGCATTCTTCTCCATGATCTGGCACACCAAGGCCTTTGAATACCGAGCATTCCTTGCCGACTATGCCATTGGTTGCGAACACGAGAGACGTGAAAGACCCACGGCCGATCTGAATGATCCGCTCACTGTAGCTGCGATGCTTCTGCTTTTCATTCTTCTGGAGCTGGTGGGTGATTTGCTGGCACGACAGCGGTTCCAACCTTGGGTGTGTAACCCGGATATCGAAAAAGGCATCTTGCTGCTGCGACCGAAAATCGCCAACCCGGATGTCCAGCCTGGCCTCCTCAGAGCGATTGGCTGTTTTGCCTGCCAGATACTCTCCAGCAAAAGGCAGCAGTCGTGGGTCAATCCTCACATCCCGTGCAACGTCCCTCAAGACGGCTGCCAGAACCTCCTGAACTTCGGTATTACGAGCCGTCGAGTAGCCTCCCGCAGGACAGGTGGCGTGGTCCACTGTCATGGTCGCTCCGCAGACACCTGTAGTTGGAAGGCTGTCGAGAAGCAAGCCATACCGAATGCACGCGGCATCTCGAAAATCCGACTTGTTTAAGACAGTGCCGCTGCTCGTTGATGGGTCAGCTGTGAGCCACGAGGAGACACCTCGCTCACCTGCTGTCTCCATGAGGAGTTTCTGAGATGGTGACAATGCCGGCTGGATTTCCTCAAAGACAGCTTTGGCGTGGTCGCTTTGCTTTGCGAGCCTGGCAGGCTGCTGCACGAGACTGCTCCAGAGCATTGTCCAGCGGATGCTGTTGGTCGGCAGTGCCCTCACGCATTGGATCAGGGCAACAGGAGGAGCCACAGCACGTCGGGAGGACTTGAATTCCCTCTCTGCTTCCACCGCGGGTACATGAATGGCCATGCCATCAGAGCGGGCGGGAACTGACTGAAGAAGGCGGAGTGCAGAGCCCTCCCCAGTGGTGTGGCCTGTCAGTGATGGCAACAACTTCTGGTCGATAATGGCTGCACGCTGACTGAGGAGTTGCGGACAGTCCATAGCATGCAAGTGGTCGGGCCACCTCCACACCAGGCCTCACACAAAGACAGTGTAGGCTGCGTGAGGTTATGTGACAGCAACCTCTGCAAGGCTCTGCACTTGCAGCTCCCACCGGTGGATAAGGCCCTTCAGGTAGTGTAGTCTGTGGTCACTGGTGCCTAGAGATCCGCCAAGGTAGTGTGCATCCTCTGAGTGTAGTGATGTTGATACCTGTGTGCTGGAAGACCCTATCTGCATGCTGCTCCTTGACAATGAGAGTGGTCTTGGACGGGTTCGGATAGTACCCAAGCCAGGAGCAAACTCCTGGACATCATCCCAGTACTTACGTAGATGCACTAGCCGTCCACCTCATGAGACTTCGTCAGCATACCAGGACTAAATGACATCGGGGCAAGATTCGGTGAGCCGATTGATTAGAGGCATCATGGCCACTGCATACATTGCCATTGCGAGTGGGTCACCTTGACATGTCCCTTCCCGACTGGAAATCTCGCCGCCGCCAGAAACGAACAAACGACACGGACTACTGTAGGTAGCAGACCACTACTAATATTACCCTACTCTGATAGCGCACCACCCTACTCATGTTTTGATCGTTCCAGGCAATCTGTGCACCCGTGCGCTGCACTTTTTATTACAAGGCAATTGTGGAACATGGAACAATGGGTGAACTGTTTGTTTCCTTAAGTTGACCCCCCCTCAGAATTGTTTCCTGCCTGGAACCCGTTTTTAGCGTACGTATCCGAAAACGCATACCGTAAAGTCTTGTATAAAAGCCGCACTTGAATAGAAGCCGCCCTCGAATAGAAGCCGCAATTTTGGGCCCATCAAATCACACATAAGCCTGGTTTTAGTGTTGACATACATAAAAAATACCTGTCTTGTATAGAAGCCTGTCTCATATAGAAGCCTGCAAAATTTCACCAAGAAAGTCATAGAAGCCGCGGCTTTTATACAAGACTTTACGGTATGTGCACACCCGTGTGAAAGAACCAGCAGATTAGCATTTCCAACACCACTGACTTCACTGACTTCACTGACTTCTCCTGTTTTATTACACTGGCAGGATGTTTGCTCAGCCTGCGGCAGTATTGGCAAGGAAGAAGAAGCAGCCATGCTGTGCTGTAGCCAATGTGGTCACTGCTATCATCCCTACTGCGTCAATGCCAAGGTCAGTGCTCGGCCAAGGGTTTATACAGCCTGAGAGTGCACGACAGACTGTGTGCACTGTGTACATGCCATGCTGTGTACATGCCATGCTGTGTACATGCCATGCTGTATAGATGCCATGCTGCCACACTCATCAACACACTGAGAACTGGGGGGGGGGGGGGGGGTAGGAGTAGGAGTAGGTATGATCCTAAGAAGACTGTCTGCAATGCATGATCACTGTCCTCCCCGTGGGAACAACATGCCAATGCGGACCTTCTACACTCGTGACAAAACTACGAAACGAGTGTCAAATGGACACGAAACGAGTACGTAACGAGAATGGAACACGTGCGAAGCCAAACTCCACTCGGAGCAGCCAACAGATGAGGAGGCATGCACTTGTTATAAAATATTAAATATATGTAGGACTCAGTATAGAGTCCATGCACTATATGATGTCCAGCACCCTATATAGAGTCCATTGGTCCAAAATCCACTATACAGAGTCCAGGAGTCCACTCAGTTTTGATCAGCTTCATCCTGCCGCGCAATCCCCTATAAGGAGTACACTTTTTCTACAAGTCCCCTATTCACAGTCCAGGAGTCCAGTTTATCCAGTCACGCCGTCCTGTGTGTTGTGCCCGAAAGAGAACAAACACATTTTCAGTTTTGCTTGCCTCGTGGCAGCGCATTCCTTTCTTCACTTCAGCCATGGCTGCCAGTTCTGCTGTGCAGTTGCTGACAGTAATCTGTCTCGAGGTAACCAAGGAGGATAAGGAGACGTTCAAAATCAAATCTGGAAAGCGTCTTGTGGTTCTCTGAAGACGTTTCATCAGTGCGCGGGATGAAAGCAGAAATTGCAGAACGAGAAAAAGTTCAGCACAGTTCAAATCTGACGAGTCAGGTACACTGACACTCTCTTTCGTTCGACGCCACAAGGATCCCCTGTTTGGCTGGCCATTGCTGCCAGTAAGACGTTTGAACGGTTTCATCAGAGCGAGGGATGAAAGCAGAAAGCGGAGAAAGAGAAAGGTTCAGCACAGTTCCAATCTGACGAGTCAGATACACTGACATTCTCTTTCGTTCGACGCCACAAGGATACCCCTGTTTGACTGGACAAGAGCTGCCTGTACCACCGTGTCAAAAGGCTGTCCAACTACATGGCAGGACGATGACTGAGGTAAGGAAGCTTTTACTTGTTTCGATTGGTCTGCTGTTCTGTCGTTATGCTTGAATTTGTTTCCATTTTCAAGGAGCGTATCGTGTTTGTTTGATGTTGCTTGAATGAATGCCCTAAAAGTAATCAACCACTTCGTAATAGTCCTCAAGGACTGCAAGGACTTTGCATCAATCGTATACGATCGTCTAGCTATCATCAATTATTATAATTATTTCATGAGAAATGTATTTTTATCCCTGTGAAAATTATGTGAAACTCCACGACACTCTTCCTCTACAAATTATAGTATGATGTCAAATACAATGGGATCCACAAACGCAGTGCCAGTGTACTAGTAGTAGTAGGAGGATTGCTTGTATGCCAATGACAAGAAAAAGCTTCTCAAGCTAATACTCGTATTCCCTGAAGTAACCGTTTTGATGTCACGAACATGACATTGTGTCAGTGAAACTGCCTCGTGACAACAAATCATTGCATTTCCATCTTGGGGAAGACTGACTGACGGCAACGCTGTACAGATTGTTCAAATCATCTCATTTCAATTTACTTCGAAGTAGTTGCAGTGAAACACTGTGTACACTACATGTATGGTGGTGTGTCCGTGCGTCTTGAGTGTGCACAAACGATCTTATTCCTCGTATTACTAATAGATTATTGTCCCCACCGTCACCTGTTCACAGGTCTTTGAGTGGATTGATTTTCATTGAGCATCACATTCGTTGAGAACTTGGTAGTTGTGTGCTCCCATGCATCATTACGTTAATAAGCGTATCCTTGTGCTATCTATTTGTTGCAGGTGTGCTGATCTTATGAAGCTTGCGGAACTGAGTGCTGCTGAACATTTGCATGGCCATGAGCAATGGTGAAGCTTGCTATTGCACTCTCAGCATGTGCTAGTATTATGCTGACCACTGCACTATGTTACTCTCTTACACTACTACATGTATGTAAACGTGCGTGTACCCGTCCCCGTATGCATTCGTTTCGTATAATTATTTGTTATCCCTCTTGACTTTACGTGTAAATGGGTGGACGTTTGCATGGCTGTTGGAGTTGCGTGTGTATTGTGTCTCTACTCTTTTCTTGGTGTTTTCTTGGCGTTGTATAAGTTTGTGTGTGTGTGTGTGTGTGTGTGTGTGTGTGTGTGTGTGTGTGTGTGTGTGTGTGTGCGCGCGCGCGCAATAGTTTGAAAACAAATAATTAATCCTGGGCTCTCCATTATTCTCTTTCGATTCTTGTTTTTTTTCTAGGTATTTTCTTGGCGTTGTGTGGGTGTGTGCATGTGTGTGTGTGCGTGCACAATAATTTGGCAACACTGCATGATTGAGATATTGTAATTTGCAGCGTCTGCGAAGAGACCACTTGATTTGAGGATGGTGTTTGTAGGGTTTTTCATGTAGTGAAGTGGCTGCAGTGGCGCCTCAATACATATTTTTTATCTTGAGAAGTGAATGATGTAAAGGATTAAAGGGAGAGGCCGTTTTCTGGTTAATATTCACTGCTTACAGCAGATCCTATGTCTAATTTCGAACTCGATAGGGGATGCCTAATTGGCTGGACTTTATACAGGGAGTGTTGTCCACATAAAGACTCTTTAATCTTTATAGTTGATTTCAAAATTTGGACTCCGTACAGTTGATTTTGGACCAATGGACTCTATATAGGGGTGAAGCCAATTGGCTGGACTCTATACAGGGAGTGATGTCCATCTAAACTGAGCTCACAGTTGATTCCAATTTTGGACTCTGTACAGTGGATTTTGGACCAATGGACTCTATATAGGGGTTGGACATCATATAGGGGCTGGACGCTCTACTGAGTCCAACATATATAACTATTTCAAGTTCTTACAAGTGCCTGCACTTAGACAGCATATTGCCGTGGACACTCCTTCTTCAATGCTTACCAATGAAATCATGACATTCACTCTTACATCGTAGACTAGAATGTATGTCGATTGCCGAGTGTTTGTGTGTGATTGATGGTGTCTTCTTCTCAGATCAACAATATCACTCTAACACGGGGATGGCGCTGTCTAATGTGTATGGTGTGCGAGGGCTGCGGCTCGCCACAAGATGAAGAGCATCTGTTACTTTGTGACAGTTGTGATGTCAGCTATCACACGTATTGCCTGAAGCCGCAGCTGGACAAAGTGCCCGAGGGATCTTGGAAATGCAAATGGTTAGTAACCATGTGCATATAAGTGCATCTGTACTCGCGTGTGTGTGTGTGTGTGTGTGTGTGTGTGTGTGTGTGTGCGTGTGTGTGCCGGTGTGTGTGTGTGTGTGTGTGTGTGTGTGTGTGTGTGTGTGTACAGTGTTTGTTGTGTAATATATATCGCCCAGCCAGGAGACTTGGAACATTTGGTGGTTGGTGGAGGAGAAAGTAATGGGCCCAGATCAAGTTGGATCTTTTTTGACTGCCCCTACTGGCTTGTATGTTGTGCTCACTCATGAGCAACTCACTACTGTCACTATGCTATGCAATATCATCGTGTTACAATCTCTGTTTAGCTCAGCATAAGCTCTTTAAAACAAAGCATTGCACGTGTTGGCACGTGTGCTGTCCTTTGCTTGTTGCACATGGCAGGTGCGTACAGTGCTTGTCATGCGGAGCTACCACACCCGGTGTCAACAGCAAGTGGCAGTCCAACTACACGCAGTGTGCGCCCTGCGCCAGCACCACCAACTGCTCCATCTGCTCGCGCAAGTACCGGACCGATGACCTCATCGTGGCATGTGAAGTGTGCAAGAAGTACGTAACTGATGATGATCATGGATACAGTGTTGTTGTTTATGTACCTTCATGGAGTGAAGCCTAGCAGCCATGTAGCACTACATTCAGAGGAGAATCTGTACAGGGGCGGCACACACAGTACGACCAGTATGACCATGGTCTCGTACCACTTTTCGTCCAGGATGGTCCGTCAGAGCGCTTGTAACGCGCAAAGATGTGCCTTGTTGGCCGAAAATCCGATTTCCCTCTCCCCAGGGGATCCCCACCCCCGGGCTCCGGTTCTCCCACTCCCCACTGCACTGTGACGCCCCTGCTGCACCTATCTCTTAGCTTGTCACCAGGAAACCCTATAATGTAGGGTTTCCTGGTTAATATAATAATTATAGGGTTTGACATAACGCTTCACATAAGGACCCTATACATAGGGTTAGGACCCCTAAAGAAAGGGTTTGATCAGTCCTCGAATCTGGGCACACAATCCACACAGTTTGACTTGTTTAATTTTATTTATATTTTCACTGCATTGATGTCAGCAGGAGCGCTCCTACGAAGTGCGCGAGTGTCGCCGCACTTAATTAACATGGTTTTGTTGCACACAGCTGTGAAATTCAGCACAAGATAATGAATAATAGATAAGAAACACACATTCATACCCATAATTATTGAAAAAAAAGAAAAAAAGAATTCAGATCAGAGAAGAAGTCAAGAATACAACAGGGGAGGGGGGGGGGGTGGAGGACACTTACTTCAACGTCCAGTTCAGCTACAAGTAACAACAAAGCTCATGGAAGAAAATGTTGCACACCAGTTGCCATAAAAGCTTTTCAAACTTCTACTGCAGGATCACAGTTATTCCTCAAGTTGGGTTGTGTGGTATTCAAAAAAGCAATCAGGGTGCAGGCCCACGTTGCAGAGGTTGCATTCATAAACGCTCCTGGCCTTCGGCGTACCCTTCTCCTTGCAGGGCATGCAGTCCTGTTGCGGTGTAGTCTTAGCTTTTTCACTTTTGACCTGCACAATCAAGTGCTGACCAATAGTGCGGTCTGGAGGCCTTTTTATTGCTGCTTGAGTGGATGCCTTCCGCTTCCGACCACTGCTCGATCCGGTTTTCTTCTTTCCTAATGCCACTAGTGACTCAGCAAGCTGTGCGTGGAACTCAGCATGCGTCATGGTCATAGAGTTAGTTGCCATTCCGGCCATCCCCAATTTGTGTATGACGTGCATATTGTATATCGCCGTGTTGATCAGTGCCCAAAAAATGGGATGCCACCATTGGTTGGACTTCACTTTTGTCACATATTTGGTCCGGAGTTGGTCTGCGACATCGACCCCGTCCATAAAATGGTTGTAGTCGTTGATGACATTTAATCGTGTTGCTGGCATTTCTACAGTCGTCCACTGGCCAGAAGCAGCACCATCGGCGGGGTGCTTCCGGCTGTACTCAACACTTTGTAGGGCACGGTGGCCAGTTGTGATCATGTTGACGGGCTTGCTGTCAAAGACGCTCAGTGCCACTACGTCTCCACGGGCCGCCCGCTTCCCAGTGCCTTTCTGGGCAGCACGGTCAGCTTGCGACTTGGGTGTGCCTTGCTTTACTTAATCCGGCACTCTGTCTGATCTTGCAGTGCAGGTGTACGCGTGGCCTCTGTTGAAGAGCTCTTGGGCAAGAGCAACACTCGAGTACAGATTGTCCGCAAAGATATCATAGCCAGCGAAGGGAAGCTTGGATGAATGATAGAGCACGGCATTAAACGTCTTTGCCAAACCCTGGATATCAGCGGGTCGAATTGAAACCTGTAAAATGCGCATATCCAATCGCGGGATCACATATTGAAAAGGTCAAGAAGTCGTCTCCAGCTCGCTTGAACTCGACACGTGATTTCAGAGACGACCGGCCTTTAAATGGAATGTCCATTTCATCCACCATTCTTCCCGGTTGGTAAAGAGACATCGAGTTGTCTTGCACTGCATCCAGCAGAGGACGAACCTTGTACAGTGGGTCATGATTTGGAGATCCATGAGGCACTTCCTTAGTCCGGTCAGCTAGATGCAAAAACCGTTTGATTTGCTCAAACCTCGTGAGACTCATTTTTTCTCGCATCTGAGGCATGCTGTGAGCGAAGCTGTCCCTGTAATAGTGTTTCATGGATGGGTGGTATGGATGCAAAGAGTTGCACACAAGCATACTCAGCCAAGCGCACAGTTCTTGCGAAGTCAGTGGTAACCATGGTCATCCATGCTCCGCAGCACTTTCTACAGCTAGCTGGCTCTGGTAGAGATTGGTTTGCTTGGCGATGTCTATTACCATTTTATCTGTCAAAAACAATGTGAATAGGCCAAGAGGATCCATTAGCTCTTCAACCGACAACTTTTTTCTCAGACTTGGCGACTGGCTCGCGACTGCTGGAGAAGCGCTGGCCGGCATTTCCTGCTTCCAGCCAGAATTGATCGAACCCACGTGTGGATCAGCTGACGCGGAAATGGCAATGGCGGGAGTGGCAGCTGTGACAGCCGCTGTCGATGCTTCGCCTTCTTCTTCAGGAGCGTCCAACGCTGCTGGAACATCGACATCATCATCCTAAGTCGACACCTGGTCGCCAGGAACGTTCTCATCGCCCGAGTTCGTCTCCACTAACTCAAGTTGCTCTTCTCCATCGTGAAAACAACAACTTGTGACCCTAGCCTAAACAATAGGCTAAGATGCCCCAGTGTGTAACCCATAACAAACCCAGGAACACTCTTTCTTAATTACTCCAGGCTGCGCTGTGTTTCCAATACATTGTTAGCGGCACTCTTAGCTTCGACCTCCATTTCTTTGTGTGTCTAGTATCTCTTGATGTCCACTGTGACATTTTGGAATCCAAGCCTAGTTTAGCCCTTCCGATAGATTAAACCAGTGAGAGTTTTATGTTTCATATAGCATAGCTGTTGGCATCATCGTCTTATGTACAAGTATATGCTGCTGGCACAAGAGAACTGTCGGAGAACAGCGGCTTTTCTATTCTTCTAGGTTGTTGCTAACTTTACCCCCCCCCCCCCCCCCCCCACGTTGTGCTGTCATGTGCTTGACTTATGTGTTGCATGTGATGTACTTGTGTGTTGCATGCTAGGTGGGCCCACGGCGCATGTCATGGTCTGAAGACGGAGCAAGCTATGGAGGAGGCCTCGGCGGGTGCGGACGGCTTTGCCTGCAAGCCCTGTATGCAGCATCTGAAGAAAGTAGCGGCGGCTGCGGCGGCTGCTCAGGCCGTTGCCGCGGCGCAACCGTCCCCTAGGCAACCGTCGCCTAGTCAGCCGGCACTGCCACCACCCGCAACCCCACCCACACCGAAGGCAGCGCGGCTCCCGTCGCCATCGGATAGCGCCATGGCGACCCCAAACCAGGCCAAGAAGCCCCTGCGTGACCTGACCCAGCAGGAGTTAGATCAGCTCAAGTTCTTGGAGGAGTACACGCAGACCCGGCAGAAAGGACTGGCAGATGCCGGTGTGAAAGTCACAACCCAGGAGCGGGAGGAAGAAATACGTGTTCAGCGAAGGATTCGAGAGCGAGTGCGACGTGCGAAGCGCGACCTAAACAAGCCACCTGCCGCCTTGAGTACAACTGGAGGTACAGCTGTGAGCACCGCACAGTCACCCAGTGCCACTGGTAGTAAGGATGGCGTTCAAGGAATGGCATCAGCGCCTTCTTCCGACCAAGCAGGTGCAACACCGCCGCTGCCCGTAGAGCAAAGGAGCACCACTGAACCTCGGCAGGGTGAATCTAGTACTGGCGAGAAAGCACTCAAACACGAAGCACAGGTTACCGCACCTTCTGCTGATCTCCTTAAAGATGCCGATGATGCTGCTGTCGAGCAGTCGCCTATTCCTATGGAGATCGATGCTGCTGATGGCCAGAATGAACCAGACGGCGCTGCTGTATCCCGCTTCACCGCAGCTGCTGCTGCTTCCACTGCTGCTCCTGCTGTTGGTGGTGAGGTTGGTGCCACTGATTTACAGGGTGTATCTGCTGCTGGGGAAGTTGCCACTCAGGAGAGTAACAGCAGCCCTGCTGTTGTTTCAACTGGTCTCAAAATCAGCATAGAAAGACATCCAGGCTTGGATGCTGTGAAGCGTGCACCGTCATCATCATCTCCTCTGGCGTACGTCGTGGGTCAGGATGATCGCCGGGACGCATCTCCGAGTCCAAGCACGTCACTGGCAGCAGCTCGAGCAAGTGTCGAAGATGAGGTTGCTGCAGTTCCTGGTGACGAGTGTAGACCTGTTGACAGTCCAGAACATACTCAGGTCAACAGGGGTGATGCAGATCAGAGTGTAGATTCACCAAAACTCATTCGCTCAACTTCATGCAGTCCACAATTCGGTGGGAACAACAGCGAGCAGTTATCTGGTCTCTCTGAAGTTGCCATAAAGCAGGAAGCTGTAGACGCGGAGTTAGAGAAACTTGCCGCTATTACGGAGCATGGCTCAGCCAACCTTTCAGACACTGCCATCTACACGTCTGATGACGTTGTAGCACAGCCTGCACCCACAGCCACGGCCCTGTCGCCAGTAGCTGCGGCTTCGGACAGACACTCTGGAGAATGCCGCATGTCACCCGGTCACTCACCTACCATGTGTCCACCGAGTCCGCGGAGAGATCTGTTGAGCATGGAGCCGGACAACTCCCCAAAGTATGTACGCTCCAGTTCGTGCAGCCCGAATGAAATAATGTATGACTGTGCCGAACTTGGACGAGAGCAGGCAACTGACTTTGGCAGCATGGTGCTGACGGAGGAGGCTCTGCAGGGCAGCAATCTCATTACTGCACAGGCTTCCCTGCATAGTGACGCCACACTGCACGAAGCTACTGAGAGCTGTCAAGTCAAACGGGAGCAAATCATCTCAAGTGGCGATGGTGTAGCAGAGCAAGTGGAGCCAAGGACTGTCGCTATACTGGAACAAGCTGTCCCAAGCGGTGACATCACTCCGAAGCAACCTGCTGCTGCTGCTGCTGCGAGCTGTGATGTTGTGCAGGAAGAGGCTGTGCAGAGCAGTGAGGGCATACCAAAACAAGCAGTTCCAAGTAGTGAAGCAGTCACAGCAGAGCAGGCAGTCGCAACTAATGATGTTTCACCAGAGGAAACTGCTCCGTGCAGTGATGTTTTACCAGAGGAAACCACTGCAAGCGGTGATGTCGTTCCGGAGAAGAAAGTCTCAAGCCCCGATGTGACGCTTGAACAACCCACCCAGGAGGTTGGGGATGCCAGTTGTGACCAAGCTGTAGGAAGCTGTGCCGTTTCACCCAAACCATTTCCTAGTAGCAGTGATCACGCTATATTAGGACAACCAGTGGCAAGCAGTAACCGCGGTAACGACTTACCAGAGCAAGCCACACTGGAATCTGAGACTGTACCGGAGCGAGTTGCTGAGGACAGTGGTGCTGTGCCAGAGCAAGCAGTGGCAAGGGACACTGTTTCAGCCGAACGAACAGCCGGGGACTTTGATATTGCGGCAGAACAACCAGTCCCAGGAGGCGACAACACACCAGAACAAACTAACCAGGAGACGGGTGACACTGCTCAGCAATCTCCCAAGGCTGTCACACCTGAGAACACTATCCCTAGCAGTAACATCGTGCCAGAGCAAGTCGATCCAAGTTATGCTTTGCTATCCGAACAAACAAAGACTAGCAAGGATGAAGAAGGGGGCAGCCAAGATGAACTGCCAGAGTCACCTACTGGCAGTGATGGTCTTCAGAAAACAAGTTCTCGTGGCAGCCCCGTTGTGCCAGAGCCAGTGGGTGAACAAAATGATGACTTGCCCAAACAAGTGGGAGAAAATACTGATGCAGTTCTGGGAGATGAACCTCCAGCTACCGGTGTCTTACTGGAAACAGCCACCCAAGGTGCAAACGACATACCTGAGAAAGCTTTCGAGGGCAATGACGCCGTGGAAATGTCGACTGTTGGTGGGAGTGATGCTATGAAAGAACAGCCAGTCCCAAGCGTAGATAGTGCACTTGAACAGGCTGTCCAGGATAAGGGTGTTGCGCCTGAGCAAGCTGCAGGAAGCGGTGAAGCTTCACCAAAGTCGACCTCCAATATCAGTAGCGTCATGCCAGAGCTGGCTGATACCCAGAAGCCAAGCACTAGCGGTAGTGATGTCCTTGAAAAGGCAAGCCCACTTCCAAGTGACGTCACCCCGGAACCTACCAGCAATACGAGTGATGTCACTCCAGAACCAGCAAGCTGTCAGGCGGTTGCCACTCCAGAACCTTCCAGCAGTACGGCTGATACCTCACCCAAACCGCCCAGCAGTAAGGCTGATGTCATTCCTGAATCGGCCAGCAGCAAGAGTGATGTCACTCCAGATCCGGTCAGCAGTAAGAGTGATGTCATCCCAGAACCGGCCAGCAGCAAGAGTGATGTCATTCCAAAGCCGAGACGTTACAGTGATGTTGTGGCAAAAGGCCTAACCGATGAACAGGAGATGGTGACTATTGCACCACTGACCCTGATTTCACCAACAGCACCTGCCAAACCAGCACCTGCCAAGGCCCATGCATCTACACCAACCACTACCAGTGCAGTGATAACGTCTGAATCAGCGCAACATGCACCACCTGCTGTGTCAGCAGCAGCAGCAGCAGCAGCATCGGCTGCACTGCCGACGCAGAACACAACATTTCTATCCACGCCGGCAGCAGCGACAATGCTGAGCACTGTTGCAAACTCTACGCCTACTTCACCAGAACAACAGAGCACGGCTTCGATGTGTACCCCGACCGCGCTACCAACTCAGAGCACTGCTCCAACATCGACGTCGACAACACCAGCACAGAGTGATGTTCTGATACCCACATCCACTGCGTCACCAACTCAGAGCATGGCTCACGTACTGCCATCGGCAGCATCACCAACACAGAGCACTGCTTCGATTTCCACACCGACTACCGCACCAGCACAGAGCACTGCCCCGGTATTGACGTCAGCAGCACCAGCACAGAGCTCTGATTCGGTGTCCACTTCCACAATATCACCAGCACAGGGTGCTCCGCCAATGTCAATATCGGCAGCAGCAGAGGCACCGACACAGAGCGTTGCTCCAGTATCGTCATTGCCTGCAGTACCAACTCAGGCCACTGCTGCATCAATCACGCCTGCTAAGGCATCACAGTCCAATAAGCCAGCATCAAAGCCTGCAGGCACTTCCCCGTCCAAAAAGTCTAGGGCCTCATCTGCAAAATCTACTCCTATGTCGACAGAAAAATCCACTGCGAAATCCACAACGAAATCCCCTACAAAATCCACTACAAAATCTGGTGCCAAGTCGTCAAAATTATCCACTCCGCCATCATCAAAGTCTGCTTCTCGTAAGCGACCTGTGTCTTCAGGATCGACGGCGGGTACAAAGGCTGGTAGCCACAGCGAAAGTGTAGTGTCACCGTCAAACGCAAGTGCCACGAGCACGGTCAGGAGCCAGCAGCAGCAGCAGCGCTTGCCTCACTCTATCGACAGTATCCTGAACAACCCCAGTGATACAAACAGTCTTGCCAGCGATCAGCGCAGCCATGGCACTGTTCCACCGCTGGTGGGCACGCCGACCAACCCACCACTGCCACCACCATCCGCGGGTACGTCGTCGGGTGCTAATACTCCCCAGATGCAGTCACCATATTATCCACCGGTGAGTCAGTCAGTAGACCGTACGTGTATTTGTCGTGTTTGTGATCTCGTACGCGTGTTGCTCTTGCTGTTTTGGTATGGCATGTAGTGTGCTAAGTATTTGATCAAGAGTAATTGCTGCAGACACTTTCTTCAATATCCAGAGGCTCCACTGCAGCCAAGTAACCATCCCTTAAGCAATACCACCACCACCACCGCCTCCGCCAAGGTCTTGTGCTGCAATTCAAAAATTAAATTATTCTCCAAATCGTCGCCCCTGGGGCTTTATGAGGGAGAAAAAAACTAGAAATTATACTCCCTGATGAATTTGGAGTGATGTAATCATTGACTCGATTGATTGTAGCATAAAACCATGGTATCGGTGTTGATGATATTGGCTATTAGTATTAAAGGGATGATTAATCGCAACTGCTCTATCAAGGACATTAATGCCATTTCAGAAGCATTCGAAGGGAGATCTTCAATATGTTGTGATCTTCATGAATCCGTCAGCTCAAGGCGACCATTGCTTTGTATTGAGGTGTGTTATGGGGAGCACTCTGCTTAGGCAATCATCTATGCTTTGTATTGAGGTGTGTTATGGGGAGCACTCTGCTTAGGCAATCATCTATGTCAGAGGACCACTACAACCAGTATCTAAGGTGGAGGGGAATACTGCGCACATTTCTCGGATTCCCTTGAGCGGTTTTCAAGTTTTACTCGAGTACGGTGTATCATGTAGGTTCTGTGCTGTGTATTGTGTTGCTGTGTTCACTCAGGGCATGTACCCACAGTGGCCGTATAATCCGTATGCCATGCCACCCAACGCTGCTGTTGCTACTAGTGCTGCTGGATCCCTTGTACCCAGCCCAGGGAATATGCCAATGCCACCTGGTTACGGGGCGCGCATGCCGCCACCAGGTCTTGGCGGAGCATCGCCGATGGGCTATCCGGCAATGTACAGCCAGCAGATGTACCCGTTCTACCCGCACGCCCCGTACATGCAGCACTACGCACCACCGCCACAACCAGCACCGGCCATGTTTGCCGGCACGGCCCCGCAAAGCGCTGGCGCACAGGCCAATGAGGCGTCGAGCAGTCGAGGTACTCCAGAACCACCGTCGCAGGATCAGAAAGACAAATCAGAGAAGGAGCCAGGTAGTGCTGAGACACCTGACTCGCCTAAGGACGAAAAGTCAACATCAGCGGCTCCAGGAGGTGCAAAGTCCGCCGAGGGTGGTTCGGGAGTGCACAGGCGTGCTGGCTTACAATTGTATGCTGAAGAAGAGAAGCTAGCATTACAGTCTGTACTGGCTCAAGTCATCTATGTGTTTTCAGAGTTTAGGGAAGAACTCGACGCCATAACAAGTAGGTCACGAATTGTGTTCAGTCATGCTGATCAGCTCATCCTTGTTTGACCTGTTCTCAGATGCACCCGGCTGTACTGTGCTGTGCTGTGCAGCGCTGCGCTGCACTGCACTGCACTGGCCGACTTGTGGCCCTGTGTTGCACTGAGTGTGTTCTATTGAGTATTGTTCTCTCATCATATGTACGGGTGTGTGTCTGTGCATGTGTGTGTGTGTGGGGGGGGGGGGGGGGGGGGTGTGCGTGTGTGTGTGCGTGCGTGTGTGTTTGTGTGCGTGTGTGTGTGTGAGTGAGAGTGGTGTGCACTGATGTACTCACTGGCTTCCCTGTACTGCTGCAGCCCAATTGATCAGGAGCTGTGCCCACACTACCATTCTGTCTGGTATGATTGCTGTGCCCACACTACCCTTCTGTCTGGTATAGTTGGTGCTCGCATTGGTCTTTGCCTTCGTGTCCAGGTGTCAAAGAAAGATTCCGGTTCACCAAGGCTAAGTGGAAGGACCTCGACCTGGAGGAGAAAAAGAAACACAGGGTATGCTATACACAGGGTATGCTATACACAGGGTATGCTAAACACAGGGTATGCTATCGGACCATAGTGATGTGAAGACTATCGTGCTTATCTAATAGAATTCAGCCAGTTTGTTGCATCCGCCGGGGCCAACACTTGCAAACAACCCCAAGTTGATCCAACACTGCATTTCTGTGACGAATACAATGCACTCAAATGTAATGTGCGATGATCCGGGCTGTGCACACAGATTGTGTGAGAGCTTCGTGTTTACCAAATTGAACTCTATTATTATTATTTTTGCGATCGGGGCTCCCGATTACATAGCTGATTGTGTTTTCGAATCAAGGTTTGTAAATCAAGGTTTGTAAATCAAGGTTTGTAAATCAAGGTTTGTAAATCAAGGTTTGTAAATCAAGGTTTGTAAATCAAGGTTTGTAAATCAAGGTTTGTAAATCAAGGTTTGTAAATCAAGGTTTGTAAATCAAGGTTTGTAAATCAAGGTTTGTAAATCAAGGTTTGTAAATCAAGGTTTGTAAATCAAGGTTTGTAAATCAAGGTTTGTAAATCAAGGTTTGTAAATTGTATGCACACATACGTGTACAGTAAAGCCTGGTTAAAAGCGACCACCCCACGGTGCAAGCAAAAGCGGTCGCTAAAGCCAGGTGGTCTTTATAACCAGATCCCACAGTGTCTGTGTAGAACTGTCCGTGCATGGAAAAGCGGTCGTAAAGAGCAAGTGGTTGTAAAGAGCAGGTGGTTGTAAAGAGCAGGTGGTTGTAAAGAGCAGGTGGTTGTAAAGAGCAGGTGGTTGTAAAGAGCAGGTGGTTGTAAAGAGCAGGTGGTTGTAAAGAGCAGGTGGTCGCTAAACCCAGGGTTTACTGTATGCATGTACCTGTAGCTCTAGCCGATCTCCACGAAATAGGGATCACTCACCCAAGCTGAGTCGATCTCTCCCCAGCTTTTGAACTTCTGACGTCCCCTTCCCTTCCGGTTATCCTGAGAGGCTATTTCTTGCTGGGCGGTGTACTTTATGCTGTTAGTTTGGTTGTCTCGTCTGTGTGCTTTGCTAATTGAATACCAGCAAACATCAAGACTTAACCGAGCCAGGGCAGCTGCAAGGGAGGTAAGAGCTGCAGCTTCTAATTGTGCAGACTGGTTTGTGTTCGTGCGCTGGTAATCGATGTACAATCAGTAGATAAACACTTTAGTAATCAGTAGATAAACACTTTAGTAATCAGTAGATAAACACTTTAGAATGTTCGAAGTTTCTATTAGCCTGTACTTTCCTTGTAAACTTCATTTGAATCGGATACTCTTGCCAGTCTTGGTTCATTATTCACTAAGATAGATGCCACGTACCTCCATTAAATCGACTGGATTCTTGTTTTATGTTTTCATGCAGAAAAAAGCCGCCAAAGCAATGGCAAAGTCTCCAACATCATCGTCGCAAGCAACTGCAGTTACAAAAACTCCCGCATCAGTGGCAGCAACATCAGCGGCAGCAACATCGGCAGCAGCACCAACATCAGCGGCAGCAACAACTGCTGCTCCAACAGCAGCATCAGTAGGAACAACATCAGTAGCAATGGCAGCAGCAACATCAGCAGTTGCAGTGTCAACAGTGAGTAGAGCTGCAGCAAATACCACCCAGCCGCCGTTATCATCATCATCATCATCGAGCATGGCCAGTGTTCCTACGGCCAGCATCGTGCCACCTTCACATTGGCTTGCCACACAACTCAGAACCCCACCCGGTGTGCCGCAGCCACCACCCCTCATACCAACGGAGGTTGCCGAGCTTCAAACAACGGGAGCAGGCTCGGCATTGCCGCCACCGCCTCCGCTGGGCTCTGAAAAGCCTTCGGCAGTTTCTCCTACAACTAGTACTAGCAAGGCGTCGCCACGAAAACGAGCGAAAGATCCAGCAAAGGCGGCAAAGATGCTGGCGTCGAAGGCAAAGGCACTGGCCATCAAGGACAAGGCCACAGCAGTGCCTACTCCAGCCAGCGTCGTAGCAGGATCGAGCATATTTTCCGATCTTCCAGCTCCTTCTGTGGCACTGGCTGGCAGTACTGTGGGGTCGACCGTTGTTGGCACCGGTATGAGCAGCCAAAGCACAACCACGGCCACCTTCCCGTACAAGAGTACTGCCACCACCACCAGCAGCGGTGGTGTCTATTCTTCCCCCAGTGCAGCTCCTAGCCATGCTGCCACTGCTGTGCAGTTAGCTGATAGTAGCGGCGCTGCACCATCCCAGGACTCTACGTTGTCTGTCAAGTCTGAGCCGGCCAAGAAAACGCCAGTGAAGCGGCCGAAGCAGACACGCAACCCTAAGACCGGCCCAGGAGGTTTCTGCCATGTGCCGCAAGCAGTGCAGCGTCTCATGAAGAAGATGGTAACTGATGTAGAGATCACGCTCAAGAAAGAGGCCAGAGTGAAAGTGAAGGCAGCAGCAGCAGCAGCAGCTGCAGCCACCGTCCAGCAAGGCAACGTCAAGCCTAAAATCATCCGCAAGAGAAGTAAGTGTACTTTGACCATCCAGTAACCAGTACCCGCATGTCCTGTTTCTGACTGCTTTTGTGAAAATAATATTCAAGTGTTTGTTTGTCTTGCAAACAAGGTGAGCCCTGCAATGGGGATCCCAGACACCGGTAGGTGCTCCTCCAGGAAGGATGGTCAGGCATAGAGGAGGATCTGAAATGGTGCGTTACTATTACTTCGAAGTATTTTTGTACGTTGAGGAAGATTGGACGTGGATTATCCAGTTTTGAACATTTTTGGGAGCTCTGCTTGATGCTCTAAATAACGTGTCATTTTTCTGGTGCTTTAATCAGTCTACCTTGCATACTTACAATCAGTCTACCTTGCATACTTTGGCTAGCTGCCCTGAGTACATTCTACTAAGGGTTTCTGCTTACGAATTGCAGGTTTCACCAAGGTTGCATGCTTATGAAAATTTGTTGATTTCATCCCTGATGTGTTTGTGTTTGTAGAGCCCAAGCCTCCGGCAGAATTAGCTCCGGATGCCAAGCGGTTCATTCCAGGTGACCCGGCAACAGCTGGCGCAATGGCAGTATCAAACAGCCTGGCTCCCAGCGCCGCCAGCGGTCTTCACCACCCTGCAAACAATAGCCTCAGTCTTGTAGGTACCCACACTCCAGCTGCCACACACCACACTGCGTCGTTGATGAGCAGGTCTGCAGTTGGCACACACCACCTCAACAATGGACCACTGCTGGAAAGGCCTCGGTTAGATTCCATGCCGATTTTCCCAATGCTGAGCAATCTCCCTGCCCCACTGCCTCCGATGCCACCTTACCTTCCACCCCTCGGCCTACTCGCATCAGAGCGCTTCTCTCAGCTTTCAGCCGAGCTAGAGCACCCCAATCACCTGGCTTCCTTCCCGGTTGCTCCGTTTGAGCTGGAACCGTTCTATTTCCCAGGCCTTGTCAGGGTGAGCAGCTTGATCTAGTGGTCACTTTGTGAACTTATTTAAAAGTGATTGTACTGGGATATATATATATATATTTCGCTCCTGCTCTTGTAGCAGTTGAGCACTCTTGCGTGGGGTAGTGCCTTTGCTGTTTGCGTTATGCAGAGCTCACTGACTTGTCAGTTTGAGCACTCTGGCAAGGTACGTTCGGGCCTGATTGGAAATTTTTATTTCCATTGTTATCAGGTTCGGCCTCATTTCCTCTGTGCTGCGCTGACGAGTCCACAAAGGACGAAACAGTTCTGTCCGCAGATTGAGTATATATATATATATATATATATGTAGAAAGGAAAGGGACATATGTATACAAGTTGAGAGTAACTGTCCACCACTGTCACTAACAGTTACATGTAGGCCGGCACTACAGTCAACTTCGCTAATAGCGACTGCGGATATAACGACAATTCGCGAATAACGACAGAATGTCCATGCCCAGAGCAAAGTTCCAGCCAACTGTAATACATATAATGAGACTTTGGGTATAACGACACTTCGCGAATAAGGACACTTGTTTGATGCCCCGCCGAATGTCGTTATAAACGAAGTTGACTGTATATACAATCAGAAAGTGCAACAACTAGGCACAAGACTGACAGAGTACTGCAACATTCGACGACCTGAAACCTAGCTCCAGCACAATTCCAAAGCGCTAACCAATGGCCTTCCAACTCGGAAGGTTCTAGTTTAAAGAGAGGCCAAAGAGGAGAAGGTAAGCGCAACGAAACGGAGTACAAGCCAAGTCTCACGGAAACAAAGAATGTAGACTGCTACTTGACGATGGCGTATGCTGATTTGCTGCTTTGCATTGTAGTTAGACCGCTTTGTCAAGTATCTTTCTGGTTTCGTCAGTGTCCAGTAAAAGTGAGTCGACATTCTTCGTCCCCGTGGGACTTGGCTTGTACTCATTTTCGTTGCGCTTACCTTCCCCTCTTTGGTCCCTCCTTAACCTAGAGCCTTCCGAGTTGGAAGGCAGTTGGTTAGCGCTTCGGAGTTGCTGGAGCTAGGTGTCAGGTTGTTGAATGTCTCAGCACTCTGTCAGTTTTGTGCCTAGTTGTTGCAATGTCTGATTGTATATAGTATCTAGTCACAGTCGTGAACTCAAGTAGCTCGTATCCATACGTCCTTTTCCTTTCTGCATTTTATTATTTCCTCAACATCCGAGTTTCAAACTGGGATATGTATGTTACCGGAGTCATTTAGTGTTGTCACTGTGTTGTCTACATATCACAATAAGGGCTTGGTCAGACCGATCTCGTCTGCACGCACGTTGTAGTATTAGTACTTAGTAAGGTTTGGTTTCTCTCAATGTGGCTATATTGCGAGTGGTACATATTGACAAAGGGCAAACGGTACTCCCGTTTGACAACAGGTCTGATTGTGCTCAAGCCAAAGGTAGAGGTGAACCTCAGGCCATGTGTTCATACTGTAGCTCTTCCTTAGTTTGAAGAGAAGAGGGTAACTTATGGTAACGTTGCTTTAACCGCGCTGTGATAACAGGCTAGTTAATGCGTGCATGTTGCGGGGTTGATATTGTGCATGTGGGTGCTTGCTGTGACTGCGCTGTGCTTTGCTCATCGTGTGGCTTGTCATTGTGTCATTGTGCTCACGTGTTCTCGGCCGTGCTGATGGAGCAGGGTACCTTTGGCTGTGGCTACGTTGAAGGCATCCCAGACTACTATGGCGCCTGCCGCAACCCTCCGGATAGCAGTCCTCTGACACCGCCTGCTAGCCCTGTGCTTCACCTGGCAGGCAATGCTAGAGGTACGGATCGACAGAGTCAGCAACCTGCCAAGTCTGACAAGCCAACCAAGCCCGCTGGCTCCAAGAAGGGACTGAAATCGGTCAAAGTCGCCAAGATGCTAAATCCGCTGAAGCGACCGCCAGCCGAGTCTGACATGCCCCTGAAGAAGATTGTAAAGGTTTGTGACTCAAGATAATGGCCTGGTCTTTAATTTAGAAAATAGTAAAGTACAATGGCACTGGGTGGTTACGCTTCCCCTTGACGCATGGTCTTACCTCATTAAATCTTACTGCAAACCTACACTATTGGTCTTTCTAGTGAGCACTGTGCAGCAGCAGAACACACCAATGAGAGTTTCTCCACCGTGAAGAGCCTTTCTCAAGTGTTTGCAACCTGCTTTCATTCCCTTTTCTGTGGCACGTCACATGCGGTTCGTCTACAGAGGGCACGCAAGACCAGCAAGGACAAGCCTGTTGAACCAGAACTGCCAAAGCGCCTCGGTTGGAGACGCTGGACATCGGAGTTTGTAGCTGTCATCAAGAAAGATTCCCTGCCGAATAGTAGAATAATAACCAATGTAAGCAAGTGGTACAGGATTCAATGAATTTGTCATGTATGATTGTCATGCATGCTGTACAAAATAGCAGGTGTTTGTCCTGCTGAATTACAGGGACACCTTAGTTAATGTACCTCTAGGAGACTTTAACATCAACCCACTGGAAAGCGATGTGCAGTGTTATATCCAATGCAAAGAGAATAGTATATATGTGGTATTCCAACAGCTCATTAATTTGTGTTCACGCCAACGTCACAGTAATTTAGACTAGCTAACATCAGTGATCAAAAATGGATTCATTTTGAAAAAAGGAGAGGGAGTCTTTGACATGGTTGTTTTCTGTATCACTGTTTTGCTTCGTGCTTGAACTAGGCCAAAGAAGTTCCGTACTTGCTTCGACAGTGCAGTGTTGATCAGCGCCAATGTGCAGTGTGCTACATGTCAGGAGAGGGAGACGTAGAGGGTGCTGGCAGGTATGTGCCGGAACCTTGTACAGCGGTGTCTTGTATTAGAGCCTGTCTCATATACACACATGTTTTGAATGCAAGTCTGATTTTCAAGATGCACTGCCGGCACTTATGCCTGGTTTTAGTGTTGATATACTTGGTTTGAATGGAAGCCTGATGGGAATAGAAACCTAGCCCTGACATCGGCTTCTACAGGAATACACCCGGCTCTAATACGTAACATTACCGTATGCAATACTCTGCTAACTAGAATTTTGTTCTTTGGGGCAGCGTGGATAATCATTTGTCGGTTTGCAAGACCGAGGAGAGATTGTTCGGAACACGTTAACCCAACATAGATTGGTAGCTGGATGAGGTGGCTGACCAATTGGTGGGCTCATAGGTAGGACGAGTAAGTATGTGATTCATGTATGTGTTGGGGAGGAAGAGAGATTGGGAGAGAGGGGGGGGGGGGAGAGAAAGTGTGAGAGAAAATGGGAGAAAGTGGGAGAGAGAAGGTGGGAGAGAGAAAATGGGAGAGAGTGGGAGATTGAGGGAAAGTCGGATAGAAGGATAGGAAGAGAAGGTAGAGAAAGGGTGGAGAGAGAGAGGGGAGGGAGGGGGGGGGGGGGGGTACTAGAGATATCTGGCTAGAAGCTGCATTGAGTAGCACTCTCTCGTCTGACTACTTGTGATGTGTGTCCACCGAAGGTTGCTGAATTCGAGCGTAGACCAGTGGCTGCATGCTAACTGTGCTGTGTGGTGCGCGGAGGTGAGAGAGCAGCAGAACTACCTGGAGAATGTCAACATGGCTCTGAAGCGCATCAAGAGCACGGTTTCCGTCTGCTCTATCTGTAGCAAGGCTGGCAGCGGCGTAGCTTGCTTTGCTTGCGCTCGCTCTTACCATGTTCAGTGTGCCCGCACGGCTGGTCATCACTTTTATCATGACAAGGTTAGTCGAGCTCTGCCCATGACCCAAACTGTCCGTTTGCACCTTGTGTTGTGTAGATGCAAGAATAGCATCTTGTTCAGCTGTTTGTGTGCACATGCAACACCAGTACCTCCCATGTTCACATCAGTGGATGTGTTCAAATGCGCACACTGGCTTTTTTTTCTCTTCCCCGGTTGATGCCGAAACATCTGGAGTATACTGAGGCTTGAGTGCTGTAATCTTCTTCTGAGAAGTCTTCACATTGCTATCTAATATGGCACAATGGTGACTTCTTCGATATGCTAGCCAGCCGGGATTTTCGTAGCAACAGCTGAACTTCTTGCCGCAAGTACTTGTACTGTTTAAATTTCTGACTGTGCCGCCATTGCCTGTGTGTCTATTTGTGTCTATTTTGTAGTCGGTCATGTGCAGTAAGCATAACACTGCAGTACCCGAACTGCTAGTCCAATCCGTGGCTGTCAATCGCCGCTGCCTTATCAAGCGCTCCATTGACGAGGAACTTGCGCAGTAAGTCTGCCACTCGTCTTTCTATAAACGAGAGAGCTTGGAAGCTCAGGGCCCTACGCTATGCTTTTTTGCCTTGATGACCTAGACAAAAAAAAGCATAGGGATGGTATAAATTCTTTCAAAATCCGTTTTTTAAGCCATAACCTGGGATTCGAACCCGCACTATCGCGCGCCCTGCATGCATCCCCCGATACACTTCGCATACATACTAATTCTTCCAAGTTGTTTCACATTGTGATTTTGCATTTGAAAGCCCTATTTGAATATGCATTGTGGCCAGCCGTCTTTGATGGCACGGTACAGTAGGGGATAGGTACGGGACAGGTACGATCGAGGGTAATACGACACCGTCTCCCGTACCGTACCGTACCATCAAACACAGCTGGCCACATACAGCTGCCCGCAATATTCAAATAGGGCTTTCAAACGCAAGATCATAACGTTTCAATCAGTTTGAATATTATGATTTAGGCAAAAGTATTTGCAGAATTTATTGCAGATTGTGTAATTTTCTTTAATATCATCTACTTTTGGTTTGCTCCTTCTTCTCTTTTTATCTCCTTATACTGTAAATCAACAAATTTTGGCTGATGAGAAACTTTGGCCGATGAGAAACGAAACTTTTCGCCGTCATTAAACTTTGGCCGATTGGAGTTTTCAAAAAGAAATCGATCGGTACTTTTGCTCTCACATGCATCCATTGCTCAATCATGCATCATTTGCCTCTGTGACAAACTTTGGCCTGCGATTTACTTTGGCCGGTTGGTACCAAGCGGCGAAATCAGCGAAATAAAATCGCCAGCGAAAATTAGTTGATTTTAATACAGTATAAATCGGATTTACTGGCCTTTTTGTAGTAATACATGTACATTGACCTGTTGAGCCAATGACGACGCCGAATGCATGGTTGCCTGTGGAGCACATTACAACACTTTAGTCTCCTAAAATACTTATCCGGTCCGACGGCAAAAGAGGCTGCAGATTTAGTTTTTCTGCGCGTCGACGGGATGTCTGTCCTGACGTTTCCTGGGACCTGCGCTGACTCTGCCGATCACAGGCGTTCTGGACTCGACGGGTTGTCTGTCCTGACGATTCCGGGGACCGGCTTAGACTCTGCCGATCACGGGCGTTCTGGACTCGACGGGATGTCTGTCCTGACATTTTGTTTGTTTATTTACGGATTCTCCAGAGGTAAATGGATACCTATCATGGGAGTCTCACCAAACCAATAAAATAATGAAAATAAAATATGTATGGAGCGGAAAAAACTCAAAATCTGAGATTTTCCAAGTCAAATGAGAGGATGTCTGTCCTGGCGTTGCCTGGGACCGGCGCGGACTCTGCCGATCACTGGCGTTCTGGAGTCGACGGGATCTCTCTTCCGACGTTTCCTGTGACCGGCGCTGAATCGCTCGTTCACGCTTATTTTAGAGACGACGGGATCTCTCTTCCAAAGTATGTTTATGCTGACGCATCCTATCACCTATTCGGCGTCCATTCTAATTTAATTTCCTCCTCGTCTCCCTATTTCTTTCCACATCTCCCTCTACATCAGGGAGTCGTATACATGTACATAATACGACGAATATTGGTACGGTACGGGCCAGATACAGGAGCCCGCAAATATTGTGGACAGCTGTTATGTACAATCCTGTAGAGCCTTTGTAGTCACAGATACGGGTCAGATACGGGACAGATACGGGATAGCTCCAGGCGTGACACAAACAAACAAACACACAAACAAACACCAAATTAAAGCTGTGTGGACCCTGGCTAGCGCCAGACGTTACTGAAGTAACGTCTTCTGCATAGCTACGGGAATAAAAAAAGTATAGTTCCACCATGGTCGGTGGATTACTGCAGAAGTGCAAACGTTTGTTTGGAATGGACTTTCATCAATTTTGTTAGGTGAGAGGAGCGAACGAAAGTTTGTTCCTAACTTCAATTGAGCAGGGATGCTACTTTGTGCACTCTCAATCTCTGACGTGAACTGCATTCCTAACGTAAGGTCGAAATTGAACGTATGGCAATTGTTTTTTTTATAAAATAAAATTTGCACTTCTCCGCAGTCTACAGCTCCACTAGGTTATGTCGACATTAAGTGTCGCTTCAGCGGAAGAAACCAAACATGATACACCAGAGTTGTCTTGATTATGGCTAGGCTACTGGTACTGACTCTTAGTGAGCTAATACTCACTGGGTTTAAAACAGTGATTGGTGTGCCGGCCTATGACAATAGGGACCTTTCGCACCCCCGCGGATGGATACGAAACGAATGCTGATTCGTCACCTGGGTTCGAGGATTCGTCAGAGTCCCTGCGGAGAACTCGTTTTCACGAATGGAGGCCTCTTCATTCGTGGCACGCTCCGAATCCGTCAGGTACACATTTATTTGGATAGGTACACATGTTTTGCAAGGTACACATTTTTCCCTTGATTCCATGATCCATGCACGTGTGCGTGTAAAAACCCGTACGCCAAGCTACCGGCGCCCGCGGCCGTATTCGTAGTTGCCATGCACATTTGCATGACGACTTGCGAAACCTGAAATCTGTTTTCAACGAAACGATTACGAGCCGAATCAAACTTTCGTTTCGCATTCGTTTCGTAGCAAATGCGAAAGGTCCCTAATGTATGCTTGTCTACTGGGCAGTGAGGTTTGAGGTATGGTATATTTCGTGTTGTTTGAAACCCTAGGTTGGACTTCATGGAAGGGAACCATGTCATTCGCCTGGGCAATCTCATCCTGGTCTCCATTGGTCAGCTCATTACACAGCTACCCACATTCCATTCCCGCTCCTTCATTTATCCGGTACGTCGTTGGTGTTGCTGCTGCTTCTTCTTCTGCTGCTGCTGCATGAAGAAGGGGATGCACAATGTTGTGGAAATTCACTTGACCAGACAGTTTGATGGGTGTGGAACATGTCCCTGTACACAATGTATGAACACTGAACAGCTTGCCGATAGTTCTAGCATTCTATTCCAAGGTTTTCGATCATTCGAGCAATTTTTTTAATGTCATGGTTTGCGTGAGACTGAGTCTTTGTTAAAAGAAAGGACCAAAAGCATACATGTTATCCATAGGTTAGTCCAACACAAGCAGTTGCTTCATATCATATGCAAGATACTGGGGAGTTAGATCGTGCAATAGTTATCACACTACTGACTGATGTGGCACTGACATTCAACAACCTGATGCTGAAATAGATTGCTCTGTATTACGTAAGTAGCAGATGAGAAACACTCACCAATGATACCCGCCAGGAGCATATCACGGTCTCCCTTGCCATGCATAACAGACATCCCGCTCTGTTCTCGGTTGGTTCTTCATCACTCTAGGTTGGATTCCGGGTGACCAAGGTCTACTGGAGTAGACGTGGACTAAACCGCCGCTGCTTCTACCACTGCACCATAGTAAACTCCAGCGGTGCGCCGCGCTTTGTCGTCGACATTGAAGAGCAGGGCTACAAGACCGTGCAACTCAGCAACGCGTCTCTGACCAGACTCTGGGAGCAGATTGCCAAGCCCATCAACAACATGAGGCAGAAGAACCGTGCTCTGAAGCTCTTCACAGCGTATGTGAGTGGTGAGGAGTTCTTCGGACTCAGCCAGCCACTGATCAAGAAAATACTGGAGTCCCTGCCCGGTGCCGATCAGCTGGAAAATTACTTGTTTGCCTCACCGCGACAGACCCTGGCATGCAAGCACTTACCTCTACCCAAGAATCCGACTGGCAGTGCACGATCACAGCCGTTCATCAACGTGCGGCAAAGACGGTAAGATAGAAGTCAACCAGTGTGCTTGTTGCAGTGTCTTCACACTCCCACCTGTCTCTTTAACCCTTTCAGGACCGACTTTATTCAGCCAAATTGCCACATACACTATGTGTAGAAGGAGTTTGGATCATAACTTGCGTTTCCCTTTATCAATTTTGATAATCTTGGGCTTCCTGGAAAGCTCTTGGCCAGAGGAACACACCGGTGTAAACATCACTCGCTACAGTGCCACTACAATGGCGCTATAGTGCTCGGCAGACATACGAAACGGTACTTTGAGCCGATTTGTTAGAATTGCTGGTATTTTCGTAATATTCACAGTAGAGCGCTGATTTTTTTGTCGCTGACAGGTCCAGATCCGTGCCTGACGTCACACTGCTCTGGGCCTGCCTGGCGTGTCACGCAAAAAGGGGAAATCCCCTGACTGGCACATCGAGCGGCAGTGAAAATTTGCTGCAGGACGTAAAATACCTTGCGAGTGACATAACTCCACCATTTGACCTCGGATCGACGTCGGAAGTGTTCGAGCCGATAGCTGAGAACTTTCTAATGCAAATAGACCTTTCGATTGCCCGGTTCTGTCAAGGAAAAGCCGAGTTACGAAAGTTTGAGTGCATGCAGTATGCACTGCACAGTCATGACGGATATATCCGTCATATGGTCCTTAAAGGGTTAACGATCTCTGGATTTTTGTGGGTTAACGAGGTGAAATTCTAACGAATTCTGTCTCAAAACCGGCAAATGACTGTACATGTACATATCGGTTTGCACATAATGACTTCAAATGTTAACGATTTTTTCAAATTCGTTTACTCGTTAGAATTCAATGTTCGTTAACATTACTGGTCTTACAGTTTTATCAAGAGTACATGAAAACCAGAGTGTGCAGCTCGGATGGGTTGCTGTCACGGCGAAATTCCGTGATTACATCATTTTAGTGATGTAGTGCGTACAAGCAGGATTCAAGCAGGTCTCTTTCTGCACAACTGCAGCTCAGTTGTACGCACTACGCCATTTCCCGCCTCAGATCTGCACCAAAATGATGTAATCACGGAATTTCGCCGTGACAGACACCCATAGCAGAAAAGGCCCCAAGCTGCACACTCTGGTTTTCATGTACTCTTGGTTTTATATATAGATGCACCACCTACTAGTATTCTCTTGCGTCGACGACATCACTGATCTTCTTTGACTTTCCGTTGTGTGCCCAGTGTGATGCCATCGGCCGGTATGATCAGTGGGTCACGTCACCAGAGCCACCAGCCAGAGATGCCATTCTCCGGCCTCACCACCCTGCCATACAATAAGCAGTTTGTGCGCACCAAGGCTGAGCAGTATCGACGCCTGCGGCAGGAGTGGAGGAACAATGTTCTGCTTGGGAGATCTCTTATTCAGGTACTGGTTTGCTGTCTCTCATTGTAGTCGCTCAGCCGCTGCTACCAATCCTTTCCCTTAGACACTGTCTGTAAGGACTGGTATTCTTTGAAACCGTGGCAATTTTGGTATCTCTCTTTTCAGTCTCTCCGTGCTTCTATTACGTTACACGTGTATGCTGGTGACTGCATCAATTTCCCAAGGTACATCAAAAATTGTAACTGCAAAGAAAAGTTGGCCAGTCCACCCCGAAATTACAATATTTTGTTTTGAAAGAATCTTGCTATTTTACAAAGATCACATGTGTTTGATGTACTCTGCGGATGTCTTATTCACTTTCTAGACTTTGATGGTGAACTATCCCCTTCATTTACTCTTGTATGTTTGGTGTGCTGCTCTCTTGCAGGGCCTAGGTTTGTTTGCCAAGAAGGACTTTGAGATGGTAAGTTGTGTGAGAACTGTACTACTGCTCTTCTGTGGGGTCTTAAAAGGAAAGGTGACGGAAGGAATTTATGAAGTTTTATTTGTTCTTTGAAAAGAGCTCGAGAACGAGTGAGAATTCAATTAGAATATTCTATAGCATCAGATCTGTCTCTAAGCTGTGTTTATCCTCCATCTGTTTACTTTTCTCAGCACTCCATGATCATTGAGTATGTGGGTGCTGTCATTCGCAATGAAGTGGCCAACAAGCGTGAGTGTGCCTATAATGAATCGGTAAGTTCAGCTCTTAGTGAGTGTGTGACACTGATGCCTGGAGAGTGTGTGTGGGGGGGGGGGGGGGGGGGGGGGGAGGGGGGCACTGTTCTGATTTACTGTGCACAGAGTTCTGTAGTGAATCTTATGACGGTCCTAGCGATGATGGGCCATCCAGAGTTGGCTGTTGGCTCGAATATCTTCAGCAAAATACCTGTCTTCTCTGTAACCGTTCAACAGTAAGCTGGCGCGTAACAGCTGTGATGCAGCACTCGCAGAGACACACTGTTACAGTCTCTGGTGATTGTGCTGTTGGCCATGCCAGTGTGCACATGCACAATACAGCGTGACGGCGCGGATCCTGTCTGGTTTGTGCATTTCCTACTTTGAAGTGTATGTATTATGTGGATGGTGTGTGCCGTTGCAGAACCGCGGTTGCTACATGTTCCGCATCGATGCAGACCATGTTGTAGATGCTACTAACAATGGTGGACTTGCAAGGTATGTTCAGTGCCTAGTTTGTAGTACCACGGGGCGCACTTTTCTATCACGGTGTTGGGGAGTTAGTTGGACAGGAACTGGAAGGGGGGGGGGGGACGTGTGGATGTTGTCCATGCTCTCATCTCGCTCCTGGAATGATCATGCTTATGATTGTAAGGACAAGCTTTGTCGATAGCAAGTAAGTTCTTATGCAAGTGCAGACCTTGACGATAGCTAGTAGTTCATGTGGTCTGTTCACTGCATTGTGCAGTGTTCCATGTGTTTGTTCTGAATTGTATCCGTTCGTACCGTGCACGTTCGGTGAATATTTGTACGTATTTTCCATCTGTCTGTCATTGCACTTCTTTAACTTTGTTGTTGTCGTTGTCGTCGTTGTTCTCGCACTCCCTGTAGGTACATCAACCACTCCTGCGAGGTAAGTTCTTTCTGTCTCTTTGCATTCTTTAGGAGACCGGCTGGGCCCATTTTACAACTGGGCTATAGTGTGTGTGTGTGTGTGTGCGGGGGGGGGGGGGGGGGCTTATCACAATAGTAAACCTACTTTTCTTTTCAGAAGACTTCAAGTCGGTCAAAATTCCGATTTTGCAATTTGGTGACGCCTGCCCTTTATGGAACTCCCATGTAGTTAGCAGTCATGGTGTTCCCAAGATTTAACTTGCAGGGTGTACACGTATGTACCCTTTTTCAAATACACTACAGTGGCGTTGTCTGAACCTCACATGACACTGGTGGCTCAACTTACCTAGTAGGAGCGTCGCCAGCTGTCTTCTGGAAACATGATTTGACTGTATTGTCTGGCAGTCAGTACATCTCGTTACAATGACCAACTGAACTTACATGCATGCTTCTCTGCTCTTGCCCAGCCAAACTGCTTAGCCGAGATTGTGACGATCGACAGGGAGAAGAAGATTGTTATCATGTCTGGCCGACGGATTGCCAAGGGTGAAGAGGTGAGCAGTAAGGGCATTTGGGGCTTGGTAGTTTCAGCCACAGGAGCCTGCAAGCTTATCCATATTCCGATGATAACTGATGTTGGCTGCTACAGTGGTACACTGAAAGAAGTGATCCTGAGGGTGGTGGCATTCCTACGGATGTGGGAAACTCAATCTAACTGAGTCTTGAGTGAACCGTGAACTTTAAAAAAATAATCTACCTGCTTGTGCATTTCTTGTGCTGTATTCTCCTATGTAGCTGACCTATGACTATAAGTTTGAATTTGAGTCGGAGCAGAAGAAGATCTCCTGTCTCTGCCAGGCTGCATCGTGCAAGAAGTGGATGAACTGAACAGACACAGATGATGTGCATCATCGATGGCCGGGTCGAGCTGAATCCCGCCGCAGAGCTATGTGTTTGAGTGCATCGTGCAATTGAAATGTACAGCGTGACTGACTATAACTGGGGGAGAGCTTCTGATAAAGCGGTCCTTGGGGTCTTAGCGGTCCTTGGAGCCGTACAAAGTTCTGCTCAAAGCTTGTTTTTATGTTGGACACCCCGCATCGTGACTATAGCCCAGAAAAAGCGGTTCTGCACTGTGCCTTGGAATTTCGTTGTTATGACGACTTGATATATTTCCGATCACGAACCTTTTGCTGACAAACACATTGCTGTGTTGTCCCAGCCACCTCCTCCATATTGAATTGTGTACATTTCGAGAGTCTTTCCTACGAATTGCTGACTTATTTTCCCTGTTCACCTCTTCCCGGCTATGCTGCGGAACATCTGTACGAGTGCTGCAAATACGCTAAAAATACACCAGTCGTATCTCACCCTGTCTCTCTCTCTCTCTCTCTCTCTCTCTCTCTCTCTCTCTCTCTCAACCCCCTCCCCTCCCTCTCCCGATTTCCATGTCTCCGCACCCTTTCCTATTTTCAATGACAATTCCCTACGGGTAGGATGCAAAGATGAATTCGCCATGTCACTAGCTGCATCGTTGCTTGTCTATCGTGTACTCGACTTTCAAGGTGTAACATCGCCCAATCATGTTGAAAGTCCCATGTTTAAAAGTCTTGCTTGCTCTCTAGCTGTGAAGTTAACTACTTCAAGTAGTGCTAGGTCAGTAAGTAATGTTACATGCACATCTTATCAACTGACTGACCTTGTTTACATTGCTTTTATAATAATGACTACCTGAAAGTAGCCTAGTAGCTATTTGCAATGCTTCTTGCCAGTATGTACATTTGCCATGGCCATGTTTGTGTGTGTGTGTGTGTAAAAAAATGAAAAAATGAAAAAATGAAAAAATGAAAAATAGGGATTCACTGGCCAGAAAAAAAGCCACTTCAATCATCTGTGTGGTGGATACCAGGCTAAAATTAATGGTGGTCAATTCATCAGCCTTGCAAGCTGTTGAATAGTGTAATCCCAGCACAAGTTGCTATGTCTAACATAGTTGTTCGCTATCATCGCTTCCGCGATGGGCAGGTCTGAGGTCTGAGGTGTGTGCCGGTGTGTGTGTGTGTGTGTGTGTGTGTGTGTGTGTGTGTCCCCCATATGGTGCAGCGGTATGTGCAGTTGATTTCCAATCGAGAGGTTACGGGTTCAATTCCCGACGATTTTGTTCGCACACGTAGTTAATGCAGAGCTTGCTTCACTTCTTACAATCATATCCCTTCCTGTCTCAACGGAAAAAATAATAAATTACTTGAAGTAATAATATTAGTGGTACGCTTATGTTGTAGTGTCTGCGACTGTATTGATGGGTAGATGTTTGAGTTCTGCAGCATGGTGAATTGGCGGTGATGTACACACTCCCAACATGGCCGACTGGCATGCTGATGTGCAGTCACTGATCTGTCATCATGATGACATCATGGCTGCTGGTCATACATGTACAATCATGCAAACTGATGTCCAGCAACAAGGAATGATGGCTTTAAATTATTAAATATGGTAAAATGTATTCAGAACGATTCGTGATGATTCAAGAGACACACGTTTGATGAGCTCACGACGACAGTATGCAGTGAGTTGATGCAGTGAGTTGCCGGGGTGTGTTCTCTAAAAGACATTTCTGGCAATTCGACCTAAACCATTTCTCCAGCTTCATATTACCACAATACTGTATTGGCATAGGGGAGACGAGTGTTTACGCGCACGCGTGTGGGGGGGGGGGGGGAGGGTCTTGCACTTACTTCAGTGACTTGTGCAACTTCTCATTCCTGGCTGCCATCACATGACATCATTTACAGCACTGTCAGGACATCATTCACAGAGATCATGCCTTCTGTGTCCGCGGCAACCTGAAGACCAAATATGGGTGCGTTTCCATGGCGCTCGTCAGTGTGGTTGAGTCGAAACTCTCGTAGCTTTGGTAACAGTCCGCGGGCATTGGACTTTCCCGTGCTGGGATCCTGCATGATGATAGGGCAACGGCCACACGCCTTCACAAACCGGAACTCAACACTTCCCAGGGAGAATCGCTGCCAGCTATCTTCTGCGTATGGCTCCATGCCGGGACAATCGACAACGATATTGGGCCGGAACCTTTCGATTTCCAAGTTGCACTCCATGCGTGAACTGATGTCCTTAAGTGACTGCTCAGTGCACACCAGGTATGGAGTGAAGCTAGCGAAGGATGCCACATCCCCGGCCTTAGCCAGGCTGCCCCACTTTGCATCTCTGCTCATAACTCTGCCTGCTTGACCGGTCGCCATGTAGTAGAGACGCAGTGACGGCCTCTCCAGGAACGAGTAGAGCCACTGAGAAGCATTGTCACCGCAATCGTATGCCTGGCATGACACTCGCGGAGAGTAAACCGCGTCCGTTCGCCCTTGCAGCATTTGGCTTGTGCTCATCGTTATATCGGGCATACCCTCGGCACACAGAGTCAATGTCACTTCTTTGTCCTTGCCAGGCGTTCTCGGCGAGCTGTGGCCAATCTGCGGCTGGATCTGAGCTAACTTTGGACAGTTTGCCATGGTTACTGCAACTCCTGCCACACCTTCGGGCTTCATAGAGCTTTCCATGTTAACAACCACCCAGCGACGGTCATACTCGAAACCCTGCTTCAAGCACATGCCCTCTTCAAGTTGGACAGAGCGGCACGATTTCAACGGGTATACTAGAATGCGTGAAACCTTGCCAATGCGGCCGGTGCCAGAAACTCCGCCGCGGCTTCCCGAAGCCGTCGTCCGATTGATGGCGTAGAGGCAGACCGACACGACAGTTACAATGACCACCGTGACTAGCACTAGTAGCGATGACCCTGAGGAAAGTTCTGTTGTTGCCCGTAATAGGTCTTGAAAATACTCCATACCCGGGAGACGGTGTGCGGGCTAGGCTCAATATTGACTATGATGATGGGATTGTATGAAGCAAATTGCGGATGGAAAGCAGTTGGTCTCGGTTGATTGACCAAGTAACAGTTCACTCAGCCAGTAGTCCGGGAGCCACATACATGTACACTAGTGCCGGTATGTGATCGCTTCTACTGTTCTAGCCTTTGAATGAGAAGGGGTAGATCTACGCGCATGTACTGAGGTTTACCAGTTATCGATATCACACCTAGATCTGTCTTCCACTGCGGCCTTCCGGTGATCAGGTGATGATCGGCTTGGCTGTCTTCGAGATCTGCGAAGTGCTGTTGAAGTGCTGGCGTGTAGACAAGTGCAAGTGATCGGCTGAAGATTTGCAAACACACACACCGAATAACTAACTAATTACTTACTAGAATTGTATGTAGTAGACGAATCGGCAGCGGACGCCTTACTCCTTCTGTTCTGTTCACCGGTCACCTTCGTGCTTTTTAGCCCAGACAATACCGGTAATTGGCAAGTAATGCTAGCCCAGCGCGAAGCTATTAGGTCAAATAATTCCACTGCTGGTAGATCTACTGCTGCTACGGGCTCACACCCTGCTGTATGTTATGTAGCGGAAGCGTGCGCATTCTTCACTCCAACAAAATTATTTTAGCGCCGATCGCGGGTGTTGTGCACATCTGCGCTGCCAATGCCAATGCCAATGCGGGCAATGGGTCGACACTAGACGACAGTCGGACACATCTACGACTCTTCAATGCACACGTAGATCTACAGCCTTGCCTTGGCTTGGGTCATACCGCAGGTCTGGTTGACGTGTCGATGGCACACGTAGCTAGCACGGAGACTGTGCACTGACAACATCAGACTCGATATTATTAGAGGTACTGTGCGTTATCACTCTCTTAGTATTGACTCCCATTTATTTTCGCTACACCTACAAGCAGTCAAATGACAAATATTCCTGCATATTTCACTCCTTAGCCCTATATTGACTGGTTATTATTTACTGCTTATGGGTTGCGCAGTTGAACTGTGCCTAGTGCAGCATGGTCACTGTACGAGTAGGTGATGGTGCAACGCCGGTTGTGCAATCATAAAACCGGGATTCATGAGGTTATCGTTCTGGAATTTGAAATTCGGACTGTTTGTCGTGATAAATCTAATATTGACTTCGTACTTGATCAGTACAGTATAGGAAATAAAAGCCGAGTAAAAGACGTCGGTTTCGCCTCGGTCTTTTACTCGGCTTTTATTTCCTATATTGACCTCGTACTCAGTCAATATTAGATATCTATTGCACTATCGGGTATCCATCAATCAGGACTCTGGAGGGCATGGCCGGAACACTACCAGTGCCAGCAGTAGAGGCGGCCGGTAATCCAACAGCGACCAGCGCTGAATGAACGCCGATGGGCAAACTGGGTTTGTATACAAGTACGACTCCCAATCCCCTGATGGAGATGCATAGCAACAGTACCCGTTTATTGACCCCCTCGTGAGCGCCTGGCATGGCTATCAGTATCAATATCATGGCTATGCGAAGACAGCCCATGACCAGCACTGTGGTATACGTACCGGTATATGCGTAACGAGGTTAGTGAGTGTCCAGAGTGACTGCGGCCCCACTCCTATTATTCCTCCAGTGCAAGTGCAGGGGATCTAGCAGGACTACCAGCGGTAGAGGTAGGCATTGGCGGATAATGCTCGAAAAGGTGGCAGATTCTGCTCGAAAAGCAGTGAAAATGGCAGAACCATACAAACCTTATGGCGGGCAATTCCTCGAATTCTGCTCCATTTCTTTATCCACATACCAAACATGCATGACACTTACCAGAAAAAGTACCGAATTCTGCCAATTTTTCTGCCGACATTATCCGCAAAGGCCTTAGAGGTCTTCTTCATTGATTTTGTAGTCCGTCCACACACAGCATACATGTCATGTAGTGCAATGTTATGTATACATTCACCTATCTCACATTATGTGACAAACCCACACAAAAATGGAATAACCGTTTAGGTATTGTTACTATTGTAGTATAATGTGAACCCTGGCGGCAGTCGTGGAATGTTGCCAGTGAGCTGTTCGTGCTGGTGTCTTCAAGCATTGTGTGGTCCCATCCCGTCGAAAACAGAACCTATCACTACATTGCAGTACAGTCGTCCCTCTCTAATCCGGCACTTGTAAATCCGGAACCCTTGCCAACCGGCGCACTTTCTGATGAAACCGATTTTTTTCGTTCAATTCCTACATCGTAATCCGGCACTTGAATTCCGCCTCCGGCAGTGACTTTTTGAAACGAATCGCTCAAACTGCACGTAGTTTGATTTCATAATCCGGCAGTCGTAAATCGCGTACCGTACAGGCGCACTCCTTGCCAGGCCAGTCTGGTCAGTGCCGCGCGCGCGGGGCCACTTCAGAGTTCAGTTATCGATCGAATTCAGTTGACAACTGTACTCGACCTCGTGCGGGAGAGTTCAGTTCGGTTGGTTGTTAGGACTTTTCCGAACCCGAACTCAATTTATACTAAGAGAAAGACCAAGGAACTACAAGTTACGCTATACTGTCCACTAACACCACCAGTTACTAAACAATCAGCGACGATGCACGACACTGACCGACGGTACTGACGTTCTACAACTAACTGGCTAACAGCTCTAGCACATCTTGGATGCGCACTCCAACAGCCTTCCAACTTGGAAGGTTCTAAGTTATAGAAATAACATACGATGCAATTGTTTGCTTCGAAGGACATCCGTCGTTCGACCTGCATGATGTCGACTGCTTGCGTGGCCTTCTCAAGAGGGTCAATGTTGTCCAGGAGACGACTGCTAAGCAGTCAACCATACTTTCTTATTTTAGCAAGGAGTAGTGTCCTGCCAATTTTCAGGTCTGTGTGTGTGTGTGCGTGTGTGTGCGTGTGTGTGCAAGAGTACATGTGAACATGTTCTCTGTTTTACTTTATCACTGTGTATATTCCTGGAGAACAGTTGAGAATATAAAGTTGTGCACCAAATACTTGGATCGACACGGAAAAACCCTGCGTTTTGACGTATGACACATGCATGCAATTGGGTAGGGCCGGGTCAGAGGGCAGGATTTCTTAATCCAGCACCCTCGTTAATCCAGCAGAAAATGCCGTAGCAAAAGGTGCCGGATTAGAGAGGGACGACTGTACTTGCATGGCTGCACATATGCTGAAGTGCGAAGCCTGATTTTGTCAGTCTCAGCACACCCACACATTCAGTGTGTTATTTCAGTGTGCTAGGATCTTTAGCACCTACAGACTAGTTAGTATGATTTACATGACTGTATTATATACCTCCCTACATAATATGTTATAATCACTGCCAGTGTTTTTTTGCACCTTTTCTCCTTGTGTTAGCACTTATATTAAAGCGCGCTATCGCGCTACTTCATTTATCAACTTTCCATTTTCACCTCTGTATAAAAGAGTGCTTTCACAAGTTCCAGTTATTCAACTCAGATCAGGTGGCTGAGAAAAGTGGTTTCCCCAGCCGAGACCATAACAATCATTATGGTACTGCTATCACTGGGTACTTTGTCGTTCAGAACACCACAAAACACTACAAAGCACCACATAGCACCACAAAACACCACAAAACACGACATAGCACCACAAAACACTACATGTCCGTAGCACCACATAGCACCACTGGCATAGCATCACATATCACCACAGAACACCACAGGACGCCACAGAACACTACAGAACACCACAATCATAAAGAATAAATTGCAGCTGGGTTTATCTGTTTGGTGACATTCCTTTTCTTCTGAATACAAAATAATATGGGCATATTGGATGGAAGTGGGGCGGGGCAGAAGTGACTTCTTCGACCATGGGTCTCGGATTCATCGTACTCATATGCGCCGGCAAGAAGGAGAAAGGAACATGTGAATCCAATAGGAAAGCTCCTTCGAAAAGCGATAACGGAGAGAAGTGGAAATTGAAATAGGACCCAACAATACGCACAAGTACTGACAACAGGTCTATAAAAGGTTCCATTAATCATGCCGCTTGGGTAACTATTTCGCAGATTCCAAGTGTTCTTCTTCTGGCACCGTGGCGGATTTCAGGTTCTTGAACACACGTGGCAGAGTCCTAAACGTATCCATGTAGTACAGATGTGTCTTAGCAGGCTGGCTCGCAATGGACCTGAGTTCTTTCTCGTCGATCAGACCGGTGAGTGCAACAATGAAGATCTCCACGTCCTGCTCGTCGCGCAATTTCTTTGCAGGTACTTCTGGTTCACCATGCCCATGCGTGCCATCGGTGATAATCAAGATGGCCTTGCGACTGCACTTCCGGGCACCCTTTGCGGCGGAGGCAAAGAGATCGGATGCAGCATTCAGGCTGGGAGCCATTCTTGTCCTTCCGCCTGCCGTGGTAGGAGTGCTGTGGAACGCTTCATGATAGCACCTCTTAGTGCGACATGTGTTGAAGTTGAACAGTACACTGGCATCCTCTGCGAACGTCATCATGGCTACGCGAGTAGAATTCTCATGCACACTGGGCACTGCTCTAGATACCAGGCGAGACAAACTCTTTTTCAGTTTCTTGCTCCTACCCGTGGACATGCTGCCGGATATGTCGAGCATGATCAAGAAATCAACAGGGCGCAGAGCAGGCTCCCTAGGGCATGTTGTCACTGGCAGGAGGGGATCGACATGGTGCGACATTGCAAACGATGGTAGTTGCGGCTGATTGGCAATGCGCCGCCGGGTGGCATTTCTCTGGGCAAACAAGCGGTCCAGGACGTAGTATTGAAATGCCTCGCAGATTTCTTCCTCACTGATTAGTCCACCTTCAGTCACAAGTGAGAAACAGAGAGAAACGGTTGCCTAGACTACAGCACCTCACAATCTCCTTTTCAAGTACAGGTAAACATGGGCCAAGCGGACATTGTTGCTGTACCTGGTGCTGTACGGCCATTTGTCTTCGGCACTGATTATGTTGACTGTGCCAGAGTCCCTATAACATGATGAGCGGCACCATTCGGCCTTTCAATAGTGCAATATTCCTCTACCACCCCTCTCCTCCATGCGCTCGTCAGCCGACGACCTACCAGTACCCTCGTTAGCCATTACACACACAACAACAACAACAACAACAACAACAACAACAACAACAACAACAAAAACTCAAACAACGAAGGGTTACGGGTACTGATACTGGAAAACTGTTTTGCCTACAACAAGTTTCCGGTGTCAGCGAAGGTGGAACTGAACTTCGTTGTTGGAACTTTTTGTTGTGCGCAGTGGCTGCGGAGGGTAGCTAGTCGGCTGAAGAGCGCATGAAGGAGAGGAGTGAAGGAATATTGTGCCAGACTCACCCTGTTTTCTTCAGTTCAGACTGGGTGTGATCCAAGACTATAGTAGGCCAATATTATATTGGTGCACACAATTGGTATCCGGCTGGTATGTCAACATATTATGAGTTTCCAGAGTATGCAACGTCGCGAAACAGCCTTACTGTTGTTTGCTTCTGACGCTCTGTGTATTACCTTGCTGCTGACTTCTTCAGTCCAGTAACTAGTTCTGTATGTGATTATGCACTCTATGCTCCCTTCTGCATCCGCGTTACATTTTTCTTCGTCACAGAAACTGTTTGTTTTTTTTTGGTTTTGTTTTGGTCGTGCATCTCATGTCAAGAATAGTTTCTAGTGAAATGTTCTCTTTACATGCACACTGCACTGCACTGCCCAGGCATACAACACACTGCACTGCCCAGGCATACAACACACTGCACTGCCCAGGCATACAACACACTGCACTGCCCAGGCATACAACACACTGCACTGCCCAGGCATACAACACACTGCACTGCCCAGGCATACAACACACTGCACTGCCCAGGCATACAACACACTGCACTGCCCAGGCATACAACACACTGCACTGCCCAGGCATACAACACACTGCACTGCCCAGGCATACAACACACTGCACTGCCCAGGCATACAACACACTGCACTGCCCGGGCATACAACACACTGCACTGCCCAGGCATACAACACACTGCACTGCCCAGGCATACAACACACTGCACTGCCCAGGCATACAACACACTGCACTGCCCAGGCATACAACACACTGCACTGCCCAGGCATACAACACACTGCACTGCCCAGGCATACAACACACTGCACTGCCCAGGCATACAACACACTGCACTGCCCAGGCAATGGCATACAACACACTGCACTGCCCGGGCATACAACACACTGCACTGCCCGGGCATACAACACACTGCACTGCCCAGGCATACAACACACTGCACTGCCCAGGCATACAACACACTGCACTGCCCAGGCATACAACACACTGCACTGCCCAGGCATACAACACACTGCACTGCCCAGGCATACAACACACTGCACTGCCCAGGCATACAACACACTGCACTGCCCAGGCATACAACACACTGCACTGCCCAGGCATACAACACACTGCACTGCCCAGGCATACAACACACTGCACTGCCCAGGCATACAACACACTGCACTGCCCAGGCATACAACACACTGCACTGCCCAGGCATACAACACACTGCACTGCCCAGGCATACAACACACTGCCCTGCCCAGGCATACAACATGTTAAAATGGCATGCTAAAATAGCCTGTTTAACTTAACATCAGTGTTGGCATTGGCTTCGTCAAGCAGCTTTTTCCCAGCTCTGACATCGCCTATGATTACCGGTATAATTGTAGGCAAGCTATCATTACGGTGAAAAGGAAAATGTCCCAAACAGCAACCACAACAATGGTTGAGTATCTCACGACTGGTCATTTGCATGTAATTCAGCGGATCAAAAACTGGTGTCAGCACAGTTAAAGTCGGTAAAACCCCGCGAGTGTGCAACTCTGCGCATGGGGCCCGTCTGGCACGGCCTACTACTGCCTCTGCACAGCCGCCGTCTACTGAGGATTTGGACGGGCCGGTGCACATGGCCCTGGGATTTTGACCATGGGATTATGAGTCGTTATGACCCTGGGATTATGACCCTGCAGCAGGGGCGGATCCAGGATTCTTCCAAGGGGGGTTCAATGTTTTCCAACCCTACCCACAATGACGAAAATTAATGATGACATACAAAAGCATGTACAGTCAACTTCGCTAATAACGACTGCGGATATAACGACAATTCGCGAATAACGACAGCATGTCCATGCCCAGAGCAAAGTCCCTTCCAACTGTAATACATATAATGAGACTTCGGGTATAACGACACTTCGCGAATAAGGACACTTTTTTGATGCCCCGCCGAATGTCGTTATAAGCGAAGTTGACTGTATAACAAGTTCACATGTTCGCGTTATCGGGACAGCCCACATGTATTGCATCCTGTACTTGAACATGCCAGCTGCTATACAAATGAAAATTCAGTACCCCTATTTTCAACACTGCAGCTACAACATTATTGAAGACACTCAGCACAAGGAAGAAATTTTCAATTTCTTTGCCGCAGAATAGCTGATTGGTACTTCTCCAGCAGCTCGTCTGCAATAATTGTCCGTAATATTGTACTCCGATCCGCCCGATGTTGACTCCACTGTACAGTAGGTTCCATAAGGTGGGCTTCCTGCATCTTTCTGTCCCCGGGGAAAATTGCAATTCCGCGGCCGCGTTTTTTTCCGCGTTTTTTGCGATTTTTTAAAAGACCGCGTTTTCCGCGATTTTCCCGCGTTTTTTGAACTTTTTTGTTGCACTACACGTACACACAGTGCACTGTTCGGTCAGCAACGTCTCATCGTGGCGGCTTTTTACTCAAATATGACGAATGCTTACACCAGAGACTTGTAACTGATTGATTTCACTACATACTCACTGAAAATTGCCGCACATCAATATTATTCACCGCATATTTACCGCATATTTACCGCAAATTCACCGCAAATTATGCCATATTATGCCGCGTTTTTCCCCGCGTTTTTTGCGATTTTTTTCCGCAATTTTCCCCGGGGACAGATCTTTCGTGTCTCAGTCATAATAGTCCCCAGTTCGGAGAAATTTTGATTATCGGATGATGGGACGTTGAACTTGAAGGTGATTTTCAAAGTCGCTCTTTGTTTTACCTTCGACACTAGTGGCTACACCTTTCTTTGGAGTGTCACCAAAATGCAATGGCAGCTTGTCTTGAGCCTGCCTCTTTTAGACGCTTCGACGAACTTTAAGACAGCTCAAAAAGCACGAGCCGCGACGACAATTACAGCACTGCGCGGCCAGTATTTGAAACTTACTTTCGAAGTTTCGGCAGCAGCTCAACAAATGCTTGCGCACCTTTTTCTCCGAAGCGAACGCGTAGCTAGCTGTACATTCAGTGCAGATCTACCGCTTTACTTTGTATTATCCAAGTACATGTACAAGACAACAATTATGTACAAGGTCATGTAGATCTACCAAGCTGCATAGCTAGAGGACCGCTCTGGCCTGGGCCGACTGGGCCATAGCATGGGGCGCGCACGTCGCATTAGCATGGGTTAGTGGTCACACCCGAACTATGGTCGGAAAAAATCAAAGGGGTTCGTTTGAACCCCCTAACCCCCCCCCCCTGGATCCGCCCCTGCTGCAGGGATTATGACCCTAGGATTATGAGTCATTTACCCTAGGATTATGAGTCATTTACCCTAGGATTATGACCCTGCAGGGATTATGGAACCTTTGCAGTCCGACTCCTAGATGCTAGTGTACTAGTCTTACATTCCTCGTTGTATTCCACCAAGTCCAGATCAGTGCACTGCCGTTCTGCAGCGGTTGTACGGAACTTCCGGCTGCGGCGACGAACACCACAGCCGTCCTTGATAAGCTCCTCTTTCATTGTCCACGGCGTCCACTTAGTCAGCTCCTTGGCACAGTCGACATCCGGCGTGCCGGGCACTACATCCGCTAAAGTGAATGTTATCAAATTGAAATGCGTAAGGCCGCAGACGAGTAGCAGTATGGATAAAGATTTATTTGGTGGGCTGGATGCCATATTGGTATTGGGCTTGAGCAGATTGCCTGGTCAATGGCCGCTGAAAACAGGCGCAAACGAACAAACAAGCAGAAGCAGAAAGCACATGGGATACTGGTTAGCAATAAGAGTACTTTGTCTACTACCGTGATGTCTGAGAGTCTAGTGTTGATGACAATTGACTTGCATATCCTACCACAGTGAAGTTTCGGTGAATAACAAAATACAAGAAGTACTCAGTGTCTGCTCTAGGATTGTAGGACAGCCGGGTACACGTGTACCTGGCGCAACCATTTCAACCGGGTCGGAGCCGGGTACACAATGTACCTGGCGCTGTCTCACCAGCCGAGTCACATGTGGATTCGCCTCTTCGCTCGCGGCTCCATTTCCAAAAACAACACCTCAATGATCAAGCTCGAACTGAGCACGTGCACACACCGGATACTGACTACTTTCACTTTGACGCGCGCCTAGCGCCTCTGCATGATCTGTCACAAGCCATGATGTAGTCAGTCCTTTCAAAGTTCGAACGTGTAAAGTACCAACCGGGTCCCAGGTGACCCGGTACTATGTTTTCAACCGGGTCCAAGCGCCGCCCAACCGGGTCGATTACCCGGCTCACCCGCCTCTGGAGCAGACACTGGTACTGTAGTACGGAGGAAACTGATGTGTGTAGTAATCAATGCAATGCATGTTACTCTACCATCACATGCATTATACATAGAGTATCACCTGCACATTCAGATTCCAAATCCAATCGTCTGCCTGCACGTCACGTGTGTATCACCACTAGTCTACTAGTACATGTATACATGTATCCATGTATCCATGTATCCATGTATCCATGTATCCATGTATCCATGTATCCATGTATCCATGTATCCATGTATCCATGTATCCATGTATCCATGTATCCATGTATCCATGTATCCATGTATCCATGTATCCATGTATCCATGTATCCATGTATCCATGTATCCATGTATCCATGTATCCATGTATCCATGTATCCATGTATCCATGTATCCATGTATCCATGTATCCATGTATCCATGTATCCATGTATCCATGTATCCATGTATCCATGTATCCATGTATCCATGTATGCGGTGAATGTCTTTACAAAACAGTCCTCCGTCTTACAATCCTCAATGACACCACCACGGCACCACTCTCCAAGGTAGACGAGTACCTAAACCTTTGAGGCCACCCGGCTGTTGCTTTCCCGCTAGACGATAGACGCCACCCAGCCCCTCGAAACTTCCGTCTACATGACATGTACATTGTTGTAGTATAATACTATTATAGTACTCAGTAGTCATTGCTAACTCGGTACCAGAGCTGGCAGAGGCTAGCCTAACTACTACTTACTACTACTAGTAATTACTTGCATTGTTACTTACCGAGGCGATGTCCTGGGTTGACGGGCGACGCCGACGGTGATAAAGATGCTTTTCCGGGATAAGCAGACGGAAATATATATAACCTAAACCACTAATCGTCTTCACCCTGACCTTATCTGTCTGAGTGAAGGAATGCTGCTAGCAAGTTTTAAAGAGTCTCCACTACATGTGCAGGGGCATACCATACGGTTGGACTCCCTCCTCACAAACAAGAGCCTGTCGTTGTGTCTATTGTCGTATATGGAAAGTTTGTGTCCCTCTTCGGCCGTGTAATCTGCCTATTTCGTAATAGTTCAGCCCCTCTTTGCAGAACGGCCGTGTTTTACCGCAATCGTGTAGACCTACTGTATTTGGAACTATTGCTTGCTGCCTACATCATGTAGGTGCTCTTGTAGGTTCTGCATTGTGACCCGCAAAAAAGCACAACTCTGATCCCGACCGAAACAAGGAAAACTCGAGCTGTCAAATATTTAGTTTTGTGTACTGAAGTGCGAGTTACTAATGTCTTGTACTTGAACTATTTAAAGTCAATGAAGGAGCCGGAGCTCGGAGATGTTCGCTTCACTACGCATAATTATCTAGCACTATTTCACCGCACGGCACCGCATTTTTTTTAGTTTCTTTCTCTATCACAGTCCTTATATGGACTCTTAACTACAAATGCAAAACAGGACCAGAGTGGGCTGCGAGGTCGAGGCCATACACATGATACAGGCTACGGGTAACGCATCGCTTGACGGCCACTCCATGGATCCAGACTAGTTGAGCTCCAGCCAACTCCAACTCCGACGCCTTTTTCCCTGTGCCGCTGGTATCACTCGGATTGAAAGATGGGCAACGTCGGGGCTCAAGCTTTTCAACAAGTACAAACCTAGCTCGGTCGCCTCCGTCTCAGCCCGTGCAGGAGAGCTAAAGACTCTCACTATCAACCGGGCCTCCGAGTACATGATGATACAGTACATCACCCCGACTGCTCCCAGTCCTATACCTACAAAGTCCTCGTATTTTTTTTATTTTTGTCTTCCGTTGCCTCCCCTCTCTGTCAATCACTGAATCAGTGTCCCTTGGAGGATGGCATGTTCGTAGGGCTGCCTCAGCCTACCTGCGGGCAGGCGACACGTCCCCTGCGTGTCTCCTTCGCCTGCGCTGCCGAACGGTCTAGCTCTTCCATCCCAAAGTCTCTGGAATGAGCTGCACTACATTGTAAACTGTCTAGAGTCTTTAGCTCCCCCGCACGGGCTGAGGCTGAGACGCACCCCGGGTTACGTGATCTTGGAGAAGGAAAGCTCGCGGTAAAGGTATAGTTTAGGGTCCCAAATTATTTTAGTGGGTCAGCATGCTCTACAGAGTCCCAGGCATGCACATTACACATAGCCATAGGCCTTGGCCACAACTGACATCGAATACGATGTGGATGGACAACCACTGGTGTATGCAAAATCACCTTACGATGCGAACGAAGACGGCGCAAAGGACCATGAAAATCGCCTAAGTTTGAAGCTCGGTGATGCCGTGCGTGTCTTGAACACCTCCATGGGCAAGGGATGGTGGTGGGTAGAAGTCAAAATATTCGTCGTTCTGCCAGGAGGCTTCCTCCGCGCCGCGCAGGTCATCCTCAGTGCCAAGGAATGATGATGGAACGTAGCCAGACTCGCCATCGACTTCTACCCACCACCATCCCTTGCCCATGGAGGTGTTCAAGACACGCACGGCATCACCGAGCTTCAAACTCAGGCGATTTTCATGGTCCTTTGCGCCGTCTTCGTTCGCATCGTAAGGTGATTTTGCATACACCAGTGGTTGTCCATCCACATCGTATTCGATGTCAGTTGTGGCCAAGGCCTATGGCTATGTGTAATGTACATGCCTGGGACTCTGTAGAGCATGCTGACCCACTAAAATAATTTGGGACCCTAAACTATACCTTTACCAAGCTCGCGAATGATTTCGTTGTTGCCTTGCTGGTACGAATCGGAGAATCGTCTCTCCGATGAGAAGCCTGTGCCCGGCGCGAACTAAATGTAGAAGAATACAATGTCATGTACAACAAGAAGAAAATCGATTCTGGGAAAGTGTGACTTTCGTGATACGTGTATGAGATAATGCCTGCACTCTGCAGTATTCATTCGACTTGTTTTGCTACTACGGAGCATCAGCAAATCGAATTTTCGATTTGATTATTCGAATGGCAAAAAGAAAATCAGAGAGAAAATTCGAATGAAAAAGAGGTTCAGCATGTAGCGCAGTCCAGTATTTTCGAATCGAGTTTTTTTTAGCTTGAGCAGTTGAGGACTGGGATTTTGAGATGTGCAATGAACGGAGTTGCTGTTGTTTCTCATTACCTTTGGGGATGACGCGAAGCGGCGGATGCTTCATCCGATTCAGGCTACTGGCGATAGGATCTCTCTTGGAGACCCCTTGAAAAGGCGGATCTCGGCCGAGCTCCTCCGCTATCCCTTGCATATCAGGAGACCCGCGGACGAATAGGTGAGGGTGGGCCCTACACTGCCTCAGCAGAATGAGATCCATGGTAAGGTCGACCCTCAAATATTTGGCACACTTTGAGTTGCCCTCTCCCTGCGGGGAACTCACCATAGACGCAGATGCCGAGACAACGCCAGCAGGGCTACTGCAGTACTGGGAGCAGGAGGCATACCGGGGCTGGTAGTTGGTGACAAAGCCATGATTCCAGGATACTTGAAATGAAACAAAATGCACACTTGATAAAACTTTTCACAGTTCGAGAGAGAGGAAAGCGTCAAGATTGACAAGAAGTCAGGTTGAGCATCTATCCGTTTTTGTTTCGCTCTGTAAAGAGCACTTAGGGTTCCCTGTAACAAGACGGCAACGTCTGTAGGGCCTTCCCTATCAAAATAATAAATTCTACTACTACTACTACTACTAAGTCCGGACTAGTACTTTAGTAAGAACTAGTAGCTACATGTACATGCGCAAGAATGAGTACTCGTAGTGCGCCGTGTACTAGATTGTAGAGCACGTGCGGAGCATTCGAAAAGTATTCGAAAAGTATTTTCTGTTTGCGGGCATTTTTCAGTCGAACAAAGCCCTAGTTTCGACTGATTGAGTGCTTTTCGTGACGATTCTCGAATTTCATTCGAATATTCGATTTGCTGATGCTCCGTACTTTCCGAAACCATTCTCTCTTTTTTTTTTTTTTTTTTTTAATTTCGGCCAGTCGGCTACTATCATTTTCGTCTTGGGGGCTAGACAAGGGGAAGTAGCCATTTTTTTTTTTTTTTTTTTTTTTTTTTTACTTGAAACCACGCACCCAATTCGTAAAAGAAGCCCATGTCGGGGCGTGAGCCCGCCTTTCGGCACCGGGAGTTGCAGCTCGCTCGACTTGACTCTACTGAGTGCAGAGGACCCACACCTTGATCTGGTGACCTGCGTCGTGGGGATTTTGCAGTTTTTTATTATTTATTTATTTTATACGAAAGTCCACTATATTCCCGAATATGTGCGAGAAGTGGTGGCGGGGCCAGGCTGCTCTGCCGACCTCAAAGGTCTCGGCGTCTACGCAGACAAAGCGCGCCATAATGCAGTAAAACCATGTAGAGAGGAGGAAGAGGGGAAATGAATAATACTATTAATAGTGAGAAACAAGGACAATGGGTAGATGGTCGTGAGAGAAGCAGAGTGAAAGATAACGTCACATTGTGGTAAGGGGGGGGGGGGGGCGGGGGGGGGGGGATGCTAGTGAGGCACTGGTCTAAACCGTTTCATAGGGCGTCGGTGGCTGCTTGCCAGTTCAGGTGCAGCAGATACTTGTTGCATTTTTCTTTGAATGATTGGAGCTGGCTGGGTTGCGGCCGTGCTGGTAGAATGGTCGCTGGTAGGCTGTTCCACAAGGGAATAATGCAGTCTGGGTAGGAACCCTGGAGGCTGCTACGAATGCGCACGGGCAGCGTCGACTTGAGCTGGAGCGGGTGGCAGTGGGCAGTCTCCGTGGCTAACCTAGTGGATCGACCACCCACTGGGCGGGGATTGGCTGGAGGTGGGAGGATGGGCTTCAGGGGGCTTGTTGTTGGAAGGTAAGACAGCTTGAACGTGAACGAAAGCGCAGCAACCAGTCGGCGGTGTTTCAGGCTGGGGAGCCAGGCGCCTGGGCCAATCACCTTCAGTGCCTTGTGCTGGATTTTGTCCAGTCTGGATGTACCTGACCCCATCCACACCAGGCAGCAGTATTCCATTGTTGGCCGCACGAAGCCTTTGTAGACTGCCGTGCGGCCGCTGGAGTCCAACAGGGGCGCAACCTTTCTCAGGAAGTGTAGGCGTTGGGCAGCCTTTGAGGCCACGGCCCGGAGGTGTGCTGCGTAGGACAGTTGCGAGTCGAATGCTATGCCCAGAAGTTTAATTTCCTTCCCTTCAGGAACAGTCACTCCATTGAAGAGCACTGGTGGGAACGCTGGGGGAGGCTTGCGGTGGTCGATGATGAGGGCCTGAGATTTGGATGGCTCGAAGGTGACCTTCCACTTGGAACCCCAGTGGGAGACGGCGTCCACTGCTTCCTGGAGTTGTGCTGCAGAGTCGGATATGCTGGCGGTGGCAGAGATGCACTGATACAGTGTCGTGTCATCTGCATACGTGGCAAGCTCAGCACCAGCAGGCAAGGTGTCCTCGCAGTCATTTACGTACAGGAGGAATAACGTTGGTCCAAGGATGCTACCTTGTGGTACCCCTGCTTGGATATGGTGCAGGGAGGACTCTTGGCCGCCCACAACAGCCTGCAGGCGCCGGTTGTGCAGGTAGCTTTCCAGCCATCCGAGAAGCGGGCCGTCTAGACCGTACACGGAAGCCTTATGCAGCAGGCCAGCATGGCTGACTTTATCAAAGGCGCCTGCTATGTCTATCGCCAAAACATGGGCGGCTCCTCCTAGGCCGGCTGCTCGGGACCATTCACAGTGGAGCTTGGTTAAGACGTCGGCTGTGCTCAGGCCCTTTCTGAACCCGAACTGTTTCGCAGAGATGACATTGTGGGACTCCACGAAACTGGTTATCTGACGATTGACAATTGTTTCCATCACTTTGGATATGATAGACAGCAGAGACACAGGTCTGTAGTGTTGAGGCAGGTTCTTGGATTTCTTCTTGTGAATGGGTGTGACTCTAGCTGTCTTCCAGGATGTCGGCATAACCATGCTGTAGAAGCTA